CTCTATTAATTAATATATATAGATTACTATATTACTCTAAATTAACTAGTTTTAGTCCCTTAGAGTATAGAAAGTTTTTTATTAGTTTAATCTAGATAAATATATAAGAAAAATTTTATATATTAATAATATTATATAGTTAATACTATATAAGTATATATATATATATTAGAGATTAGTATACTTAGTATACTCTTTTAATTAAGATATAAAAATTATTATATTACTCTAAATTAACTAGGTTAGTCTCTTAGAGAGTACGAAAGAGGTTTTAATATTTAATATATTATATAGTAGAAAAAAAATCTTCTATTGTTAGAGCTCTATCTATAGACTATGAGGTATAATATAGTAGAGCTACTTATGTTATGCTAGTACGCTAGATATATATAGTTCTATATATTTTGCACCAACGTACCGATATTCATATTGTATGCTTTGTTAACTGGCTTTTAGCCACCAAGCACACCACCTTCGCGTATCGCAGTATCGTAACAGATCCCTGCTTCATTGATAACAAAGAAAGGCTGCAAATGCCTGAGATCACTCCATCCTATAAGGATCACTATGGTATCCTAAATTTAAGATTGTCGGAGTCTGACCCTGTGCCTAGAGGCATCACAGCCAAGGACATCAAAAACGCGTATCATAAAGCCTTGCTCGAACATCATCCGGACAAGAAGCAGCTAGACCATGATCCAGTGTCAGATCTCGCTTCCGCACGAGCGACGAAAAGCAGTAATATTACAATTGATGATATTATCGAAGCTTTCGAGATATTGAAGTGCGAAGGTACACGGAAGGAGTACGATCGCTCACTGTGCCTCACCCGTCAAACACATAACCTTGAGTCCCGCGGGTCACACAGTACGCATGACTCACATATTTTCTGTGGTAGCGCTAGCATCTCTGCACCCGAGTACGAAGACGTCAGCGAAGGCATTGTATACAAGCAGGTGGACCTTCATGACCTGAAAGAGGAGGAGACGACTACTGGTGACCAAGTATGGAGTACAAACTGCAGGTGTGGCATGGATAGAGGGTACGTCGTCACTGAAGAAGAGCTGAAAAGAGAGAGCCGAGAGGGTTTGGCAGAAGCATGGGTACAGTGTGGTGGATGTAGTCTCTGGCTTGGGGTAGAGTTTGGCATCGAGGAGAGCAATTATGACGGCTGAGGACCACGGGAAGTCTGACAAAATCATTAGATACACTAAGAAGGCATGTGGGACTTTTGCGAAAAGGGAAGAATTCGAAAACTACTACGCGTTTTTGACCTTTGGGCTGTAATTAATCCGACATTGGTCTTACGTGTGAGCTCGTCGAACCGCTTCCTCTTACGTCCAAGTTATAACTAGACTATACACCTAATATAGTATTAAGACACTAGGACTCCTATTAAAGATATTAGGTTAGGACGTATTCTACTATAAGTAATTACTCCAGTAAATTATTTCTATTACCTCCTTATGGAGTATATTAGACCTTATTAGGCCTTTATATTATGAGTCCGACCGTTATAAAGTAATAGTATGTTATTTAAAGACATTATAAAATAGAACATGAGAATGACTACGTTGAACCCAATAGATATTCAAGTCAATACCGGTAAATCTCTTCAAATAGATCCTTCAGGATGCTGTGTGATCAGTACATAAGTATGTTAAAGTCTTACTTGTTGGAACGACATAATCATGAAGCCCAAGTTCTGAGTTAGTACCATATGGCAAGAGATTTTATGCTTGGATCGTCTTAATATGTTTTCCTGTGTGCTTCATGTGGCCGACCTTCAACACGAACGTGAGATATATTCACAGAATCGATGGTGGTTGCATGTTAGTTACACAGTATAAGTTCACATGCCTGACAGACAACTTAGTGCTTCTCGCATATCTACACTACCGAATATATGTGACATAAATAGTCTCGTAGTCCACTTGGCTATCGTGCTTGAGTATACGGACGCAGATCGTCATTTGACAACCACGATTATGCACACGTATATACACACAAAGCAGGTATATCCGCTCGAAGGAAGGCGCGGTCAGGCTCGATTTTCCAGGTCCTGGGCTCTTGTCAAGCTATGGGTCCTCATTGAGGAAGCTACATATGGAAATCTTTTGCCACTGAGTTGGAGGAGAACTTATCTTCGTTCGACTCAATATAGTTCCCCTCCGACTGACCCCGCGAACCTTTATCGATTCATACCGTCATAAGATTTGCTTAGAATGAAGACTGCTATTGCAATCCTCTTCTTATCCGTCATTTCAGTTCTTGCAGCACCAGCCAAGAATTCGAAACCGTGAGTCTAATCTCCACCCGAGGTGAGCGAGTCTAACATCCGCCATAGTAACAGAAAGCCTGTGCAAATCCCTACAAATATTCAGCCCGATGGATACAAGTCGAGATACAGCTTGTGAGAAATTCATAGCCCCTTAAATGTTCAAAACTCATCAGACAAGAGCTACATACCTCCATCAAGTGCCCTTCAGTGAGTCTACTTACTATCATCATCATGCTCTCATCTTATAAACTGTTAGACATTCCTGTTTCCTCGATTGAAACGCCCTTACGCAACCCAAACCCTCTAGACATTGACCTCATTATCATTCCGCCCAGGAAAAGTCACCTCAATCCTCATCTCAACCCATTGAATCACACCAATTCTACTGTACACGCTATCGACAAGCGCTTCATCAATCCTTTCAATCTTGAGAACCATAAAGATCACGAACCCTCTGTTGAATGTAATCATTCAGGCGTAGCCCAAGTCCTTGACTGTCCGATCGAAGACTTCGCTGCGCGCTGGCTCACGACTGAGCCCGAGTGCATGGACTGGACAACGGCTGAATGTGCCCAATTCCCACCCGATATGCGTAATATTATGGACATCGACTTGAGGCTGGCATGTAAGCGGCATGATTTTGCGTACCGCAGTCATCGAAAATTCGACGGACAGTTTACTTTGACACACAGAGCGAAGGCCGATAGACAATTCATGCGTGATGTCTTTGCTGCTTGTGAGGATGTGGAAGACCCCGAGATTGAGTGCCGAACTGTCTCAGGAATGTTCTACGAGTGGGTATTGAAGCATGGTGATGGATATTCGAGGATTGACCCACATAAGGGGCTTGTTGTTGAAGGAATCAAGTCTGTACCAGCATGAGCAACGAGGTCTCCCATGGGGACGTGTTGAAAGATCAACGCACGGTGCGAATTCTAGTACAGACGGGAGAGGCTTCCGTTGTTGCTAGATCTAACTCAATTCATCGCCAGTCTACTTTGTACTATTCCTGATCTCTGCTACGGCTCGCCTCCTGTGATCGCTTTCAGAGAAAAGGGCTTTGATCAGATCGATGACCTCATCGGCTTCAAATTCGAACTTGAGCTCTCCATCAGACCATAGAAATTTGATGTCTGCCAGCGAACTATCCAAGATCTCAGACAGGTACTGGAACTTAAGCCAATTCGGAGTATATATGCCAGTCAGGTCTTTTCGCGCCTCCGCCTTTGGGCTTTCTGGGCCGAAGATATCACCTACTTTTGCAATCTCCTGACAATAATGTCGTAAGCATCGTGATTCTTCTTCAGATATGTCGCTCATGTCTTCAATATCTATTATCATCTTACTCGTCACCGCAGATAGTACAGATCCAAGAGACTGTAATCGCGCAGAATGTGACAGTACCTCAACCCATTGCTTATTGATCTTTCGAATGCGGTCAACGGTGATTGCGACTGCACTGTCACATCCGGACTTATATGGCTGCACACTGCAATTACTAAAGGCTTGAGCACCGTCAAGGAGGTCACAAATTATTGTGCGCTGGGACTTCATTTCGCGACCGTAGGCACGTTTGCCAAAGCCTTCGATTGCCTTGATCTCGCTATTCAAATTTAATTGGGTGAACGCACGTGCTGAACGTGATAGAGTGGACGTTCGGTCCTTCGTCGCCTGATCCGAAAGAAACATACGCAGACGGTCGGCGAGACGAGTGCAGTCGTTATAGATCAGCATGTTTCCTGCTTCGGTGGAATAGAAGCTCGCGGCAACAGCGCGATACATGGCGAGTATGAGGGAGGGTAGCGTGTAAAGGGCCTTTGCGGCGGGCGCGATGGTACAGTCGGAGAAGCTGGGTGTGTGGAGCTGTTCAACGTCTGCGACGAGGTGAACGATCGTATCGATAATCGCGTCTGGAATGGCGGTCACGGTGTATGTTTCACGGAGAGTGAGTTCTCGTCCTTCCGGGATATCACTTGGCTGAAGACCTTTTATTTCGATGGCTCTCTTTGACTTGTCTGGGCTGGTTGGGGCAGCAGAGGCATCACACGACTTTTCGTCGGCGTCATCATCACCCCAGCCCCAAGCTTCAGCTTCGTCATCCTCTGCGTCGGCTTCTGTCTCATATTTAGGCACCGCTTCCTTGTCCTCCATACGGTTGTCCTTGTGCCAGTCCCATGAACTTGCATCCTCATCTTTGTTGCTTTGTTCAGCTGCAGAAGAGGGCTCAAATTCGCTTTGGCCATTTCTGTCCTCATAATCACCCCATTCAGCACCCCAGTCATCCTCATCTTTCTGAGCAGCAGGAGATGTATTCGTGGCTATACCAGATATAATCTGCGTTTCCGCACGCTCCACAGCACGTTTGCTGGTGACACCGTTCTTACACAACTTTCTGATACTGGCCAATGCGACCTCTTTTCGTTTGGCTAGCCATAATGCTGGAATCTCATTCACCCATGCGGCCAGCTGGTCCGCGCCACCCCAGTTTAAGGCTTGGAGCCTTTCAATCAGGCCTTGAAGATGCGCTACCGTACCCTGGAACATAGGGATATCTTGTAGGGATACTGGTATGGAGCTTTCTAGCCAGCCTGATACCAGGCGGGCTGTGATCAGCGGTAGAAGTTTGGCCGATAGAGGAAGACTGATCGTAGTTGGAAATCGTGCGTTCAGATATTCCACAATCAGACTGACGTCTGCCAAAGTGTTTGAAACGGTAGGATTTGGCTTCTTTTCCGATACAATGATGTTGTTGTCACGTATAGAGATTGTGTACGGCTGGTGTGTCGCGTCATAAGACAACCGAGGTGCAAAGACGATTTTGTCTAGGTCCTTCGACAATCGATCGATTGCGGTGTCTAAGAGATCCAGGGACATCATTGCCTTAACAGCGTCATCAATGGTGATGATGCTCTGTCCTGTCCCAACTTTAGCGATAAAAACAGTGTTCGTCGCATCCTACGCACGTTTGATCTCCTTCTTGATAGTCATGAATTTCTGCGAAGGATCGACTACAATGAGCTCTTTCCAGCAATCATTCAAGATATCAATGACGCGTGACTTGAGCTGTTCGACTTGTTTCTGAAGAATACCAAACGCTCTGGTGTTGTCTAATGTACGCAAACGACTCAAACCCATTTCTGCTTTTTGTACGTTCTCCAATGCGACAGAAATCTGATTTTGATCTATGGCATCTTTCGCCGTTTGCAGCGTGCCGGTGATGATCACTGCATGTTCTATTGTTCCGGCAAGCGACTCGTTAAATACCAACTCATTCTCTAACATGACAACCTTCCTTACGGCGCCTTGGACCCTACTGTGGAGATCTTTGGCAATCTCAGCCTCCTTCACTATATCGCGGGCGGTTGCCTTCGAACGCTCGATGTCTGCTTGTAATTGCTTGGCTTGTTTGATCCAACCATCGATATCAGGAGCGGCGCCGTGGCCTAGGATTCTAACTTCATCCTAGAGCAGGTTCTTAGCTAAGCATGGCGGGATATAGAAATCAAAGTCCTACTCTTATACTCTCCTGTGCGTGGGATAGCCCAGCCAATAACGTGTTTAAGGCAGAAGGCGATATATTGGCAGATGTAATATTGTCAGAATCGGGGTAGACATTGCTTTTGACGTTGTGGAGGACAGTGTCTGCAAGAATCTCCTCGGGTGTAGTCGGCATATTTTAAGAGGAGGGATGTCCCATTTTGATATTGCTGTGCCGTTGGATAGGCTGAGAGAACTGCTGTCTAGTTATTCCGTTGATGTTTTTAGGAGTGGCGTTCACCTTGAAGCCTGCTCCTTAGTGAAGCGAAGTGGGATAGCACCTGGATCACACAGCGCATCTCATTTTGCAGGCAGCCATATTCGGAGTACCTCAGCTTTGCTTTCCAAATTGGTGCTATAAACTTCTATCTAAACAACTAATCAAAACGACTCACAAGATAGATATAGCTGAAACTATTTTACAAATCTCAAAGCGTCCGACGTCGAATTTTCGTCTTCCGAAGCACTTTTGGGAACATTACTGGGTATAGCTAGCTATACTTAGCCACCCATCCGATACCGATATCAGAGGTTGACCTTGCTTGTTACGCTAAACATTTCGTCCGGACGTTGTGGCAAGCGTCTTTTCAGACTCCTCGCCTGTAACACCAACACCATCAATATCGCGCTCAGTATGCCTTCAGTGAAAAGGGAGACGCACCAAAGGATTATCCAGCAGTTTGAAGCCGACTATGCACCTGCTAAATTCACTATATATCAGTCAGAGAGGACTGGTATGAGGAGTGTCGTGGTCGACCGGAAGGGTCCGAAAGTGCAAGGCTATTTTACTTTAGCAACTGAGATACATGATGACTCAGGAGCTCCGCATACTCTTGAGCATCTCGTGTTCATGGGGTCGAAAACTTACAAATACAAAGGTGTATTAGACAAGCTTGCAACTCGTGCATATTCAAATACAAATGCATGGACCGCAACTGATCATACAGCCTACACGCTGGATACAGCAGGTTGGGACGGCTTTGCTCAGATCCTCCCCATCTACCTGGAACATATTCTGCTACCTACACTCACAGACGAAGGGTGTTATACGGAAGTCCATCATGTCGATGGTACTGGACGCGACGCAGGTGTCGTCTACTCTGAAATGCAAGGCGTTCAAAACAATCAAGCCGAGCTCATGGAACTTCACGCTCGCCGGATCATGTATCCTGAAGGAGATGGCTTTCGCTACGAGACCGGTGGAATGATGGAGCAACTTCGTGTCTTGACTGCTGATAGAATACGAGAATTTCACAAAGTAATGTATCAACCTAAAAATCTTTGCCTTATACTCGTTGGCGAGATAAACCACGAAAGTCTGCTTGACATTCTTGACACCTTTGAGGATGGAGCATTGGATGACTTGCCGCCCATCGAAGCCCGGTTCTCACGACCATGGGTCGATTCTAAGCGAACACCACTTCTCTCAAAAACCACAGTCGACCGCGTAGAGTTCCCGGAGGCGGATGAGTCCTATGGCGAGATCTTGATTGGATTCTTTGGACCAGACTGTCTCAATGCTACTCTTGGTACGCTGCTAATGACGTCCGGGCAAATATTTACTGATTTATCATGGTTAGATTCAGCTACAAATGTACTGCTGACGTACCTAGCCGAGTCCTCTGTCTCTGTTTTGGTGAACACATTAGTGGAGAAAGAGCAGCTTGCCAGTTCAGTATATTATCAGGTTGAAGTGCGACCAAATCTAGTGATATGGTTCACTCTCAGCGCTGTAGAGACTCCTAAGGTCGCAGATGTCGAGACACGTTTCTTCGAGATCCTTCGCGATGCAGCCGTTAAACCACTAGACATGCCGTACATGAGAGAATGTCTCGCCAGGTTTCGGAGGCAGATCAAGTTTTCTGCAGAGTCCTCTGCTAGTGTATTCACCGATCCCATTATCTACGATCATCTTTTCTCGAAGCGCGATGGCGAAATTCTAAAAAGATCCTTGAGCTCACTAAGTGATCTTGACGAGCTTGATAGTTGGACAGAGATCCAGTGGAAGTCATTTCTAAAGCAATGGCTTGCAGATGCAGATCATGTGTCGATCCTTGGTGTTCCTTCAAAGGTGTTATCTGAGAAACTGAAGGAGGACGAAAAGGCTCGAGTAAAGGCACAGCAGGAAAAGCTTGGAGAGCTCGGACTGATGAAGCTTGCGCAGAAGCTAGAGCAAGCCAAAGCAGAGAATGATAAGCCAATTCCATCGGAGGTCCTTGAGCAATTTGAGATCCCGGACACGGAGTCAATCCACTTCTTTCCTTCAATTACCGCCAGATCAGGTCTGGCGAAGAAGATGGGACCCATTAAGAATGACATTCAGGAAGTTATCGACAGAGACGCTGCTGATCTACCACTATTCGTACATGTTGAACACATCCCGACAAATTTCGCTCACGTCAACCTGATATTGTCGACAGTTTCGGTACCGTTAAAACTCAAGCCGCTGCTGTCCGTGTACCTAAACAATTTCTTCAACACGCCCATCAATCAAGATGAGAAGCGCGTGGAATTCGAGAAAGTCGTTGCACAGCTGGAGAAAGATACAGTCTCGTATGATATCGACACTGGTAGCGCTGTTGGAAATTGTGAGCTTATCCGCATTAGGTTGATTGTCCAGCAAGACAAGTATGAGGTGGCAATCAGGTGGATTCGTGACATGCTATTCGACAGCATCTTCGATATAGAGCGATTGAAAACCACAGTCAACAAGCTTCTGGCTGATGTCCCAGACGAAAAGAGAAGCGGTAATGGAATGTGCTACGCTGTCAATTCTATGATTCATTACACACCCGCGGCATCGAGCCGAGCACAAAACACGCTCGTCAAAGCTTTGTACCTCAAACGCATACTCAAGCAACTAGAAAGAGAACCAGAGGAAATAATTGGACGCATGGAAGCCCTCCGTAGGTCACTCGCACGGTTCGGCAATGCCCGCGCCTTCGTAGTAGCTAACGTTGAGACTTTGCCACGTCCGATATCGTCATGGAAAACTTTAGTAGATTCCTTCGATACAAGTGAGGATCTCGCTCCATTGGACTCGCGCCAAGCTGTCCTGTCTGATGCGGGGAAAAGTCCTGGAAGTCTTGCCTATATCGTGCCCATGCCGCCAATCGACTCGTCCTTCCTCCTCTTGACCGGCAAATGTCTCGACTCGTACGCGCACCCTAAGCTGCCCGCACTCATCGTGGCTCTCTCCTATCTCGACGCAGTTGAAGGCCCTATGTGGGTTGCCGTTCGAGGCACTGGTCTCGCATATGGAACATCATTTGCCCGCGAGACTGCTACTGGCCTACTCGCATTCCGTGTGTACCGCTCGCCAGATGCTTTCAAAGCGTACAGCGTCGCGAAGATGGTCATCGAGGAGTACATTAGTGGGAAGCGGCCTTTCGAAAAGCATGCGCTGGAGGGCGCGGTCAGCAGCATTGTGGTAGACTTTGTGAACGAGGAACCGACGATGAGTCGTGCTGCGTTGTCCGGCTTTGTCAATCAAGTAGTCAGGGGGGTCGGAAAGGACTGGAAGGAAGAGATGTTGAAAAAGGTCAGAGCGGTCAAGGTCGAGGAGATCAAAGAGGTGTTGCAAGGTATTGTACTGCCAGTGTTTAAGCCTGAGACGGCGAATTTGGTCGTCTCCTGCGCTACGATTATGGAAGAGGTATGTGTCTGAGAGGAAGTCACCGGACGCTTATGGCTAATCAAAGATGCAGGGTCTGAAGAAGAACTTCGAAGAGGCTGGATTCAAGCCTGAAGTGCAAGCACTCACCTTCTTCCAAGACGACTATGGACTCAAGCTCAAGGATGATGACGAGTCTGATGTTGAGGCGGAGGGAGACGAGGAGGAATATGGCGAGGGAGAAGGAGATGGCGACGAGAGCATAAGTGATGAGGAATAGGTTAGGCATGGAGGTAGCGCGAGCATCTACTTGCATGATCTTAGTGATGAACATTACATAAAGGCTGTGTCTCAGCTTCCACCAAAAGTCGGTCCAACAACTGTAAAAATTTACGTATAGGGCCTGGCCTACCAAATGATTGGTGCCTGAAAATGGGTTCCCTTATATCACGCCATGCAACGCGGCATTTCACACATCAAGCTGTCAATATTCCTTCTCGAAGATCTTCTGAATGGGCTCCGCCGTATTCACAAACTTCTCAAGCTCAATGTCCAGGTTCGCCAGGTCCTCTCTTCTCTTCTTATTTTCAGCGATCAAGCCCTGCTTCTTCCTCAGGAGGCCCTGTCTCTGTTCCTCCAACGCCTGTCGCTCCATATGCTCATGCTCGATCCGTGCTACCATCAGTTCATTTTCATCATATCCCACGTGATCCGGAAACAGGTCTAGGAATGTTTGCGCTGATATAAGGGGCAGTGTCATGTACTTGTGTTCATAGTCTTCACAGGCGCCAATTTCGCCACGCAAGTGCCGCTGCTCATAGTATAAATTCTGCAACTGCAGGTGAAGCGTGTCAACCCCGCTCCTTGCCTCGGCAGTTTGGGCTTTTGTTTCTCGTGCACCAAGCACAGCTTTGCGGTTCAGATGGCGGATCTTTGCGAGTTGGGCGTTCACGTGCTTGTGTGATGGCGCGATTTTATTGGACTGCGTGAAGGCGTCAGGGGATGTGAGAGTATCTATCAGGGCTAAGCAGGCGTCGCGGGTTTGCTGAGCGGTGGAGAGAACAGACTGAAGGTGAGGACTTGTGACGATCGTTTTAGCAGCGGAGGCGGCAGTTGTCATGGTGCAGGAGGTGTTGGGTTGCGTTAAGGGCAGACACAGATGGGGAGGCCAGCTCAGTGATCGTGGAGTATGCTTTGGCGTGAATGTTTGACAGTTTTCGAGACGGGTCGTGGGTGAGTTAAATTGATACAGAAATGAAGACGTCCATGATGCTAATAATTACTGGACCGAAGATTAGTTAGGCTGTCGCCAAGGCTCTAGGGGCCCGTCCAGGTAGCAAAGTGATGGCCGCCTGTTATAATTACCCGAGGTGCACACGAACTATCACCGTGGTAGACGCGGGTAGTGCCGAAGAATCTCTAATTACTTCCCCCGGTGGCGGAGCGGATCCGGGAGTCGGGACTTTCATGACTTGCAGCTGATCCAAGGGCATATAAAGTACCGTATTGCGTACATATCAGCACATCAGCGTGGTTGGATCCTTGGCGCAGGTGGTACTCTCAGACTCACCGAGGTTCCCAACAAAGGCTGTCAACAGTAATCGTATTATTTCTTAATCATATCAGTGACCCTATTGTTGTATTGCTGGGTTGTCGGGTGCCAACGATACCATTCGACACTCGTCATTGCCAACTAATGCTGCACGTGCTGCTCTTTTGAAACTTTTCACTCCCAGACCTCAATATCCGTCCCCCATCGGTAGACATCAGACACCACGTATCAAACATCGCCTGGTCGCTTCACATGGTCCAGCCCGCCAATCTTCAGATCGTGCGCCAATCGCAGCATTCCAATCCTCCACGGCTACAAACGGCACGCATCATAGCTCTCACAAATCATCCATCACGAGCTACACTTGACTGAGGTGCTTCGACTAGCTCTCTTGTCCGTGCGGACCGCTGTGCTCTGGGCGCTACATACAAATCGCCCATACAACCCCCCTCACCTGCGACTTCTTCTTTCTGTTATCCCTCATGGCCTGCACTTCGTGTACTTCGACCTCAATCATGTCGGAGCACTACGAAGAGCCTAACTTTCGCAGCTCGAAAGGCACTTACGGCACTTTTCGCCCCGAGCAGGATCGCCGAAGGAGACACTCCTCATATGATTCGAGGTCATGCAGGTCGTGGAACATCGAACATGACGATATACAGATACTCGTAAGTCTCGACACAAAAGTAACAGTTCGCTTGTGTGCTAACGATTGGATACAGGTAGACCGTTTCCTCTCCGAATTGAACAAGCGCCTTGAATTCATGGAGTCTTTTGGCCACTTGCCCCAGCTCAAATTTGACGCCGGAATAGAGAAGGCTTATTTCACTTTGCAAATGGTTCGGGACTCGTGTTCGAAGGTCTCAAACGATGTTATTGACGCTGGGCGTCAACGTTCGCAAATATTCGTGGAGACTATAGAAAAGCGATATAAGGAGGCGCTTGCTACAAAAGAGACCTTGGAGCAAAAAGCACACGAAGGTGTACGCTTGATGGAGGCCATACTATCAGATTTTGAGGCACGAGCATATGCTCTCCGGGAGGCAGGTATTGGATCAGTGGCACAAGACTTTCTGGAAGAAGGCCGACGCCGACTTGATGCTGGATATGGCAAAGCAAAAGGCGTGGTCGATGACGGTCTCGACAAGGCGCGTCGGGTGAAAGACAGCGTCAAAGAGAGTATGGAATACGCCATAATGCAGACTCTTGCTCGTGCCAAAGAACGTGGCCTCCTTCAGTATGAAGACCTCCCTGATCCTTGGAAAAACAATCCGCACATCATCAACGGATACCGATTCTACGAAGGCAAGCTCGAGTGCGTACGATCCATCTTCTCCGTCTCCAACGAATCCTTCAATATTTGGTCCCACCTCCTTGGCCTGCTCGCTGTGCTCTGCATTGCCTTCTACTTCTACCCATCTTCCGCCATCTTCACTTCCTCTACTAAAGCTGATGTCTTCGTCGCTGCTATCTTCTTCTTCGCTGCCTGCAAGTGTCTGGCTTGCTCGACCATGTGGCATACAATGAACTCCATCGCCGATCATTGCATCATGGAGCGGTTTGCTTGTGTCGACTACACGGGCATATCTCTGCTAGTTGCCGCCAGTATCATGACTACCGAATACACGGCATTCTATTGTGAGCCCGCATCTCGCTGGACGTATATGCTCACAACTGCTGCTCTTGGCATCGGTGGCGTTGTCCTGCCCTGGCACCCTACCTTCAATCGCGCCGACATGGCATGGGCGCGCGTGTGCTTCTACTGTAGCCTTGCCCTCACCGGTTTCCTGCCTGTTGCGCAGCTTGTACTGACGCGTGGTGCAGCCTGGGCGTACTACTTTTACGCCCCCGTAGTGAAGAGTGTGTTAGTATACTTTGTTGGCGCGGTGCTGTATGCGAGTAAGACGCCTGAGCGCTGGTGGCCCGGCATGTTTGACTACGTAGGTGGGAGTCATAACATCTGGCATCTGGCAGTTGTGATCGGGATCCTGTTCCACTATCTTGCGATGCACGACTTCTTCCGTGAGGCTTTCCTAAGGGCAAGTGTGGAGGGGACGACGTGTTCTGCGTATTAGACAAGCGTGGATGTGGTTTTTTTGCATAGCGCGGTGGGATCTACGCATGTTATATCATATAGATGAAATGACATTAATCTGTAGATACCATCACCTCATGTAATGAGAGTCTTCCCGTACTTCTCCCAGTTTTTGACTCCTCACATGTATGCTTTGACACAAGACAGTCATCTAGACAATCCCTATGTCATTTACGGGGGGCGTGCTAGTATCCTCTCATATATTTCTTCAGTCGTCCCTAATATCATTATTGGCTCTGTTTCCGGTCTGCTTCCGGTCTGCTTCCGTCAGGCTTCCGTCAGGCTTCCGTCAGGCTTCATATTTGACGTTCACCGGTCTTGATTACGCCCAGGGAGGTGTCATGGTTATTTATGTGTGCACGCCGGGTAAGCACGAATCGGGTGGCCCAGGTAGGGATGCACCTTGAGTAGAGCTATTATGTACACAGTATGTATGTAATCTAAACACGCAGCCAGAACCCTGTTCTTGTCATGACTCTAGACCGCGACCGGGTGTGAGTATTCTCGGAAAGGACTTATAGCCAGCCCGACTATGGCTCTGCGATCATGCTTTTCATTGTGAAACAGGCTGTAAGCATCAAGAATGACTTCTAATGTTCTTACTACTACTCATCGTCAAACATCATAATATAATATAATAAACCTGTTGGTGAAGACACAAATGTCGCTGATGAGGGCGTAAATCGTAAAGCTTCGGAAATCCTCGTAATAGTAACTCTAAGTGATTCGTGTCAAATCGTTAGCTGGGGTATATCCCAATCCTGACCTAACCCCGACCCCCTTACCTCACAATACCCTAAAATGCATGCTCCAGTCCTTCCAGGATGGCTAACGCACCTCCAATCTTCGCCATCGTTCCCACCGCACTGTGTGATCGACCTGTGGTCTTCTTGGCTTTTCTCGCTGCCCTTCGCTTTCCTTTCTTCTCATCCTCTGAGTCACTCGACCCAATATCGGATACCACGGAAGGTGGTTCTCCGTAGCCATTGGTACTGGTTGTACTACGCTGTACTGTGTACTGTGGATTCAGGTTTGGATTCATGTAAGGTGTATACGGCTGCCCAACATTATAGAAGCCCGTACCTGGAGAAGTCGAAATGTGAGGAGTGAGTGTAGTGCCTACGGGCATTGATACCGAACGATCGAGGGGTGGATGTTGCTGGACCGTGGGTAGTTGAGAGGTGATTTTTGAATTCCGTCTGCTGCGCGTATCCTGTCTGTCTATACTGCGCCGTTGGCGATGGCTGCTCTGGTCTTTGCGCGGCAGTTCGGATTCCTGCTGGAGGATCTGGATCGTGCGCTCGACGAGCCATTCGACTTCATCGAAACGAAGCGGTTTATGGACTATATAGGCTGTTTCAAGCTTCCGTCCGGACGCGTCAGGCTTTTGAACTTGTGTGTGGTCGTGCGGTGCTTCGTCAAGAGCTCGACGGCATACCCACGACGCAAGGAGCTCCGTGTAGCCTTTGCGGTTATTATACGCCTCAGACGGCTGTAAGTGTGTGTTGGAATCGACGCAGCGACCGTCGATATAGTCCCAGTAGCTGTTGTGAAGACACAAGCGCCACGGTATTTCTAGATCATCACCAGTCTCGGCTTCATTCCGGATGGCTACTGCTGCAGCCCGAGTCGAAGGATTCGAATGAACACTGCTACGTGGAGAATGCGATATGTATTCGGCGGACTTGTAAGAGTGGGCTGGTGATATTGGAAGGTTGCCTGATTGTGATGCGAATGAGAATGAATTCCGAGAGGATACTGGATACGAAGAGGTGTTCAGATGCGAGGGTAGGTTCGACCCCGGGACTGAAATCGGAACAATAAAAGATGCCTGAGTAAAGATTGACTGGGAGCTAGGTGCTCGTCGTGGAACAGGGGCTGCTATCTTTGCAGTGGAAGGCTGGGCTTTCACTTGAACATTGGCTTCATCCCTGCTCGGAAGTGCTGTTTCAATGGAAGCCTGTCTGCCAGTGTTCTCGAGTTGCTTCGGGGATCCCGCTTGAGCCGTGTAGCGTTGGAGTCGTTCCTCGATCTCCCCCAGCCGTGTCCACTGCTGGAGAACTGCATTTGTATGCGAGTTAGACGCTCGACGTATCGCTGTGAGTCGCTCAAACTCATTTTCAATGCACAAGTACTCCGACAATGCCGAGGCACGAAACGGTAAGAGACTCTTAGCTTTGAGCTTCGATGGCTTCCACTGGCCATCAGCCACCTTGATACACTTCTCACCCGGAGGTACCACATCCTGGGCTTCCTTGGCAGCAATCTTTTTCGCAGGCTGGTCGAAGAACCCTTGAGCAATGCTCGACATAGACATTTCTTCCTGAGATAGGAGAACCTTTTCTGATTCTCTGTTAGAAAAAGATTCACTACGCGTATACTCTTGATGCAGCTCGTAAGCTCGCAAAATAGAGTTCTGCTGTTCGATAACTAAAATCTCAAGCTGTAGTTCCTCGTCCTCGACGTAGTTGACAGCCTTCTGCATGGCATAATCGTTATGTTGTCTGAACGCGAGATTAGAGCCCAGAACAGCAGTCACATGGAGCCCTATACTTACTTGGATAGACGTTTCACGTTGACAGTACTGAAAGACTGGATCATAGTCGCAGAAGTGAGCCGTAAGCTGCACAGGTGACCAAGGAGGTACTCGGTACGGGCTCTCTCTAATAGACCCCATTTCCAGCTGAGAGAATTCAGGCTGTCTTTAGCCTTCGCGGAAAGAAACAGAGCCTCGAATTCATCCAGTATCTGATCAGCCTGGTAGATGATGGACTGCACAGCCTCATGGGCCTGACTTGTCGGGATTGACTCGTCCTCGTTCAAGACTAGGTCGAGATGCTTTGCAGTGCGGGAGAACGATGCAATACCAGTGGCTACGCGGCATATATCTCTCGATGCCTTTTCGATGTTTGCCGCAATATCATACAAGACAAGACTGAGTCGCGTGCCCCTTGAGACCAGTACTGGGAAAGGTGTGTTTCCGAGTTCAGTCATAGCGAACATCACGACTCATGTCTCTTGTGCAAGGAGATGAAAACGAGCACAAACGAAGACAAAACCAAAGGCACAGGACGAAATAGATGATAGTCAGCTCAACATATAGCGTGGTGGCCAATGGAAGAGGTAACGTCAACATCGCGTTTCGGCCAGCAGCCGGTAGCCTCGTTCTCTCAGCGATTAGTGTGCCCCTCGCTTCACCCAGTCGGGGTCCCCAGTCCCCAGTCCACCATCTTTTGCCAGTCCCTTTTCGGCTCCGCACCGCCAACGTCGTCATCTGGCATCAAACTAATCTGCTACTACCGCCGAGAACACAGTCTTCCTCACCGTAATCGTGAGTGAGTTTTTGCACAAACCTTGACGGGAACACCTCCATTGCCGAGCCGACCAGTCACGCCCGAGATTGACATTCCTCCTGAGCCCGGTATGGTGACCGGCAGGCATATTAGCTGACCGGCGAACCACTCAGTCCTCGGACTCACTCGACTTGCCCCCCCGTGCATCACTCGGCTACGAATCACATTGTGACTCTCAAAGCTAGGCTGAAGGAAGGGATGTTGTGCATCATTGCAAACCCCTCGCCTTCCCTGCCCAACAAACATCTCTCAGTGACGAAGAAGGCTGGCTGCAGCAATACTATCGAGCTGGTGCAGAATGGTACACGCCAGTCTCTTCGCGTGCCAGTCCGGTCTCCATCCTACCTACAACTGTTCGCGCAGACAAACCGTTGGTGGGCAGCGTAAGGAATAGCTCATACGACTTGTGCAGGTATTGCCGGCCTAGTTACGCGAGCAGATACAGTGTTGTAGCGTTGTATAGTGGTCCATTCGACATATCTTCTATGACCGAGAAAGCAGTAGGTTTGAGACTTTGCATCGGCCACTTGATGCCGGTAACCAATCAAGCCCAGACATGTAATTATAAACTTTGAATCAAGTAGCACTGGTCAGGGATAGCAGATAGTATTCGAGATCATGGCCTAAAATCCCTGGGTAGAGCTTGACGATAGTAGGTCGAACAGATTCGGCGACACCACCTTTAAAGGTGAAAGCGATCAGAAGGAGTGGTTGTAAGATGGCCACGTGTCTGGGACGATACAGGCGATTAAAGCAAAAGATAAAAGAATGAATGATAGATGGTTGGAGCCTGCCAAAGCAGACAGGCATGACTGGCTGGATGCAATGGTAAAGGTACAAAAGTGGAGCAATTAAGTGAAGCAAGGCCATGGGAGCAAGCAGGATACATATGCGAAGAGGAGGCGAGGGAGGCGTCGTCCCTGGGCTATGGCGAGATTCTAGGAGTGGGAAGGGTGGTAGTCCAGCAGTCGACGAGGCCTTCTATCTGCGCTTCACATAATTACATAAACTGAAACGAAGTACGTCTTAAGACGAAATCGTAAGCCTTGTATTTATCTGTGGCCTGGCCTATGCTGCAGTATCCATGTCTTTCGACGAGTCTATCGGTGCACCATCGAGCAACTTCGTTGTCCAGGCGATAGGTGTAACGCCGTGTGTTAGTATCATACCATCTTCCGTCTTCTCGACATCAGGGCCGTCGACGATTGCGTCAAACGTCTCCTTGAATTTCTGCTTAAAGTTAGTGTATAGCGGAAAGTCGGTGGCAGGGCGACTCTGCCAAGGTTATGTCTTACTGTTAGGTTCTCCCCTTCTAAAACAGCAACCTGGCTGAGTGTGCTGTATCGATTCCAGAGATCCTCTTTGGATAACTCAGAAGTCCACACCCACTTCTCCATCTCCTTGCCTATGGGTAGCGTGAACTCGGAGTTGCCCTTCTTCACAAGTGCCACTGGCAAGAGATTGAGCTGCGAGTCGAACACCTTTTGCCACTTCTCGTGGCGGAAACGAGGGGTGGCATCGTCGAATGTCCATGTCAGGTCACGGAGCTTGCCTTCCCATTCGGTCTGGACGTGATATCGTCGTGTTTGATTGTCTTAAAAGAGTCAGACACACGTGAGTTACTCATGAATTTACAACGGACAGTCGTCAATGTTCCAGATCATACCCAAAGTCCCACCGGGCTTGAGGACACGCCATATCTCGTCTAGAGATTCCGAGTCCGCATACCAGTGAAATGACTAGACGCATGTCAGCTCGACTACAGAGTACTCACAGTGGACGTGATCTCTTTCTAATGCAGTAGAGGGAACAGCCATGGCGCGAAAATGATTGATATGATAGGACCTGGCGTGCAGGAGCATCGATTTCTGATGAGACATTGCAGGAAAAGGCGGACGCTACATGTTGTGCCGACGGGACAGATAGTAGAGGTGGCGATTACGATTGTAACCGAAATAGTACTTGTCTGCATGAATATTGGAAACGAGGGTCCCGGGCAAGATCTGGTTGAGCCAAGCGCTTCCTGTGACATCAAAGAGAAACACAAGACTGGGGTAAAAGTAGACACGTCAATGAAGACTTACTTCAGCTGCAATGACCGCATCGAAAACACCGTTTTCTTGTACAGGTATCCCGTGCGAATGACCGGCTTTGACCTCGACGTTGGGAAGATTCTTTGCCTCAAGCTGCAATCGCATGTCTTTCTGTGGTTCCACAGCGAGAATACTGAACTTCTCGTTGCGCCTTGACAATTCTTCAGTAAATTTACCGGTGCCAGCACCGAGATCGAGTACATGTGCGCCCTGTCTGCCGGAAATTTTGAGGTTGTTCAACAGGTCTTCGACCGCCTCGAGGGGGTACGCGGCACGATGCTTGTCGTCCGTATCGGCTTTGTAAGGGCACCGTTCGGTAGCGTCTTGCAGTGGCGGAGACATGATGAAGACACAATTCGGATAGAGAAATTGTTTGCTAGAAGATTATTCAGGTAGTGAAGAACATGGAGCAATCTAGGTGGATTTATGGTGTCCCCGTTACTTTTCGCTCCCCGAACGAACGGAGGGTTTGACTGATGACGACTTGTGACTTGTGAATGCCTGACACTTCAGGCATCAAAATCGCTCTAAAAGAAATCTCTGGACATCCTCAATGAGGATTCAATTCGAGAGCCGTCGGTTGAGGTGTAAACATTGTTGTCTCAACAGTCATACTTCTCTACCCGCGCCAGAGCGTGTGTGACCTACTCTATCTTGAAATAAGTCAAAGGCAGTACTTGGGTCCGTCATGTCTCAAATATGGTATCAATAACCAGATATCTGAGATGGTATTTTTACCAAGTAAGCTGCCCATTGCATGCAGGAGCAGTGTCAATGCTACACACGTACAGTATCGAGGCTCTTGACCTAGCGTAGACTGTGTTTCTAGGCAGGTAAAACCCTTACAAGTGCTAGTCGTGAATGTTACAACGAAAGTAGACAATGATAATGCGTTCTCGAGCTCTCGATCCATTGCATGTAGTCCGTGGAAATAATGATGGTTTTGGACAACAGCTCTCACAAGGTCGCGATGCAATGGACATGACGACACTCTTCATTGCTCTATTCGACCGAGTGCCTTGGATACCGATGAATGAACTTCTTGCTCTGGAAGGCCTTTAAAGGCAGAGTATTGATACTTGGCAGCGGCTGTAAGCAGTATCGACATATCTCAGATAATTGCTATTCCTGAGTGGATACCGCTGCCTAGTGGAGTAACTAATTCCAGAACCCCGAATCTGGGGTCTGACATCTCTTTCGCTAGAAGGCCCGCTACCCGTGTATGGCCAAGGTAAAATGAAATGCAGCGCTGATAATCTAGAAGGATGCTCTGCCACAACTCGTACTTTAGGCACGGAGCGCAATGGAACGGGGAATGATCATAGACGTGAGCAGTGTCCTTGACTTCGCAATTTATATGACATTGGCGGAGCTCCTCGGCAGAGCGCCACCTCCGCCCATGTCCTTAATTTGGTCCTTTTAGCACATCGATCATCGATGACCGACTCATCATGGCACAGCGCAACACGCGCACACACACACACTCTCTCTCTCTTTCTCTCTCTCATATCAATTGGCAATGTAAAGCAAACTCCCGGTAGGAGTATAGCATGATGAGTTCGCAGTCATAATGAAGACCTGACAGGAAACGCCGTGGCTAGCAGTAGCAGAGCTTGGGATGAGATGATGATGCAGCCGAAGATGCCAAGCGCAGGCAGGAGACAGCCCGTGCGAGAGCCATTGGACCCCCGCCACAGCCGTGCAAGGGCTTAGGTTTGGCTGGTCTCTACCAGATTACCAGTCCTGATTCAGCCTCCTTCGATAATCCGGATAATAATAGTATTGTTTAGCGGAGCAGACGAGCGCGAATCTGCTTGGCTTTTCTGGCCTGGGTGAGAAATCTCTCCGCATCCTGTCGTCGGCTGTAGGCCAAATGCAACCTCAACTCTTCAAGAGATATGTATTGCAATCTCGCGCATGTCTGAGACTATGCAAAGACAGCCTGCGTGCTCAGACTCTGAAACTCACTGGGAACAGCGAAGGTGGGTGGGTGGTGGGCGAGGTTTACGGCTGTTACAAGCTAAATTTGGCTTTGAGGCTGTAATAGGGTCACACCGACCGCAGGGGGACTCTTTCGGGACAAGCCTGTGTTAGGTCAGAGTCAGGGGCCTCAGGGACACGAGAAAATGCAAAGTTCAGAAGACTATGATCTTCTTCTGTTCGTGGTGAAAGATGTGCGGTGAACTACGGGAGCAAAGCAACAGGTGCAGTGTCAAGAAAGACGTGTCAGGAAGGCAACAAAGCCGGGGGATGCACACTGGCTGTCAGGAGCTTGAGGTGGACGCATGTGGATGTGCGGATGTAGATGTGAGGAAGTGTGGATGTGAGGGAGGGGGGTGGATGTGGATGTGCCGTGAAGGTTGTATTATATTGCCTGGCGAGAAGTAGAGGCTGTGGTGTTCAGCAGAGCGTGTGAAGAGAGAACGGAATACAGGGACAGACAGACGGACACAGCGCCATTCATCCTCAGCAACCTTGAAAGTCCTTAGGTAGTAAGTTTTAGTCGGGCAAGGTAATTAGGGCAAAGTAGGGTAGGAGAGGGTGTTAAGTTGAGTCCATTAGTCGATAGAGTACTAATCATTATTAGTTGGAGTCTGGAGACATCGATGAGGAGAAGAAACCTTCCAAGCTTCCCTAATTGCCGCGCCCCTGCTGTCTGCTTCATCACCAATCCTCTCTCTTCGACCTCGTAGCATCATCGTGCTTTTGTTGTTCCTTGCCTTTGAGTCTTCTCCTACTAATTAAGTCTCTCGTTTCCATCGACTCCAGCCAGTCAGCTTTGTGGTGTCGGCCTATTTTCCGCCGCCACACGGTAAGTCGCTAGGTTTCCTGCCTCTCCGCCTACATCACCTCGATTTCTCCGATCAGCCTCCTGTTCACTTCACACTTCCATACTCCATCCATTCTCTCAACTTCGACCAGTCCCTCTACTCCTACCAACACCCTTGCACGACTGTCGCTCTCTACCGTATCGCCGGCTCGAGCACTGAGCTTCCTTCCATGTCCGCACGTCATCTCACCCTTTCCGTTCTCAACAATCACCTTTCGTTTTGCTGGCTCCAGTACTCCCTGTCCGGCATTGGAATCTCTCCACGCGTACCTCACTCGTCACACAAGAACACAAACTAAATCGACACCATCACTAACGAGACATCCGCGTGTTGTAGACTACCTTGTCATTACCCTCGGCTCCGCTCGTTACACGCTCCCAACATCGATTTCTGCATTACTGTCCTGCTATACATCATTTCAACATCCGATACGCCAGCGACACTCCTTTGTACATACTCTTGAGCTTGTCCTTTGTGATAGCTCATTTCCCGTGTCTATAAATTGGACAGCGGAGTCTTCAGGAGTGTTCATCGTTGTGGAGAGCTTCGCATGCGGTAATCGCCTTCCCCATGCCGCTAAACTTTTCGAACAAGGTCTTTCCACGTCGCAAATCTTCTGGAAATGTCCTTGACGAAGTACAACGCCCAACCTCCGACGGATTCAGGGTTATGAGCCAAGTAGAAGTGGAGAACAAGAAACAGCTCCAAGCAGCTGAGAAGGAAAGAAGGAGCCGGTCTGGTTTCTTTGGTACCAAGCCCCGTCAAGGATCAGTAGAGGCTGAAGAAGATATTCGTGCTCGGAATAGGTTAGTATACCCAAGTCCTCTTAATGCTTACCTTCATACAATTGTTAGCTTGAGCCACAGCGCTAACCGTGCAACAGTTCTCTCTACGACAATTCTTCCTCTTCAGCACGTTTCAGCTCATCTTCCACGCTTCCTTCATCGTCAGACAAAGAAAACTCGGACAATATCTTTGCTCCTACCAAGATTTCCGATTCGCGCACGTTTTCGCTTCGTGGAGCTGGCCGCACCTTCACATTTGGGGGCAAGAGCTCAAAGCTAGATTCAATCAACGCAGCAAAGCCTTCGCCGCCTCCTCTGCCTCACAACATACCTCTTCCGAATCCACAATTCAGGGAGAGATCCATGACGACGACTAGCTACGCTAGCACTGCACAACCACCCAAGATTGATTACAGAATAGAGCAGGATACTTCGGAATTTGGAAGTGGCTTCGACAATCTGTTTGAAGGACTAAGCAGTCCTCGGCCTGCACTAGACAAGCCTTTACCACCAGGGCCTGCTCAACGCACCGTAAGATGAAGCCTCAACAGATTCATGACACGACCGGCACTGACAATTATCCAAACAGGAATCTGAGCCAGTCTTGGCCCTTCCCCCACGAGTCTTCACTTCTACTCGTCCAAACGCTCCTCCTGATCCGGCTGAAATCAACGCCATTCGTCGAGACAACAATCTGTCGCCCAGATCCTGGTCTTCACAAGACAATTTGATATCCTCTTCCTTAACTGACTCCCCTGTGGAAGAGCGAGCGCCACCGGTGCCTCCGCATAGAGATATGAACAGTCCTAGGATGCCTCCCGAGGCCATTTCGCCGTCTTCCGACCGCTCCGACTCACCCTATCGTCCAGTGCTCTCCACGTCTCAACAGAACTCATATCTTAGCCTACCAACGTCGTACACGCGCAAAGACAGCACATCATCTGAGCTTTCACCAAAGCACTCGTTTTCATCCATATCTTCTCAGGAGGAACATACTTTGACACGAGCACCAGTACCTGTGCGCAACACTGCTTTTAGCGACGGGGATGAATCCGTCGCTAGCGACGCCACGCCACGCGCAACATCCCGGCGAGATGCCGACGATGATGATCTTGCTGCATCTGCGGCCGCAGCAATGTCCTTTGCTGAACGACCACCAGCCAACAAGGTCATGAATCAGGCTCAATACAACAGCTACCGTCGCCAGCAAGAGATGCGGGCCCCTAGCGTACATAGCGAATCAGATACCGAGGAGGATTACAACTACGACGAAGAAGATGAGGCGGAGCGTCAGAGAGAAATTGCGAAACAAAGACGGAAGCAAGAGGCCGCAATGTCCGTCTACCGACAACGCATGTCCAAAATGACTGGGGAGAAGCCGATGCAAGCCCCGTCAATGATTGCCGAGCATCCAACGGCAGTCAAGAGTGACAGCGTTCCAACTGTCACGATTGGTGACGAGTTTTCAGACGAGTTGGCTGACACACTTGGCGCGCTTGATGGTACTACTCCGACCAGGAACGGGATCAGTGGGAAGAGCTCGTCAAGTGGTGCCAGCGGTGAAGAGTCACCAGACGAGGACACCCCTCTTGGCATTCTGATGGCTCATGGCTTTCCGAGCAAAACTCGACCTCCCACTAAAATGTATGGAGCAGGTACACCAGTCGTTGTACCGTCTGATCGCCCGGTGTCTGCCGGAAATCCGCGTGCTTCAATGATGCCCGGACCTGGAAAAATACCTCCTTTTGCCCGTGGTCTGCCCCGGGAAGCGCCAAATTACTTCGGCGATGGACTCGTTCAGCCATCAAATCGGGAATCTTTCGCATTGAATAATCACGCTCCTGCTTCCGTCTACGGTGGCTCCATGGCTGGCGAACAGCAACGATCTACCACACTGATCAATGTTATCGCCAACGAAGAACGTTCAAAAGCTATGCGTCGTGGCAGTCCGAATGCTCGAAATGGCTTTGGTCCCATGATGCAGTCTAACCAATCGATGCCCAACTTTCAGGTGTCTCAAAATATGCAAAATCTAGGCAACGGTATGGACATGAACGGCATGATGGGTATGCAGGGGCCGGGTGGAAACATGGATCCATCGTTTCAGTGGAATCCCCAGGCTTTCTTTCAGCATATGGCCATGCAGCAGCAGCAGATGTTTGCAATGACACAACAGATGATGGCGATGGGAGGCATGAATGGCATGAACCAACCCATGACACCCATGTCTGGGCCAAACGGAATGCAGAACGGCTACCTGAATCCTAGTAGTACATATGCTCCAAGCGTTGCCGGAAGACCTATGTCTATGGCACCCTCAATCTCGAATCGGACGAGTACAATGGTAGGACGACCGCAGTCTACATTTGGTCTTGAACCAAGTGCCCGCACGCAGAGCATGGTCCGCCCACCGTCCACATTCAATCTTGGCTTGAACGTACCCTCTTCACGACAGAGCACCCTCATGAGTGGTGCAAATCCAAATTACACCCCTTCCATTGCGCCTTCTGAGCGTAGCACGGTTGGTATGGCCAGCAGATACCGACCCGTGAACACATGCGTGAACGAAGGCGCTTCAGTGATGTCTGGACAACTCAGTAATCATCAATTGCAACACCAGCAACCTGGTCCAGCAAGTTCAGACATTCATACTAGGCAAAAGCCAGGGCGAGGCAAGGCCTTTCTGAATGCCTTCAAACGCAACACACGGCACGAGGATATTGAAGAGGAAGACTGGTCTGACGTGGCTCAACGCAAGAGTCGGTTTCTAAATCCGGACCGGAAGCACGAGCGGGACTTAAAAGACCTCTGGCCTCAGGACGCATGAAAACAACACTCGGATTGACCTCGGTTCGAATATTCACCCTAATAATCAAAAGCCTACTACATTCTAATCTGGCACCATCTCATTTATGCTAAAACAACGCTCTCTACATTACCGGCGGCCATGCCAATCTTTTCGAGATCAATGCGTTGGTCAAGGACGTAGATACAAAAGAATCACTGTCTCCTTCCGATGACAGGATAAAAGTCAATTCGGATCCAGATCATGCCACCTTCAACTCAACATAACGGCGCATCGAGCTGCGCATTTTCATAATCGCGTAGATATTGTTTTCCAACTGTTCCAAAATCTAACGGCGAGGACATATCGTCATAACCTTTCCGCACAATTGCATAGCATCTTGAGTAATGGAATGTATTTGCGTACACGCACGGCGGGCTTTTGCACCGCTGTGAAATTCTTGAGGGGGTGGTGTGCTTTACTGATATGAGCGCGCAACGAGAATGTGGCTTGGCGATAGAGGAAGTTTGGTGATGATGCATGGCAGCAAAGGGTATACTGAGGATTTGTATGGTAGTGATGACGTAGCTTGCATGCATATATCTCTTCCTGTCACCAGTGTGTACGGACGTCAAGTCTACTGTTTCTTCCGCTCGGATGACTCATGCAATACGTGTCGACGATGTTCCACTGAGGTAAGAGATGTAATACTGCTCGACCAAATCTTGCCTATCGCGCAATGGGTGTCTACTTCATGCATATCAATCAACTACCGCGCTCTCGCACTACTGGTTACAAAGCGAGATTGTTGGGACTTCTACTGTCTACGGAAGCCTTCTCTCCTTTCGGCTTATTAGTAGCATGTGGCTAGCAATTGATACGATTGGACAGCATATAAATCACATCGCAATGCATCGAGAAAGCGGCCATGTAGCAAGCAAGCAACAGTAGGGCACGGACATATATCATCACACTAGGTATCGTATCTAATCTCCGTCTATAGCTTACTCTCCTCCTTCTCATCTGGTTTCCGCCTCGCCTTCATATTTCTCTCCGCACTTAGGATCATCACGATATGATGGCTTAACGCCACGATATCGCCAGCAGGATCCATGACAATGACCTCGAGATCATATCTCCCATTCTTGATCGCTTTGGCCCTTACCCGGGTGAACAACCACTCCACCCCTCCCTCTGGCAACCCCTTTTTAATGTCTATATTCAGTAGCACCGTCGGAAACCAAAAGCTCTTCCCCTTGAAATATTCTCGTGTGGCAGGGGATAGATTGTCGCTTGTGCGATACTGCTCGATGAGCTGCGGGAACATATCGCACACGTAGCCCAGCGTATCGTTTGTCCACTTCTCGCCGGAGCGGAATTGAATCCACTCGTCTGCAATGCTGGGATGCGCCTGCCCGTGCCGCGGATGGAACCAATATATCTTTGTCGCAGCTTTGCGAAATTCAGGGAACTGTGTGTAGGCGTCATATGCCCAGTTCTGATCCTCGCAGTGCCACTGTGCGTCGTCCGTCTTGCTGCGCACGCCGTCGTTGACGCATTTGGTCAGCGCAAGGAGGTCTGCGGGCGGCGAGGGAGGAGTCAGGGTGTGGTTTGTGGCGAAGCTGACGCCGGATTCGGAGGCGAGGTTTGTGTGGGTGATGAAACCGAGGACTTCCTCGCGGGCGTGTTGCGTCAGGGAGATCTGGACGAGGGATGTTGCGCGGCCAAGCTTGATGTCTGTGACTGTGAAGGATACCGGGCCGATGCTTGTGCGGCGGACGAATTCAAGGTGGAGGGAGAGGAGGTCAGGTTGGTTCTGGGCGGACAGGGTCGTGGAGAAGTGTAGGCGGGCCACACGTTGGATGGCAGAGGTTACATAGCCGCCGTGAGGGACTGTAGTAGGTGAGTCCTGAGAGCCGCGATAGTGGTTTGGTGTTTAAAGGGTGTGTATACCTGAGCCGATGCACCAGTCTTCGTGGAAGTGACCTTCGTACTGGTGCGTGCCTTTGCTGACGATGGCCGTTGCGTCGGCGAAGGAGGGCATGTTTCGATGGTGCCCGGGAGCAGGTCTGTATGTCAATTTCTTGTCTAGAGCAGCACCATCATCATCATCACCAGACCCGCGGTTGGAAAGTGAATACCTTACCTAGGTACCGCGAAGTGTATGTTGACGCTTGGCGTCATCGTTCGCGGGCCTCGGCCGAACCCCAGGCGCATGCATGCCTGCCTCGGCACTTCACACAAGACACGCAGCACGCCCGACACCGTGCGCCGAAGATCAAGACGCTGATGGATTGCCGACGACAGCCGCTGGTCTTGGGGGGAGAAGACGCCCATGACCGAATCAGCAACAGCGTTCTCTGTTACGCGGCCACTCTTAGCCATTAGCCGGTTGCTCGCCCGCCCATCATGATAGACTGTGGACCCTTGGACTGGGGTGTCTTCCGACACCGACAACACGATATGACTTTCATGTTCTATTACGAATACTGACGACCTGAACGGAGCTGGATCCTCGAATTCCCTGAATACACAGGGCCTGTTCTCTTGTCGTTGCAATTGATTAGCAAGACGGCTGTGTACTTCTAACCAGTATGCCGACCAGCTCAGTTTATCCAGACGTAGACATCCCAGATGTTGATATCTGGGGCTTTCTCTTTGAAGGGGAGCACAGGATCCCCTATCCAGAGGACAAGGGTAGGTGATGGACGCAATACCAGCGCTTACACGTCTATTCTTCCCTTTACTGACCATTGTCTCGTATAGTCATCTATATCGACCCTTACACGTCCCGTAGCTACACTTTCAAGCAAGTCAAGGATACCGCAATCGACTTCGGCAAAGGTCTGAAGGCAGTGTGGGATTTCCAGAAGAACGACGTTGTGTGTCTGTACACACCCAATTGTATCGACACGCCGGCAATAATATGGGGTACACAATGGGCTGGCGGTATCATTTCGCCCGCCAACCCAGGATACTCGCCTGAAGAGCTCGCATTCCAGCTGAAAGACTCTGGAGCCAGTGTCATCATCACCCAGATGCCAATGCTCGAGCATGCCCGGAAAGCGGCTAAGATTGCTGGCGTGAGCGAGGATCGCATAGCAGTGATTGGCGACCAGAAGGATCCCCAGGCTAGAGTGAAGCACTTTACAAGCATTCGAAATATCAGCGGAGCAACCAGGTACCGACGAGTGAAGAAGAAGTCGACCGATCTGGCATTCTTGGTCTATTCGTCTGGCACCACCGGTCTGCCCAAGGGCGTTATGCTGAGCCACCGGAATATCGTCGCAAACTCTCTCCAAGGGGCTACACTCGAGGGCAACCTGGCATGGAACAATGGACCTAATGGCGAGGGAGACAAAATCCTAGGATTTCTTCCCTTTTTCCATATATACGGCTTGACCTGCCTCATCCACCATGCCATCTATCGTGGCATCCAGCTCTATGTCATGCCGAAGTTCGACCTGCCCGACTTCTGCCGGTTCATCCAGGAATTCAAGATTACGTTTGTTTATGCCGTACCGCCCGTCATCCTGCTGCTTGCAAAGCATGAAATCGTTTCAAAGTACGACCTGTCGTCTCTACGCATGCTGAATTCCGGCGCGGCCCCCCTGACCAAGGACATCATCCTTGCAATCCATGAGCGCCTCGGTGTCCGTGTCAAGCAAGGCTATGGCCTATCCGAGACCAGCCCAACCACACACTTGCAAGCCTGGGAGGCATGGAACAATCCCTGGGGCTCCGTCGGCAAGCTGCTTCCCAACCTTTCGGCCAAATACGTCGGCGAGGACGAGAAGGAGGTCGAGGCGGGTCAAGTTGGCGAACTGTGGATGAAAGGCCCGAACATCTTTATGGGATATTTGAATAACGAGAAGGGCACTCGCGACTGTCTAACCGAAGACGGTTGGTTCCGAACTGGAGATGTTGGGTACCAGGACAAGGACGGCAACTTCTTCATCACCGACCGCGTGAAGGAGCTGATCAAATACAAGGGGTTCCAGGTGCCACCCGCCGAGCTCGAGGGCTATCTCGCCGGGCATGCGAAGATTGACGACGTTGCCGTGCTTGGAATCTACAGCGAGGAGCAGGCCACTGAGCTTCCCAGAGCATACATCGTGTTGAAGAAGGGAGTGAGCGCGGATAAGAGCACGGCAGACGAGATTAGCAACTGGCTGGCCGGCAAAGTGGCAAGTCACAAGAAGCTCAGGGGTGGTATCCGGTTCACAGACGAGATCCCAAAGAGTGTGAGCGGGAAGATTCTGCGACGGGTATTGAAAGAGCAGGCGAAGACGGAAGACGGCGCGCCCAAGGCAAAGCTGTAGGTATGGACTGTTGATGCATGTCATGAGGGATTGTTTATTGCATTTCATGACGGACAGTTAATGCATTTCATGTCGGATAGTTTAATGCATTTATGAAGGACTGTTTAATGCATTATGTGAGAGCTGTCTGAACATGTGGCCTGGTAGTAGTACTCTCGACGAATTCGAGTACCATGTTGACAATTATCCGGCATAGTATTGAGATTAAACAGTACATCTCAGCAGTCCTAGTGTTCATGCGTGTGATGATGGGTTGACCTCGTTGACCTCGATGGATGCGTGCATGCATCAGACGGCCAAAGTTCGAAGAGGTACGGTATTATTATTGATGGATATATCGAAAGTACGGACATGACCACTGATTACGTGTGTCGTTGAATATGACCTGCATGCATGTCCCTGAAGATCCCCCCACCCCCCGGAGAAATGCGTCTTCGCACGCGCATGTCATGTATGCATGTATGCACACAGACACGACACGCCCTACCCTCGGTACACGACCACCACCGAAATATAAACACACAGCTTGTGTACCCTCGTCAATCGGAGATTAGCAGCCTAGCCAAGCCTGCCAAATCCCACACGGGACCCTGGGTGGGGCCTCGGGCTTTTTGGGATGAGGAGAAAAGGGGAAAAGGCGAAAAGGGGAAAAAGGGGAGAAGGGGAAAATGGCCCGGAGGCTTTTTCTTAGGTGGAGACCGGGCGCGGAGAGGGAGTTTGAGAGGGGCCTAGAACGCACTGTCGAATTCCTGTCTCTGTTTGAATTGGGTGTTATAGAAGTACGTTAAATAATGTTAGAAAATAGTTTAGTCTCGTCTCTAGGCAGGGCCGGGACCTGGCCTTTTTTTGGAGGGGGGTGGGCCGGGTGGACTGACTGACACTGACGCTAGCTGACACTTGACGTCCGTTTTGATGAAAGATTAATGATGATCTGTTAATCGGCAATCGGCAATCGATACGCTGATCCGCTAGTCGGGGCATTCTAGAATGCGTGTTTGTTTAGATTCGTTTTTGGGGCGTGTTGTTCACTCCGTGCCGCAGGGATCCGTCTTCTACGCCGTAATATTCCTTATTGACGTCTTTCTTTTCCTGCTCCTCTTCTTCTTCTTCTCTTCGTCTCTTCTTCTCTCCGGCAAAACAAGAGCAACGACAAGAAAAAACTACCACAATGCGCATACCAACCCCGACCCATACACTCGCCATCCTCGGCACCATCAGCCTCACCGCCCACGCATCATCCGCTTCCCCAAACACCACCACAACCACAACCACAAGCACAAACAACACAAACACACCAATGACCTGCCAAGAAATCCTCATTCCCGTCTCCGCAACTGCAGACAACATCCTCCTCCCGGACGGTCTAGACTGGCGCACTGCTACTGACGCGGTGTTGCAGGGTAATGTGACGGGATCGACGATGGCGAGGACGAGGGTAGGGGGTGAGTACGTGATTGCGGGGCGGTACTGTGAGCCTGTGGGTGTTGTGGATGAAGGGGATGGGGATGCGCAGCAGAGGAAGAAGAGGGCGGAGACATTGCAGGTCCTTGTGCACGGGGCGACGTATACGAAGGGTGCGTGATATCCCCCGTTCTGCTTGCCATGTTTTTGCATCCATTTCCTCTTCCGGGAATCTGACATGTATTCACTCACGCACATACTCACAACAACACACCAAAAAAACAGACTACTGGTCCGGCCTCGCACCACCACTCAACCCAAACACCCCCTTCGCCCAGGCCAAATACTCCTACATCCACGCCGCCGCCCACGCAGCCTTCCCCACCCTCTCCCTCGACCGCCTCTGCAACGGCGCCTCAACCCACGCAAACGCCCTCCTCGAATGCCAAATCCCGCTCCAAGCCGCGACAATCGCCCAGATCCTCGCCTCTGCGCGCCGCGGCACCCTGCCCATTTCCGCTGCCCAAAGTCCAAATTCAAACCAAGCCCAACCACACCACCGCCGTCAGACCCAGACCCAAACCCGCACCTTCACCTCCCTAATCCTAACCTGCCACTCCCTCGGCAGTCTCATCTGCAACGCCCTCTCCGCCACCTACCCCTCCGCCGCCGACGCCCTCGTCCTAACAGGCTACACGCCCTTCCTCGCCGCCGGCCTGTCCGGCATCGCCACACACCCGCTCTTTCTCCCTGCTCCGGACAAACCCCTCGGCTACCTCTCTGCCACCCGCGAGGCCGGGGCAGAATACCTCTTCTACGCGACATCCTACGACCGTGTGGTCTCGCACTACGATTTCACGCATCGAGGCAGCGTGACGGTGGGGGAGATTGCGAGTGTGGGGTTGGGGCAGGTTGATGCGGGGGGGTTCCGGGGCGCGGTGTTGGTGTTGAATGGGGATGAGGATGCGGTTTTCTGTCAGCGGGTGGGTGTTGTTGGGCCGGTTTTTATGGCGAGGGGTGAGTGTGAAAAAGGGGGGTTTTCGGAGGCGGTGCGGGGGTTGTATGGTGGGGCGAGGGCGTTTGCGGTTGTGAATTTGGGGGGGACCGGGCATTGTGTTAATAATCACTACACGGCGGAGGAGGCGTTTGCGAGGGTGAATGGGTGGTTGGGGGAGGTTGGGTTTTGAGAGGCTTTGGGGTGGGAAAGGGTGTTGATATACCACACACACGTTACGTATGTACGTATGCTATCCATCCATCTCCCGAACAGCCTCGTACACCACCGCCGCAACGGCACCAACCCACCACCCCGCCCGGGTATCCCCATACCCACCTCCATGCCCCGCGCCACTCGCCGTCTCCACCGGCATCTCTCCCGAGTCCGTCCCTGTACCCGTCGGAGTCGCACTCGGACCAGCATCCGAATTAACCTGCACATGCACATTCTCCACGAACCTCCCCAGCACATTGCCCGCGGGGTAGTACTCGCACACGAAGAACCAGTTCCATGCCCTCTGCTGCCCGTCCCTATCCTCCCTACCCTCATCATCTCCACAATCCCGCCGCGCACACCCCACACTCGTCGTATCAAGCCAAACCAACTGCGTAAAATGCCCGGTAGCAGCCTCAAAGTCACCCTTTGCAAACTCGTACGCCGCGCGCTCTGCGGCCCAGCTGTCGATTGCGGCGGTGGGGGACGGGTAGCCTGTAGCGAGGTTTTCGCCTGTTGGGCCGGACTTTTGTTGTTGTGTTAAAACGGGACAAGACGAAGGGGAAAAGGGGAGACGGGACATGGGAAATGGGGAAAAGGAAGGGAGAAACATACAGAATGCCCCCAGACACACCTGTCAGCCCACGCAGCAGCGGCGTCGGCAAGGGAGGTATTCCAGGCCAGTGGCGGGGCGGCATGTTGGTGGCGGTATGTATTTGTGCTGTTGAGGACGACGGCGTGGAATGTGCCGTCGTCGTCGTCGTCGGAGAATAAGGTCCACGACGGGGTTGTTTGTTGTGCTATTACCACTTGGGTGTGTAATGTTAGTAGGAGTGTGGCTGCGAGAAGGATGAGGTGGAGGAGGAGTATTGGTGGTTGTTTGGGATATATCATTGTGACTATTGTGGGTGCGCTGAGATCAAGGAATCAAGTGCTGTGAGAAGTGTGGTTGAGATGAGCAGACGATGAAGCTGCGGCTCGAGCAGCAGCAGCAGCAGCAGCAGTTATAGATATACAACCTCACTGCCATGGTGCTGGAAGTTGACAGACAATAATTCTGTTCGGGAAGGCGCGCGGGTGAATGGTTGGTAGTCGAGCGCTCTTGCCGATGACGTCGGCGCTAAGCTGGGCGTGTCCGAAGGCAGATCCACGGTATAACACTTCAAAATGAAGCAAGAGTTGAAATCCGGAGCCTCAAGAGCATACAGAATAGTCTTTGAATGATACTTGTTGATTTGAATCACGATCAAACCACGATGGAAAGACGATTGGGCTATTGGATGGCATGTTTGACGTACGGATCAAGGTGAGGAAGGGCGAGAGGGGTCGCGATTTGGCTGCCGGAACCGCACGACTACTGATGGATTGGCTGTGCACCAACATTTGATCTATTGGCTGAAAGAGTATTGGCTTCTTATCTAGGTGAATACACTGAGGACGAGAGTACGCTATTTTGATCTCGTCGGTGATGATCTAGAACTGGTGTCTACAATCATTGGATACGCGCTGATCAACAATGGAGAGCCTTTCTTGATACTGCGATGTAGAATGCGGATGGATTTCCGACGCAAGACAACATACCCGATTCACCCGGTATCAAATGGAGTCAATTTGGAAGGTACTTGAACAGAAAATATAAGAGCTGAAAAGTTCGGCGAATCTTCCTATTGATCACACCAGGTTGGCCGGAAATGAGTATGAATAATGCTTCCTGTAAGTACACATGAATGATGAAAATCCGGAAAGTCCTCGGGTACTCGACCTCGAAGAGCTATATGACTCGCAAATGTCTTCCTCATCGTTCACATGCACCACCTCGCAGCGTCCGCTACCTCCCTCCTTCGCCCACTCTTTAGTCTCACATCATGGATGAGCCTATTGAGCAGTCCGTCAAACAAGTGAGTCCAAATACCTGGCTGATTGGCAGTCTTGTGCTTCATCGTTCAACTTGCGGTTCTTGTCTCGCCACTTGGAGCGACGACGGCGAGAGAAGCTTCGCACTCACGGAAGCGCCTGTACCGCCACCATTAACCACTTCACTACCGCCAGATAATCCACATATTCAGCTTGTGTACAGTGCTGGCGTCAGTTCCGCAGTCTGGTCAGTAGGAAAAAAAGCATTCTGCAAAGTCAAGTCGATCGTTTCGGGAACAACGCCGGAAGCCGCCACAATAGATTTTGTACGGAAAAAACAGCCAGACTTTGCAATGCCAGAGGTTCTTTACCATACTGAATATCACGGCCGATCCTATCTTTTCCTTAGCAGAGTGCCAGGTCGGACACTGGCAGATGCCTGGCCTACTTTGAACGAGGCTTGGCGTCAGTATTATGTAACCGCTGTGACAGAAATCTGCAAAGAAATGCAGGAATGGACAGCGGACAGACTAAGCGGTGTAGACGGCAGAAATATACCTGAGCAGTACCTTGTGAAGAGTAGGACGGCTAAAGACTACAGCCCAGGTAGTCTTGAGAAAGGTTGTAGAGCAATGGCGATGGACTGCTCAAGCTTCGTCTTTTATCATGCTGATCTCGGTCCGGGGAACATTATTGTAGAGAACGATCCTAATTCAGGCACAGTCGGGATTGTTGATTGGGAGACTGCCGGGTACTTTCCTCGAGGATGGATCAGGACGAAGTTTCGAATCTGTAGTGGGATGGACCTTTCTTCTTCAACCGACAACCCAGTCCGGTGGAGATCAGAAGTTCAAAGGTCGCTTGGGGCCAACGGTTTTGAGGATTATTCAAGCGCTTGGCAATTATGGTGGCAATCAACAGAGTTTACGGGTTCGATGAATGTAGTGGCCGCCATGGTCGAAAATTTGGAGTGAAGAGGAAAATGAAATCCCAAGGTCAAGGCTTGGTCGAGTATATGTAGGTCCGTCCTTCTCTGTAGTCGGCCTGCCATCCAAACGACTAGGCAGCAGCTTCTACACGGTCTTGGCGATGAGTGGATGACCTATAACGGCTATGATCTCCGTCTTAATGCACGCGCATGCATGGTCTCCGGTAAGACTTGATTGACGAGGCGGAATGGGAAACTCCATAGCGGGTTTACAGGCAAAGGTAAGAAACTGGACTTACTTCAATAACAGGAGAGCACAATTTCAGGGCTGTCGGAACTATCTCCCCGACTCGGCATTTTCTAGTTGCAGCTGTTAGCGATGGACCAATGAAAAGCGAGACTACGCAGTCTCGCATTAGACACATCCGGGGTCGAAGACGATCTTTACCAGGTAGCTACCTCTTACAGTACTAGCATACAATCGATATCTGATCGATTGCAGTGCACAGAAGCCAGGGGAAATCCGTGGGATGAGATGCCTCACCTGCGCGACCAACGAGGGTGTAAACCAAACTACCTCATTCTGATCCAAGGAGATCGCCATAAATCTCACTTGTACTGACACTTCCGATAATAGCGATTGCCCAAAAGAGAAGCAACTGTGCATAGGAAGGTATTGTGGAGACGTTTTCAAGCATCAGCTCTCGATGATAGCCTCTGTGGCTGTCGTATTATCGCTAGTGCTACATCATCGATTATGTCCATCGTGGCCCATGGCAAAAGATGGGATAGACAGCGGATCAAAAAAGAGAAAAGCGCCATAGGATTCGCTCAACTGGGTGTCACCTTTGTTGTCCAAACATTTTTGATTGGCGTCCTTGCTGAGAAACCACAGTGAACTGCGCATTAATCAGCCATCATCGTGATCTGCCGTGTCGAACATGGACTCGCCTGCAGAGGTTGCAAAAATCGACGATCGTACCTAAAGTATAAAGAATAATAAAAGTCTCAAGCTCATCACTACATGATACTGTTAACTCACAAGAGTTTTTCGCAATGGCAACATACAACGACGCTTTCTCCGTGCCCCTTCACCCTTCCTCGCCACAGTCCATCTCTCTTATTGACCTCCTCTTTCCTAGCCTCAACACCACTCTCGTCGCCTTCCAGCAGCTTCTCGCCGGACACTTGAACAGCTGTGCCGGACTGCTTGGCTTATGTAGGCTTGTCGCGTTCGCAGCAAGGTATTTTTACCGACACTCGAAAGGGGCTGTGCGAGAATGCTATAGTCAGTTGATACCCCATTCCATTGTGACCACTTCTCACACTCGAAGCCTCGACGCTGTACATCTCCGAAGTTGGTGAAGCACGCGATATGCTCGATGCGTGGACTTCTCGTAACTTTGGAGACTCCACTCGTTCTTTCACGGGTTCTCGTTGGCCAAAGGGATGACTATTATGGCAACGAATTTGCCACTACCGTTCGGAAGAAGCCTCTACGATTCTCCATTTGGGGAGGGCAAGCATTGGTTTCGGCACCAAGGCCGATGGTTCCCTTATCAAACGGTGAAAGAGCAGGAAATTTTTTTGGGGTAATCGACAGTTGATATACCTGTCCTGCTTCGGTCGATCTCAACAGCCATTGTGAGAGCTATTCCATGCATGTCGGGCCGAGTACCTAAAGCAGATTGAGCAAAAGACTCTCATCTTTGAGAATCGAGATGGAGGCTGGCAGAAGACGAAGACTCGAAAAATTCGACGGTTTCGATGAAGAAGTCAAGCAAAGTTTAGTACATGACATACAAGACTTTCTCAGCTTGGGAACTCACCCCCGTTATCTGGAAGGAGATGTACCGTACCGCCGGGGTTATCTGCTTCATGGACCCCCTGGAACGTGCAAAACAAGTGCTGTGTTGGCCCTCGTGAGCCACTTCGGCCTCGATGTATACAAGCTGAATCTCGCCAGCAGTGTGGATGATGGTCAGCTCAGCAAGCTCTTCGACGATCTTCCAGGTCGTTGTATCGTGCTCTTGGAGGATGTCGATGCCAACAAGGCTGCGCAGCGGCGCTTGCCATAATCGAATGACCATGACGGCCTTAGTCGAGGAGGTGTCAAAGCCGGAGGTGCAGGAGGCAGTCTCACGTTGACCGGGCTTTTGAATGCAATCCATGGGGTCAGTTCGGTAGAGGGCCAGCTACTTGTCATGACCACCAACCATCCCGAGAAGCTCGATGAAGCACTGGTTCGGCCAGGCAGAATTTACCGGCGAGTGGGGTTTGGCTATGCGACAAAGGATGTTATTTTCCAGCTTTTCTGCAACTTTTGCATGAATTCGAGTACCGAAAACCACGGAGAGTCTCCCATTGAGTGTCGATTTTTCTAGAGAACATGCAGTCATCTAGAGCAGCGATAGAAAGCGTAGATCAGTGGATGGTCAGGGTTAAGTGCCAAACAGTACTCAAGCGTGGTTTTTGTGAGAAGGAGAATTGATCATTGTCCTATTGAAGCGTCCCTAGGAGGGAGGGTATATATAAGTCTTTGCCAAGCCCTCACGTGCCCTGATAACTATTCCATTCTAGGAAGTGTATATCGTTTGACATTAAGCGGGAGAGAAAAGCATGAAGCAAACAGGGTGGAGGCGCCAGGGTGGTGGATCGTTCCTTTTTCCAGATTCGTATGATCCGCGTTATAGTTTTATTGTGCATGTGCGCCGATTCCAGTAGCGTGCTGTCCTTCTCTTCCCTGATAGTGAAACAAGCTGAATACGTGACACCTGCATGTCCTTGCGTTGGGAACGCCATGCAGTAGCCATTTCGAGTTCGCAGTCTTAGCCATACTCGTGTATAAAAGGAGGGCGAGGTGCTCCTGCTGGTGCCGTCTTCCTGATGTTGGTTCGGAAGATACTCCTCCTCCGTTATTCTACCACAAAGTATCCCCCTGCTATCCAAACGCTGCCAAAAATGGAGACCATCTTTAGGGACTCGTGGGATAGAAAACTATGGCTCGACGTTTGCAGCACACACCAAGACGCATATAAATGGGACTGGGACGAGTTAGCTTCTGTTACGGACTGGTGTCTCTTCACACAAGAAAGGAACTTTAGGGAGGTCTCGAAGGAGGGACTACTCAGTGTAGCAAAGCACGTAAGCATACAAAACTTGATAACGTAGAGCTGAGCTGACGGACTCAAGGGCTTGACTGTTCTTGGTTGCAACCAGACTGAAATTGCTGTCAGCTTCATGATGGATGAAGAACGGTATCGGACGAGCATTTCATCTACTAAGCTGGAGTTTCTAGAAGAACACCTATGCAACATTCCATATTGGATCGTTTTTGGACAGGGATATTTGCGTGAAATGGACCCAGGTGACGTGGATGATTCGTCTTTCGTGGGGACGAGCTTCGACCACGCTGTGCCTCTAGATTGGGAGGTTGATCTCGGGTTGGATACGGGTGGAAACGCAAGCAAACTTGCACTTGCGCAACCTGACGTCTCTTTCGAATCTAAGAGAACAACCCATGAGTCTGCAGAGCCATTCTTCAGGCCAGAAACCTCTGGCCAGAGCCTGTCTTCGCTACCCCTCCAATCTGGATCCGACTTGGCCTTGTCGAATACCTCCACCACTTATCAAGAATCTTAGTCAAGCTCACTGAAGAACAGCGGTGGCAGAATCACAACGAATCGGAGCAACGCCGACGCACCATCATCGGGAAGAATTTGTCAATGATTCGTGATCTTGTTCCTGCTTTAATGGATACAAAGCCAAGCCAAACAACGGTCATCCTTGAAACATGCGAATTCCTACACGATCTCGTCGAAGGCAACACGAAGCTAGAGCAAAATCTTGGGCCGGAACTAGCAGGCCCTGGCCCGGGTAAGACGTCCGGGAAGTAGAATTTATGAAAGCGAACGATTTGTCCTGGAAAGTAGGGACATGTGGTGATAGTAAGACATCCAGGAGATCTGGAATCGCACAAAGCTCTCTCAGGGAGCGGTACCTATGCAACATCCCCGACTAGAGCGTTTTTGGGCAAGGACATCTGCGTGAAATGGACCCAAAAGACAAACAAATGGGACGTACAATGGGTGACGACAGAAGGGCTGATAATCGTTGATGTGGAGTCTGGCAAACTGTACACTGTTCGGTAGAGAGCAAGAAGAGCGAGAAGCGAAGTTGACCATCTTTCATTACTGACCGTTTGGCGTCCTAATATCTCTTAACAATTTTCGATCGTCTGTGCTACGACTACTTCTCCACTCAGAAGTATAACGAACAGTATATCCCTTACCATCTACTCCAACCTGCCTTCCCATTCCCCTTATCTTCTGCCCCATCGTCGGAGAAGGATTGGTAGATAATTGATTTACACTAAGCTTGATTCATCCACCCAATTCACAAGACAAGCCACCTATATCAGCCTATCATTACAGCGGCTGAGACAGAAATTGGTAATGTAGATGTATAGGGTGTGTTCTCTATCAATGACTACTTCCGACGGTTGGATACAACTTACAAGCAATTGATTCCCATAATTGCATGCAGAGACGATGTTGAATGCGTAACCATTCATGACCCTTGACATAAGCAGCCTTGGCAACAATGGCGCCCGTTCTCCTTAATCGCCCGCGCGGGCTCGCTGATCCTCGGCGCCCTACCGCCTATCGCTTTCCCGAGTTTGGGGTCCCGCTTTTCGGAAAGGCCCACTTCTACCCGCCATCATGCCGCTATGCAGGGAACTCCTACCGGCCAATGGTAGCAGGCCCTTCTTGCAGCCCGCATGGCACCGGATGGCCGTACGGGCTCTTCTAGCGCTAATGATGACGCAACGGCAGACTAGCTGTTATCGGAAACGAGATTAGAACTGCAGGCTCGAGGCACTTCGTCTTCATTCTTCGGAGAAGGCTGAATGGGAGGGGAGCCCAACTCTCGAAACCCGAAGAGCCATGCAACATGTCCATGTTCCCAGCGCGATTGCCAGATTCGGCCACAATCTACCCCTGCTGCCCCCTTCACGAACTCAAAGACGGCGGCTCAAAGGAAGACGCAAATCCATTGAAGTGCCCCTGAAGATTGAAGAGGTAGACGCAGCGCGGCTCATGGTTGCTCAAGCCTTCCGGTCAATGAGGTATCACCATCAACTGGGTCCAGCACTGCAGGTCCTTTGTCAACTACATCTTAAACTACATCTTAAACTACATCCGCGACATCACAGAATCTTTTGTATAAGTAAAGAGAGGCATTGGGCAAGGGCACTTCGTCAACTGCCAGGGAAGAAGCTTTGATGATTTGATCGATACCAACAGGCTAATTTTATAGCCGGGAGGCATTTGGATGGATGTCTTATTGACCACACTCCTTTCCAACTAGATATCCAAAGGTCGGAGTTTCTAAATGTACCAGGTCTACGATCGATCAGCACTGCCAACGAGGCGTTCTCCCGAATCGGAACCTTCACCTTCAGCCAACATGCAAGTCACCGAGGGAGATTATGCCATTCGTAGAAGACGATTGCCAGCATAGCCTCCACTAGTACCGCGCCGATAGGATTATCTTTCTTCGGAAATGCAAGCGCTCTTCTCCGTTCCACGTATCATAGCCTCGAATCGACATCGGGTAGGATTGCCATACCGCATCTAAGCCCATCCTGGAGCCATGGGAACTCCATGCGAATTCGACGACATGCTAGCTGCAACACGTGCTCAATAAGCTCGCGCAGCATATAAACTGCAGCCAGTCCCTCCTGCTGTCCTCTCGCTTTCTTCCTCTTCTTTCCTCTCACACAATTCCATCGACTCGTCGTCACGTGTACAACCTCTCTATACATGATGAACATGCAGTACGTCCAGGAAAGACTCGTCTTGTGTTCGAACGACTTTCCCCCCTCCCCTGCAGCCACCAAGACCTTTGCCGACGAATTCGTCGATTTGGTTGCTATTGATAGTTGCGAGTTTCCATCCCAGAGCCAGCTCGAACCAATCTCCCCCCCCCCCCCCCCCCCTGTCGGACGACCTCGATGATCATGATAACAGTCTCTTTGACTCTGATAATCATTCTGGTCTTGGTTCCTCCCCAAGTCACCTCCGACGACATTCCAGGTAGCCTCCAGGAGTTCAATGAGCTTGTCTTCGGCGACCACGCGAGCTTCGGAAAAAGGACCCCCAGTGTGTACCAACGCAGGGCTTGACGACATGTCTTCTGTTTTTGAGCCCAACACCGCTGTCCAGGAGATTCGACAAGGATCGGTGGGCTTCGCCAGAGCAGGAGCACGTGTCCGCCTCTGGAGAGGTCGATCTACAGCATGTCCAAGACTGATCACGGGGCTGCTGATACCACATCGAGCCTACTCTGCAACGATCAAACTGAATCGAACGATGGCCTTATGACTAGGCAGGACGATGGCGTAGACTGTTTGATGATCTAATCCCCTACGCGTTCGGTCAGCCAATTGCGTCCCGCCCCGAAGGCCTGTCGCAAGAGAACGAAAGAGGAGTAGCTGATCCAAGGAGCTCTACTGCAAGCCATGTGTATCCCCCTTCTTTGCAACACGTACAATATCTACAAGATTCACCTTCGCAGCGCGGAACATAAAGAAAGAAAGAATCGGCGAGCTTGGTCCGGCAGCCCGCCGAAGACCATGGCCATGTATCGGTGAAGCAGATCGCAAATACCGCAGAGCACTCTCAAGAAAAAGTGTTGTGTGATGCAAGCCCGTCCATAACGGCTGAACGACATGTTAAGCTCTCGACGCGATCTGCGCCTTCGTGAATGCCCGCATACACATTACTGGGATTCATGATCGTCGATTTTGGGATCAGACGAACGACCAACCAATGGACCGGAAAGGAAAAGCGGCAGATAACCGGCCGTATCTCGAGAGTACTTACTGCTTACAACGAGCGGGGTGGACACGGGAGAAAGACCTCCCGCGAATATGATGTTGAATCCGACACTTGCTAAAGAGCAGGTGAAGGTTCATTTTCGAGCCTGGCTGTGAGGACACGTGATGCATTTGTGGAAACGCTGGTGGTACTGGAGACAGGATTGTGGGCTGGTTGAAGTTTGTATACTGTGATGATTCGAATTCCTTGGAAGCCTCTCCCGGAATGGTTGCGCTCCCAAGGTTTCCTGGCAGGAAGTTTTGCACAGGTCATCTTTAAAGGCAGTTTCATTGACTACGATGGAAGTGTTGCATTGTATTGTATTGTTCAGTGTCAGTAATCTTGATTATAAGTTCTGTTTTCAAGCCACTCCCAATCCAATGACTTTTACTGAGTGCATGTCAAATTCGTTACATGAAGTTTCAGTATATAAGCGCCCAGCCGGGGGCGGTGGCACGGGATGAGTTCATGGATGGCTTTTCCTTCCTAGCAGCATCGGACCACAACCTGTTCCATTTCAGATACTGTATGTATGGTTGAAGACCCTGCCTGGAGAGTGATCAGAACGTATTTATCGACGGCCCAGAATGGTAATTACCTCGGTTTTCCTCAAGGCTAATTACTCTTTCGAAAAAAATGTAAAGACGATCTCGTTACATCGCTGACATGCAATTGTGCTCATCATGCACATACATGCCTCTAAACTTACTTGTAAGTTCTGCAAGTGACTGACTTTCGTCACGTCGACAGCCTCCCACGGTCGTGCCTATGCATTGCGTTGCGAAGATCGCGACCCACATATGACGCAACGGAGGAGCTGCATAAGACTGTGCTTTCAGATGCCAACACATCGATCTATCTGCAACGATGGCCTACTACAGCACAGAATTGGCAAAAACTCAACGGCGCGCCCTCAAACGAAAATTTCTGAAAGGCAAGGATTGAATTATTTTAGGAAAGGAAAGGGGGGACAAGTTCCACAAACTCTATAGCGCCGATGTTTTTTCGTTGCAATCCATTCATAACGGCAGACTCTATATCTACAACTCTAGAGGTGAATCATGGTGGGTGCCCATCAGCAGAGGACTTGGTAAGAGTGGTTTTCCATCACCAACGGTTCAAGCTAACCAAAACAGGAAAGGTACTACCCAGCACCTGTCATGTCATAGAATCATATAGGTCCGTATGATCGAAACGAAGTAAAAGACCACCCCACACGCGAGAACGAGCCTGCAAGCATTGCCTTCACGAGTAGGAAAAATCCCATATGCCGATATTTGATTGGTTCAAATTCCTACATGGGCGGTTACTCAGAAGACGCTGCGCGGGTGGGCTTGCTAATATAATAATACTTTAGGTTAGCGAGTATGCGAGCAAGGGGCTAAGACGCTGCGTGGGCTCTTTCTTCCTCGTCACCGATCATCCTCTTAGCTAGCACCAATGATTACGGCAAAACTCCATGCTGACTTTAACATGAGACATGTCTGTGTAGGTGTCTTCCGCGAGTCTTTAGGACAGACTTCGAACCGCCAATACTAGTGCGTGATTTGGCTGTTTCTGAAACGTACCATTGCCCACAATACAGCGCTACCATGCACAATCACAATAATTCCAGGCGATTGATAGGAGGACGGTCCTCTTCGTCTCGTCGCGCGCGTCTATGTTGGTTCATGCTGGAAACCAACGCCGTACGCACGTATGATATCAGCTGCAGATGTATGTATTCGTCGCGGAGCGCAAGTCCAAGATGTATCTCGACTCATTGCCGAGCAAGAATCTGTCACCCTTCCCCAATTTAGCCTTTTCTAGTTCCCTACCTTTCTTTGTACAATGCGGGTGACTCCAGCCGAAAGATGGCCCGCCACGTCAACGGTTGAAAAGCAGCCCAGGACAAGCACGCGGCAGCATTACAGGTCAACAACCGTGCCAAGGCTTTCATCAAAAAGCCATCGAGAGTCGAATCAGAGACCTTCACGATAGTCTGTCTGCAAAGAGATGTTTACCTGGGGAGCCGAAAGTTAGGCGATGATGCTTTTGGAAACTCCTGAAAATGTTGAGCGTCGTACTGACAGACCCCGATGCCCGCCCCGTATCACAAGTCGGCAGCAAAAATGGAAAACTGGCCACCACAGCCTGCAGATACGAGATGTACGTCCTTGAGAGAAGGGCATTCCACTGCAGTGACTCGCTCTATCTCATCTTTACCGCCACCGAGGCCTGTTTGGAATGTTGCGTTGAAGCCGCAGGCATACGCTATTCCTGATTTCGAGATGATTACGGTATGGTCAGAACCAGCGGCAACTGAAACCACGTCGAGACCTAAAACGCCTGTTAGTTTTTTGCATGCTTGAGACTCTCGTAGCCTGTTTGTGAGGCACTATTACCTGGTACCACGGTGGCATTGGCGACAATCCGAATATTGCCTCTGAAGTCTCGCACAACGCTCTCTTCAGGTAATACACTCAGGTCAAGTCCTGTCTGACCTACGTCTGCTCTTCCCCAGACAATACACTCGCCCCCAGAGGTCAAGCCTACGCTATGATGTGCGCCACCGTCAACACTCTTTATATTCTTGCCAATAGCACTCTTCACTCTCCCTGGAACCATAATAACATGTGTGCTACTATCATCAGGGTCAACAGGAAATCCTGCCTCTCCGAAACTGTTCAGGCCCCATGACCAAACGTCGCCCTCTGTGTCGATAGCAAAGGAGTGATATGAGCCACATCCAATTGCAGCAGCCTTCTTACGTCCAATGACAACTCTTGTAGGTATCAAGCTCTTAATATTTCGTCGGCGTAACAAGCGACGACCTAGCTGACTTTGCTCGCCACGACCCCAGGCAAACACCTTGCCAGTGTTATCTAAAGCAATAGCATGATCAGCACCACAAGCAATCTGGGTGATGCGATCGAGTGTCGGAATCAAGATAGGAGTTCTTTGGTGTTCAACTAGTTGATGATTCGCGTCGAGCATAAATCCATTGTTGCCCTCGCTGTCACGAAAGGTACCCCATCCATAAACTCGCCCATCGTCGGTTATTGCGAAACTCGAACTGTCACCGGCTGCTATTTGAGTAAAAAGAACACTGTCTGGGAAATGGTTCGAAGGTATTGGGGTGGGAGTCGACTCGAGGGGATTCATGGGTGCATTTTCGCTATCCGAATCAGGCGCGTCGGCATCAGCGAGATTGCCTTCCCACTTCGTGTCACGTCCCAATGCCCCCGTGTCATTAACGCCCCAGGAGTAGATTTTGTTATCGCGTGTGAGTGCAAGCGCGTGCATGCCTCCAACTGCAATCTGGACAACGCCTACAGACTCCGGTGACAGGTATGGGTTGAGCTTCGGTCGTTTGGCCTGCTTGACATCAGGACCTAGACCAAGCTCGCCCTCGCTGGCCTCTCCAACGGAAAAGATCTTCAGAATGCGTGAGGGTGCCGTGTTAATTACAATTCCGTTGTTCGTTGTGGACCTTATTGCTCTTTTGAGTGCCGTGGTCTTCTGGGCCCTGGGTTTCTTTACGACCACTTCAGGTTGAACAGTATCAGTATCGCTTTCCTGGTGTGTTCGTTTGCGACTCGCTTGACTGGGCTTTGTAGCTACAGCAGCATCTATGGCCCAGGTCAGCATAGGGTTTCAAAGTTTGACTGACAGGGTGCGACGAATGAGATAGAAAGCAATAAAAGATAAGTCCAAAAACAAAAATAATACCTTTTTTTTGCATTCTTTATAGCCTTTGAAACAGTCTCTGAGGCTTTTGCTTGCGCCTTGTCTCCTCGCGTAGGAGGCTTTCGAGCGGTGACCTGCGGCTTTGCAGCTGCTTTCGCAGCGTTCGACTTCTTTGGTGGCATTGGTGGCGCGACGAGTGGTAATGATGACCCACACTGGTGAAGACAAGATCAAGACTGCGAAGGCCTTGTGTGTCGATGAAAATGGGCTACTGAAAAGAATGTGGTGACATATGTTGACCCCGATGTTTTTCGCAGACGCGACCATAAAACAAAGAGTCGCGCTTCGCAGCGCGAGATTCGGGTAATTCTTCGGGACCACGTCCGCTGGTTTTCGATTAGTCTTATCCTATTTTTAGGATAAGATACTTACTAGTTAAAGTAACCCCATTTTTATTTCACCACAGGCTCTTTCAAGGTCAATCGGCCCCACGCGATATTCTATCTATTTTCGGTTTCGTTTTCTATACCCTGGTCCCCATACCATATACGTAACGGTTTCAAATCTACCGGGCAGCAAACATGTCCTTAGTCGCTCTCCCCCCCCTACAAATACTAGTCTTTGCCTGAATCTCCTTGCAGCGCTTGTTACAATGAGTGTTGCCCGCTCGCTATGCAGTTATCATCACTTCTCCAAGATAGTAGTAGGGACATACTAATACAATGCCGCGATTCAGGTAAGTACATGGTTTGAAATTTCATATCAGTATGCCCCCAACGGACCTTGACACATGGAGAGAATAACACTAATTAATCACCTCGAACAAAAAAGTATCTACGAAAGAGGAAAAGGCTTTCAATTTTGACGAGGTTTGTTTGAGCCCCGAGGCAAGAAGTCGCATTCACTTCACCCTTCCCCCGTCTCACCACATGGTGTTTTAATTAGAGCTAAGCTGTGATATCTATCCTAGTGTTGTGCAAGGGCCCGGGTTTAGACAAATGCCAGTGGTTTTCACTCCGTAGTGTCTGTCTGTCGAGAGGTCAGTTAGTTAGTTAACTAAGAGGCACAGGCGGCGTGCGGGCGGCGTACGGTTACAGGGCGTAGTGACCCCCGCATTTTTGGAAACCTTACTATAACCAACTACCCTATAATAACAAAGCCCTCCAATCCTCAAAGACCCTCCGTTCGCAAATCTTTCTTTCTTGAATTCCATCTACCCAATGTAAGTAGTGCCCTCCAGTCGAGCCCATGGCAACAGAAACAATACTCGTCGTCGGCGGCTGCGGCGGCCTCGGCTACAACATCGTGAAACAGTGCCTGCACAACGGCTACAGCGTCGCCGTGCTCGACATCCGAACCGACAGACACCGCGTCGACAAGGCGCAGTACTTCGAGGGAAGCCTCGTCTCGCGCGAGACCGTGACCGACGTCCTCCGCACGACCGGCGCGACCGTCATCATCAACACGGCCTCGCCCCGACTCGTCCACCACCAGCCCAACGAAGTATACGACAAAGTCAACGTGCTCGGCACCGCGAACCTGCTCGACTGCGCCCGCAATGCCAGCAGCACAGTGAAAGCCCTCATCTACACCTCCAGCTCCTCCGTCATCCACGACAACACCAGCAATCTCGTCCGCGCCACCGAAGCCCTCCCCTACGTCCTCGCCCCCGCGCAAAAAGAGCACTACACGCACACCAAAGCCCTCGCCGAGCGCAGCGTCCTCGCCTTCAACGGCCAAGCCGGCATCCTGACCGCCGCGCTTCGCCCCGCCACGCTCTTCGGCGAAGCCGACCAGCTCACGATCCCCACGAATATCGAAAACGCCCGGGCCGGCCGACTCAGGTTCCAGGTTGGCGACGGGACTAATCTGTTCGACTGGACGTACGCCGGCAACGCCGCTTACGCGCACATCCTCGCTGTGAAAGCCTTGCTGCGCGAGCGCGAGCAGGCACACCCCCTAGCCGCACACCTGAAGGTCAACGGCGAGGCATTCAACATCACCAACGACGAACCGTGGCCGTTCTGGGACGTTCCCCGGGCGATTGGCGCAGCGGCGGGGTATCCTGTTGCGCAGGAGGCGGTGTGGGTGATACCAGCCCAGGTTTATTTTGTTGTCGTGGTCTGCCTGGAGTGGATTGTGTGGCTGGGCAGTTTCGGGACGAAGACGGCGCGGATGGACCGCAAGATGGTGCGGTTCGTGACGATGACGCGCACTTTTGATGTTTCCAAGGCGAAGGAACGGCTCGGGTATCGGGCGCAGGTTGGCATGCAAGAGGGCATTCGTCTGTCGGTGGATTGGTATATGGCTCATGGTAAGGGTGAGGGGCAGTGATTGAGTCGGCTCTCTGTCAGATAACTAAACAGGCCATATGGCCTACTACAATCTTACCCTTGTATGATAACACTGTCGACGAGCGCCCGTGAGTCAGTGGTTCGTAGTAATCATAGCTGCGCCTGACGAAGTAGTAGCTTTCTATAATAGTAAAGGCATCATCGGTGCGCTACGAGAGATTGCCAGAAGGATTATAGTTATATGGGCGTGTTTTGAGGCCGCCGAATATGCGTGCGAGGAAGGAGATGTATATATATATATATATATATACACCAAGGCTTGGTGGTCTAGAGAGAGAGCTGGGGGCGCTTCCAGATGATTGTATAGGCGGGCTTAATCATAGGCTACGCGTACGATAGCGACGGACGAACGAGGGGTTAGTAAACTATTTCAACGGTCGATTAACGCTTGATAAACGTTTTCTATTATAAAAATGTTAGTGCGAGATTTAGAGCGAATATAGATAAGTGGTCATTAAAATCTACCTATCAATAAACAGCCTATAAACCCCTACTACCAGCCCCGGTGATCGCCTAGGTATGGACGTGTCAGGGTCAGGGGTCAGGGCCAGGGTCAGGCCATGGGTATCAAGTTAGGTTGGTGATTCTTGTTGATTGTTTGTAATTATGCCAGTACCGTCCTGCCTCAAATCTATGTCCAAAATGGATATCTAGACCGCCAATAAGAGATCTAAGCGTCGGTCTCGTCCGTCCCATTCCGAATCCTTTACCAAAATTAGCGCTCGCCGCCAGTCCTCTCTCTCATAACGTGGGTATAAAGTATCGTGAAAAATAATACAAATGAAACGCGCTCGCTCGCTGAGATGACACGGGAAATCACAAAGACATGGGTAGAAAGTGACAAGCCGCGCCCGCTCGCTGAATGACAAGGAGATAACAAGACAAAGGTACAAGACCACAGGTCCCCGCACAGCAGCAGGTCGCACAGCAGCAGGTCGCACAGCAGCAGATGGCACAGCAGCAGGTCGCACAGCAGCAGGTCGCTCAGCAGAAGAACTTGTAGACCTTCTTCCAGCGCGGCCAGGCGGCCATTTCTCGGCGCTCCTCCTGAATCAGCTCGGCGAGGTTCAGCTCGCGGATGCCGGTGTGCAGGTCCATGCTGTGGCTGCGCACAAACGGCGTGCGGTAGATGAGCTTGTAGGGAATGTAGAAGAGGAGGACAATGGGCACGGCCAGATAGAGCTGGAAGAACTCCCGGGCAAGGTCGCTGCTGCTCATGGATTCGTAGCCGACCGGGGCGATGCCTACCCAGAATTGGGCTATGAGGATCAGGACGTTGATGATGAAGCCGAGCCAGGAGCCGAGCGTGCCCGGCTGAGAGTGGAATGCGAGCTCGTCCAGGGAGTGGCCTTGGACTTGCCATCCCTTGCGGAAGCGGATGTGCGCCAGGCATATACTGCCCCAGGTGAAGATGGAAGACAGACCGGAGATGGCAATCATCCAGTCAAACGCGTTTTCTTGCTTGTTCGTGCCGGCGAGGAAGGCCAGGAGACCCAAGGCAACGGCAATACCGATGGAGACAATGGGTCTGCCTTTGCGGTCAATGTATGCCAGGAAGCGTGGTGCCTGTCCCTGCTCAGCAAGTGCTGCCAGTGTTCGTGACGAACCAAACACGGCCGAGTTGCCGACAGACAGCACGGCTATCATGATGACGACGTTCATGACGGACGGGAGACCTTCGATACCGGCATTTTGGATGGCAATCACAAAAGGCGAGGCAGATGCATCGGCCGAGCTTTTCCCGTGCAGGAGACGGGGGTCATTATATGGCACGAGCAGTCCAACCAACACCAAGGAGACGATGTAGAAGAGGGTGATGCGCCAAAAGACCTGTTTGACAGCAGTCGGGAGACTCTTGCGTGGGTTGGCCGTCTCGGCAGCAGCGAGACCGACAAGTTCGGTACCGGCAAAGGCGAAAGCGGCAGTGACAAAGACGCTACACACGCCCTTGAAGCCGTTGTGCAGGCCGCCCGGGTCACGCCAGTACCTGTTGCCGATGTAGGTGCCGTCCGGACCGCCTCCGATGTTGAGGATGATGCCAAGGATGATGAAGCCAATAATGGCGGTGACCTTGACGATGGAGAAGACAAACTCGGCCTCTCCATAGCCCTTGACGCCAAACAGATTGATGACGACGACGAGGAAGAGAAAGATGGCGACCCAGGCGTTGCTGTTGATCCTGCCGTGGTTCCAGAATTCGATGGTGAGGGAGGCGGCGACTATTTCGAGAGGCAGTACGACGAGCCATTGAAAAGCATAGCTAATTAGCAGAATGAGTAAATGGCCACACACGGGGCAAGACGGGAACAAACTCACTTCCAACCCATGGCAAAGCCCCAAGCCGGATCGAGGAAACGAGTCGAGTATGCAGAGAAGGAGCCGGCGACGGGAAAGAGGACGGCCATCTCGCCCAGGGCCTGCACGGTGCAGTACATCATGATGCCAATGATGCCATATGCAATGATGAGCGAGGCGGGACCTCCAGCCGCTAGCGCACTGCCGGTTCCGACGAACAGACCGGTACCTAGACGTAGGTAGATGAGTCAGCAATTGAACAAGAGAACAAGATTGACAGCATGGTGGAGAGGCATTAATACCGATAGAGCCTCCTATGGCTATCATCTGCAGGTGTCTTCCCTTTAAGCGTCTCGCCAAGGGTGATTCGGCCGTGTTTTGGGCGGCAGACTCGACATCGAATAGCTTGCCATCAGCAGTTATGGTGCCCTTTGATATGGCATACGAGGTAGGATCGCGCTTGAAGCTGTCGATGAGGCGCTGGGGAAAGGAGTCCTTGTGGCTGGAAGACTCTCCATAGTAGGGTGAGGCACCTCTCGAGGTGGAGGTGGAGTAGCTGTGGGACCGGGTCATCTTCTCGTCCATGTCGAGCGGGAAGACTGGAGCTCGCGAGCGCGCAGTCGCGAGGAGGTGGTTGACGTGCGCAGTCAGAGGGGCGATGTAATTTTTTGCAGCGAAGGGTGAGTGAGAGAGTAGGATAGAGGGAGTGAGAATGAGAGTGAGAGAGCAAGAGAATGATGAGTGGCAGAGATGGCTATCAAAGTCGGTGGAGTGCGGGAGATGTAGACGGGGTCGGCCGAGGGGGCGATGATAGGGCGGAGCTCGGGATACAGACACGATAGGCTAGGCGGATGGACGGGGTGCAGATGGAGAGAAGAGGAAGAAGAGAGGTAAGCAGGTAGAGAGACACAGACAGGATGATGGAATGGTTATAACGGGCGACGAGGCGGAGGCAGGGCGTTATTGTGGTAGTAGTGTCGTCGCAGTACCTGAGCTGTACCTCGTACCTCTCATGGCGATAAGTGTAGTATTACTATTACTACTACTTGGTAATTGTATTGTCAGTGTGTCTATCTCGCACGTTCCAGGTAGCCGGGATGCAGGGCCTAACACCCTAACTAACAGTCGAGGGGGGTTAGCAGCGGACTGTAGCCGCCAATGGTTTAGCGTTTTAGCGGGCGTGGGGCTGGCAGACGGGCGACAGGACGGGCGACAGGACGGGCGACAGGCTGGGTAGGGGACAGCGGGCAGTCAGTGGGCAGTCAGTAGTAGTAGTAGTAGTAGTAGTAGTAGTAGTAGTAGTAGTAGTAAGTAGTAAGTAGTAGTAGTAGCCAGGGCAGTCAGTAGGGAATGGTGGAATGTCAGTGGGCAGCTAATTTAGTGGGGAGAGATAGCTGATTGGGGGGCAGGGCAGCGGGCACAGGGCAGAGGGCAGCCAAGACAGCCAGGAATAGCGGGCAGTTTGGCGGGGCAGGGCAGCGGGCAGTGGGCAGCGGGCGGGCAGTGTCCCTCTTTGCTTTGCTGGATGGATGGATGGATGCAGGCGGTGGTGGCGCCGACTTGTTGACTGAATGCGTCTGGCGTGTATGACTGGTCCCTTTGCCACTCTCTCTCCCTTCACTCATCTCCACCCACCCACCAATCACACACTGAACAGACACCATCAATCATCACTACATTACTACTGCAGTCGTGTTTGTTGGAATGTGTCAAACAACATCTCATGCCTGTCACCACCAACCATCTGCCGGCACTTGCTGATCATATCCATCGCTGCCGGCCACTCCGACGACTCCTTGTTCGCATGCGGAAGGTCGGTAAGAAGCAGTGGCCAGCCCGAGTCCTGCCCTGCTGCTTCACTACTCATCAATACCCAATACTCAATCAATCCTCACTCCATGACATCTCGCATATCCTTTACCATTATGCAATCAATCCCTTTTGACCTTCATTCCATCTCTCCACACATTCTACTGCCGCCCCTGCCGCAAATCATGCCTCTCGCTCTTCATCCTTGTTCATCCTTCTCCCTCGACGCTAATCACTTGCATCTCATGTCTGTTTACTTCTGAGCTTCAGCTTGGCTTGTCACACACACACACACCCAGTTCACACAACATCAGGCCATATCGACTACCTTTCAACGCTCCGTCTGTGCCTTTGTTTCCCCGTACCACACACACTTGCTCAAAACTGCGTCTGTGTGCGAGGTTTGCAACACGCCCATGTTGTACACTACACTACACTCCACTCTTTCCTCCCAAACACATCCTGCCAAGTCGCCGACCCTCACCTCTTGCCCTCTTTCTTTCTCTCTCTCTCTCGCCCTACTTTGTCTCTCTCATAAAAACCTTGTCCCATGTCGTCACTTTGCCATCCAGCACGAAAGAGCTCTGCCTCGTTTCTCCCTTGCTTCAATTGCGCCGCATCCAGAGCTGTAGTGAGACGTCCTGGATGCTCCTGAGAACGAACAAACATCATTCCACTCGTCCCTTGCTGCAAACGCCTGTCCACTTGCACTTTTTAATCAAACAGTGACACTCTCGGCCCCGAATCCGTTGTCGTCTTGTCCATCCATTCTTCTACCCTCATCCATCCCACTCGTCCCATATCTCGGCAAAGCACTTCAGCCCGTGCTGCTCACTCAGCATGTGGCTGATGCGTCGCAGCCACGCTCTTGTCTCGCTGTCTATGCTGAGCTTGATCAGGATCCGGAACGGGTACAGGATCATGAGTGCTCCGCTATAAATGCTACCCCCCCTGAGATGGAACTCTATGCTGCGGCACGTCTCCGTCATCACCTCTGCCGGGCTGATGTCTTGACTTGGAAGACGGAGCACTGCCGGTTCAGACTCCAAACCTATATCAAACTGATCTCCAATCCCGAGAGAATCACAAGCTTTGGCAGCAACATCATACTGCCCCCATGATTCCCCGAGCTGCATCAAGAGCAGCACAAGCACGTCGTACATTACCACTGCACGTCCATTCAGCACGTTTTCAAACATCAGGATCGATGGGTATAGCGGGCGGCCGTGAGCATCCAGCGTCATGCTCTTTGACGGATCCACTGGAACGGCACGTGCCATACGCGAGAGCACATGATCGAACCCCAATCGCCACCTGAACAAGGCAGCAAGCGCCCTGACAATGCTCTGTCTAAGCTGCTCTCCGTGCTCACACGCCGACTTCTCATCCTCTATCCGCGCGAGTGCATCTGCGTCTTCCAGAATGCCGGGAATCTTTGCGAATGCATCCATGAGCGCGTAATACAGATGATCCGGATCCTGATCACTGAACACGCTCGTCGAGCGCCACTCTGGCCCTTCCAGAAAGCACCTTTCGCGTCTTTCAGCTGCGCGCGCAACGATGGACTGCCGTAGCAGATTGAGGTAACTGCGGCCGGGCTCCTGCTCGAATGTCTTGGGTCCAATAGTGCGGACCAGCGTGCTGATGCCGCCCGCGTGTCGCATCCAGCCACTTCCCCCACGCACGTTGATCAGCTCATAGATTGAAAGCATGAAGACGATACCGAGCGTGCCCGGCTCCTGCCAGTGGTGCTGGTCTTGGAGAACAGACGACAGGCCGTGTAGTGCTGTGCGGTAGTAGTGCATGGCCGACAAGGTCAAGTCCGACGGCGCTTTGCACGAGCCTGTCTTGAGTGTCAGCCAAGCAGCACATCAAAGGACGTCGAGTCCAGGGGGGATAGACAGTACGCTGCTGCTCCTCACGGGAGATGAACGTGGCCGACAGACAACACACGGCCGGCAGGACCGCCTGCACCGGCGCCATTTCCAGAAGGTCGAATATCCAGGACCGACTCCTCGGCGTCGTCGACAGCAGAGGCCACGGAAATATTCGCTGCGCTGCGAAGCGGACTAGATCGTGCTGCCGGCTCAATATATACATCAGCACCAGTACCACCAACACATCCTCGACCATACACCACTTCCTACCTCGCGAGACGCCTCAGTGCCAAGGCACGACAGCTGCATCAACGGCATCCAAACACCAGACTGCCTTCTTGCACCACCACCACCACCACCACCAACCTCCTCCCCAGCCCGCGACGTAGCATCTCGTGTACAACTGGCGCGACCCGGCACGTCCAGACGCGTCAATCGACCACTCTTACTCACGCTCGTCACCGACCACGCCACCTCGTCGTAGCCATCACACTGCAAGCCAGCCTTGGGACACCGTTCACACGTCGGCTTGGCCTCGTCTGTGGGGTGGTTTATATCCGTCAGAACTCTAGACCATGGCTGTCTGCGTCACATCACATTCAGGGGGGCTATGGACCGGAGGGAGAGAGATGAGGATGAGAGAAGGATAGGGAGAGAGTGAAGGAATGGCATGTAATACCTACCGCACTTGAGTTTGCGCCGTCGGCATGTCCTGCAGCCCCTCGATCGCCCCGGTACGCCTACCATTGTGCAATGGCGCGATATCTCATGTCGTAGCTTGTGAGCGTGTTGGTGTTGATGTAGTGAGCGTGCAGTTGCAGTTGCCCTGTAGTGTAGTTGGTTGCAATAGTCGAGCTGAGGTCTGTCCGGGGACCCCCCGCAACGCTAACTGCTTGCAGAAGAGGTACTAATTAGTCCCATTGGAGGTCGGTGCGCCAACGACAGCACAGCCACAGTACATGAATGCCCCACCATATCCCCATATGAACGCCTCGTAGCACTACGTCAACCTGATGCCTAAGGCAAGATCAACCTTTGTAAGAGCCAAAGAGAGAGCCTTTCTACCACTGACTCAAGGACGACGGTGCAAGCAAGGTAGGTTGTCTCGTCTCAAGTTTGGTGGCTTTTTTTGGGGTGCGGATTTCATCTCATGTTGATCGATATATATACCCAACAAAACCCCAAGTAAAAGTCATGTCACAAGTCACGATATTTAGATGTGCAAGTATGAATGAATTGAAGATGGTTGAATAAACGAGACTGCATTGATTATTATCGCGGGAAAAGCCAACAAATACAAAAGCAAATGCGTCGTCCAGCGCGCTATTATTTCAAATTCTCAACAAACGCCAACCAATAATACCATGTATGCAATTATTGTTCCCCATTTTCCCCCATGCGCGCGAGAATTCATCATAAATGAAAACAACAAAACAAAAAACAATTCGCAGGCATGCATGTAGGACTTTCCCAAACAAAAAACTCCATCAATCCCATATTTTCATCATCATTCTCATCAAACCAATAATCCTCGCAGAACAAAAAACAACATAAAAACAACAATTTCATCAAGATCGCGTGGACGTGTCACCACCCATCTTCAAAGCCCAGTCACTCATTTCCCCTTGACCAGCTTCGACCAAAACGTCTTGCGCCGGTTCCCGCGCTTCTCCTCCTCACTGCTGCCCTTGCGCTCATCAACCAGCACCTTGACGCCAGCCGTCTTGCGCGCCTCCTCCATCTTCTTGCGCTGCCGCTCACTGACAGCCAGCAGGGCAAGCTGCTCCAGCATGACGGGATACTCGAGCAGATCATCAACCCGCACCTTGAAGCCGGCCTGCTCGAGCAAGCTGGCCAGCTGCGCCGTGCTCATAATGTCGCCGCCGAGATCGTAAAACGAGCTGTCGAAGCGGAGCGCAGGCGGGTTGCCGTTGCTGTCGCGCAGGACCTCGCGCCACGCGCGGCTGAGCGTGTCGTGCAGGTTGCGGAAGTCGTCCTTGGACATGCTCTGGAAGTCGGCGCTCGTGGACGGGGCCGGCCGGGTCGCGCGGCGGGCGGCCGAGGCGTCTGAGTCGTCGAGGGTTTGGGGCATCAGGCCGATGAGATGGGCCGGGTCGGGGAGGGGTTTGTGCGGGTTCTTGGCGAGGCTGAGGACGGTGTCAGCGAGGAGGCGCATGATGTTTGCGGCAAAGGACGGGGAGATTTCCGACACGGCCGCCGACACGGACAGCTGCAGCTCGAGGTGGGAGTCCGGGAGTGGGGTGGAGAGCAGGGAGAGGTCGGCAAAGTCTTGGTCGGCGGTTTTGGCGCCGACGTTGTACTGGTTGCCGCCGAGCTCGAATTGCTGGCTGGTGTCGATGTTTTGGTGCTGGACGATGGTGCTGAAGTAGGTCCAGTCCGGCCAGTCGGTGCAGTGCTTGGTGATTTCGCGGAAGCCGAGGCTTTCGTATGGCATGTTGGCGATTTGCTGCTCCTGGATGGAGCGAAGCAGGTCAATGGCAGTCCAGCCTGGCATGAACTGCACACGTACAGGTACCATGTTCAAACAAGGCCCCATAATGTGCTCGATACCGGGCAACGAGCTGTTCCGTCCGCTAATGACATGTCCGAACACGACGTCGGATTTCGCCGAGAAGATTCCAAGGGCAAGAGACCATGCTGCTTTGACAATAGTCGCCATCGTAATGTTATGTCCCGTAACATTTGGTACCTTGATCTTTTCTTTAACTATAGTGCATCCACCAGATGCCGGGACGTAGTTCGGTCCATCGCGATGGACAATGTCGGTCATCCTCGATCCGGATAGCAGGTCTCGCCAGTAGTCGTAGTGTCCCTTGGTAACATCACCCGCCGATGACCAGACGTAGTTAGAGAACGGTATTGTGTAAGGGAGATCTCCATCATCATAGCCTGCGCGAAGAGCTTGTAGTATTGTCGAGAAGCACACACCGTCATACTGTGCGTGCGAGAGTCTGATGAAGATTCTGTGGCGATCCGTGCCCATCTGTCTGGCTACGAGGAACTTGACGTACGACTTGCCCTTCCGGGATCCCGTCCTCAGGTCAGTGTTGTGAAGATGCTCCGTGAACTCATCGAGGTCCATGTCTGTATCCTCAACCACGAACTCCGGCTGAGATTTGCGGAGCACTACCTGTAGGAACTGGTCTTGATGGGCGATGAAAACGGTCCGGAGGATGTCAAAGTTCTGCACCAGCCTATGGGCGCTTTGCTTGAGCTTGGCAACATCAAGAGGTCCGGTGCCATCGAGGAAAAAGTAGTTGAGCATCCATTTGGACTTTAGTAGAGCGCCCGTGACGGCCAGAGCCTGGAAATCGGTGACGGGAAAGACGTCCAGGATACCACCCCGGAAGACACCAACCTCCTTCGTGACAACGAGCTGTAAGAACGCGTCGACATCGTCTGCTTTGAGCAATCCGAAATGTGAGTATGGAACTTGTATGGCTGCCTCTCGTTTGGCCTGTTCCGGATCAATCGCAGTGCTGCCTCTCCTTACCCGTCCCTTGGCCGCGATCTTGACGACTGAAGCCATCTCACCGAATGTGGGAAACCGGAAGATGTCTGCCACTGTCATCGCCAGTCCTGCTTCTCTGGCAAGCCCCACCATTTTCATTGCGATGATCGAGTCTCCTCCCAGTCCGAAAAAGCTGTCTTCGTTACCGATTTCTAATTCCTCCATGTCTAGTAGGGTTGCCCACAGAGTGAGGAGTTTGTGCCTCACAACATTTCTGGTCGCTCGTCGGCTGGCTGGATTGTCGGGACGCATAGCAATATCCCCAATTCCGGCAACGTTTTCTTTGATGCTTCCGAGCTTGCGTCCTCGTCGTTCCAACTTTGCACCCGATTGCGGTTCCCATTCGTCTTCCGAGTCTTCTAATGTGCCATCGACAGAGACCCCTTCTAGCATTCTGGCCGCCTGACTGTGGACTGCATTTTGAAGATCGCTTGGGCTCTTGCGCATCAATTCCCCGCTTTGCAATAACTGGCCGACTACATCTTTCACCGTGTCTGTGACAATCTTGCGCAGTGTATCCTCCAGATTGAAGTTCATGGGGAACTGAGGCATAGGCATAGTTGTCACCGTTGGCGGGGCTGGCTGGTTGACTGGTTCTTTGACGCCATCCAGTTCCGTGAGAGTCTGTTGGGAGTTGTCAATGATGGCGTGAAGAACCTTGATCATCTCATCTCCAAGCGCGTTTGCCTGGTTGTGCGATATCGTGTTCGACCAGTACCGGAACACCACACCTTCGTCGCCCTTCATTGTTTCCACATTCACTGTTACAGAGTACTATCGAGGCATTAGTTTCAGCTGAAAGACTGTGCATCATGATGCCAACTTACCTCGCTAGGGTCGTGTGCGGCACAAGGCTCCATAGTGATAGAACCACGGGTGAAATCAGACGACTTGGAATGGTTCTGAATAGACATTGCGGTGTTGAAAAGTGCCTTGCCCTCCAGCCCAAGCTCGTGCTGCATCTGTGCAAGCGAGCAGTGTTGGTAGGGAATGGACTCGAGATAATCATTCTGAACTTTCTCAAAGACCTGGTGCAGGGTTTGAGATCTCGAAAAGCGAATGCGGCAAACTAGCATGTTGATGAATGCTCCAACAGACGTCTCGATATCCTTTACAGGAGCGTCACGCCCGGCGGTAAGGTAACCGAAGCACACATCATCAGACTTGGTATACTTGCGTAGTACGACAGCCCATGCAACTTCCAGAACGTTTGAGAATGTGACTTTCGTTCGCGAGCAAAGTTCTTGCAGCTCGTCGTATCTTGAAAAGTCTATCTCAAGCGAGCCCAGCTGCTTCTCCCCACTGAATTCGGTATTCAAGGTTGGGAAGTAGCATGGCTTCAGGTCCTCGAGATAGTTCTTCCAGAAGCTGACATCAGAGCTAGGTGGCTGTCCACGGATATATTTGATGTACTCGCTGTAGAGCGGTCCTTCTCCAGGGGGTAGTCGATCTTCGTATGAGGCAATGAAATCCTCGATAATCACAGCGGCAGAGCCCCCATCGATAACGGCATGATTGACCTCCAGTTTGAATAGAACCTTGCCCGACTTCATGACACACACCGTTGCTTGATGGGGCAGGCGAGGCTTCTTCGCATAGTTGGTCTCGGTCAGTTTGATCTCAGCCAGCTTGTCAAGTGCCTCATCATCTTCGCACTCAATGTACTTGATGCAGCTGTCAGCATTCTTGAGAACTATCTGGTCAAAGACTCCGCCTTTGCAGACACTGTCGACGAAGAGAGAACGGAGGGCTGGGTGTCGGTCAACCACTGGCTGCCACGACGAAAGCAGCTTCTTTCCGTCTATCTTGTGGCTTGGGTCTACAGGGTCCACATCATAGACGGCCGAGAACAAGTAGCTTGACGGGTCTCGAAGTTGGCTTAGGAATAAACCCTCTTGCATAGGCGCACATGGATAGACGTCTTCAACTTCCTCGGGACTCTTGATGCCTGCGTCTGGAAATGTCTCCTCGACCATTTGTTGCATTTCGTCATACGTGATCGGCAAGACTGGATAGTCGCTCAAAGTCGGCTCGATGCGAGAAGATGCGAGCTTGTGTACAGCCTCCCGAACAGTCTTTTGGCACTCCTTCATCCAGGCTTTGATGCTGTCTTGACGACCCATATGACGGTTATAGATGAATGAGAACTCAAGCTGGTCCCGTTTGACAACTGCAGAGATTTCGAAAAGTGCGAATCGGTTCGCTTTGGAACCCACGTCAGCGACAACACGGGAATCGTCCTTTCCAGTCGGATACTCGTGCTGTTGGAGTAGAGAGTCACTGGCTTCGAGCTGTTGCATCTTTCCGAGATAATTGAAGACGATTTCCATCGGCATATGATCGCCAAACTGCCATCGGCCCTCAGGTGTCAAATAACGATGAGCAAAGTAGGGTCGTCCATTTGATGGTATTTGGCGTCGGGCATCCTTCATCCTCTTAATAGTGTCGATGATGTTGTTTGAACCTTCCCCAACTTGTACATGTGCAGGTGCAATGGTAGTGAACCATCCAACAGTCCTTGAGAGATCGATCGCTGCATCCCACGACTCTCGACCATGGCCCTCATTCCATAGGGTGGGTGTAGGTCTGTCATTAAAGACTCGGCTGAATGAGTGAGCCACGACTGCGAGCAGAAGATCAATTGGCTCGGTTCCCAAGGCTTTGTTTGCTCCGCCAAGGGCAATGTCAGTAGTGTCCTTGTCGATTATGAACGAATCATCGTCGGTATCCCCGTACGTGTTGGCTTTGTCCTGCATGTCCCAGTAATGCATGTCTGCTGGGACTACCTTGAAGGGTAGAATCTTCTTACTACTCTTTGCACTGTTCTTCTGAGCATGCTCAGTCTGCATCGAACACCATGCCTGGAAAGACATCGGCTTGTCCATAGATAGGGATCCCGAGTCTAGGAGCTCCTCGAGATCTTGAAGAATGACTCTCCATGACACCATATCTACAACGAGATGGTGGCCTACAAGGACAATTACTTGGCATTCAGAGCCTTGCTGAAAGTGGTCCACAGAAAAGAGTGGTCCTTTCTCAATGTCTAAACCTGACTGGCTCCGACCCACTGCTTGAACCATAGATTGTGGTGAAGAATCGCCATGGTCCTGGAAGCGATATGATGACTTCATGTCGGATGTGATTTTCTGCTGCCATCCAGATTTAGTTTTACAGAATCGTGCTCTGAGCATGGAATGTTGCGCAACGATTGTCTCGATGGCGTCCTGTATTGCCTGTAGATTGACGGGCCGAGTCAAGCGCAGCGTAAAGCTTTGGTTGAACCTGCTCTCCCCAACTGTACTGCTGGCGGATTCCATATAAAGTTTCTGGATGGGCGAGAGATCGAAGAGCTGATCCACCACCTCCTTTTGGCCCAGGATTTGGTCTCCAGTGCCAGCACACAGCGCCATTTGGGAAATGGACTTGCTCCGGAGGATATCGTTCAGTGACAAAGTGACCTTTTCCTTGCGGCATCGGGCTAATACCTGCATAGCCGTGATTGAATCGCCTCCCAGACTGAGGAAGGACTGATTCTGTACAACACGTTTCTCCGGGATATTGAGAACCTTCGCAATGATTTCTTGCAGAAGTTTGCCGAGCTTGGTGGCAGGAGATCCAGAGTCGGAGCTTCCGTCGATGCCGCTTATCTTGTCATATGTTGTGTCATCCATCGTCTCGACCCAAGTGGTTACCACTCTGCGATCGAGCTTACCAGAAGGAAGTAGCGGGAGACTTTCCACGACAGCCCAGACCGATGGAACCATGTACGACGGTAGTTGTCCCATCAGCGTCTCCTGGATTTGACTCAGATGAGTCTTTGCCACTTTCTGTCTATCCTCGCCCTCGATGAGAGCACAGAGATTTGAGGTTATGCCTTCAGACACTAGGGCAGCCAGTGATAAGACACCCACAAGACGTTTCTTACAGGGGCCTTTCTTTGGAAGAACCACAAGAGAATGTTGGATCTTCGAATTTGTGTCCATCTTGTGCTCGATCTCACCAAGTTCCAATCGCTGACCGTTGAGCTTGACCTGGTTGTCCTTCCGTCCGATATACACAAGCGTGCCATTTTCGTTCAACCGTACGAGGTCACCAGTCTTGTAAAGTCGGTGTTGTCGCTCAATTGGTCCGGTATTGAATGAAACAATCCAGCGAGGATTCTCGATGAATGCTTCTCTGGTCTTTTCCTCGTTGTTTAGATATTCACGAGCAAGGAAGGGTCCTTCCAAAAGCATCTCACCCACACTGCCAACTGGCGCGAGGCGGTCGTGATCGCTTGGATCTACAACCCATGCAACACCTCCTGTAGGTCGGCCGATAGTGCTAGGGTCCTTGGTGTTCGATACTTCATTGTTGACAACTGATATCACAGAAGCTTCAGTCGGTCCATACCCATTCACTAAGGTAACATGACCATCCCATCGTAGAACGTTCTCGATGGACATGGCCTCACCACCACAGACCAAGGTATCCAAGCTGGGAACCGAGGTCGGTTCGATGACATTAGCAACGGATGGGGTCAAAAACGCCCATGAGACACCCATCGAATTTATTGCAGATCCTGGATCTTTGAGCCGCTGCTCGTCGCTTGGTAAGCAGACACACCCGCCGAGGATGAGTGTTGATAAGATTTCCATTGCGCTGACATCGAAGGTGAAGGAAGCAAAGTTAAACACCCGCGAGGTAGATTTCATCAATTGTGCCTTGGTGTACCCCTCCGAACTGGAGCAGAAAGCACGATGTTCTACAACAGTGCCTTTTGGCTTGCCAGTTGAACCTGGGAGCGATCAGTTCGGTAGCCCTTCAACACTTGACTTATCTTACCTGAAGTATATATGACGTAGGCAGCGTTGGATGGTACCACGCGCTTACTGAGAGCCGATGGAGTGCGGAGCTTCGGGATCATGTTGAGTGTTTCTCCGTCCACTGGAACAACCATGTCGACAAGAGTGCTGCAATGAGCCAGATACTGTCGCGAGCACAGGAGTATTCTAGCCTCGACATCCGACGTGATCTCCATATGTCGCGAAGCAGGATGATTAGGATCTAGGGGAACATATGCACCGCCGGCCATTAGAACACCCATAATGGCTACCACAGCCCATTTAGACTTGCTCATACAGATAGGTACCTTGACTTCTTTGTTGACACCCATCTGCGTCAGCCGTTGTGCTAAACGACCAGAGTAATCGACAAATTGTGCGTATGTAAAATCTCCATCCCAAGAGCAAATCGCCTGGGTATCGGGCTGTCTGGTGGCAGTTTCGAGGATCTTGGAATGTATACACTCGTGGACAATCTCAGGCATGTGTCCGTTCCACTTCTGCAAGAGTTCTACATCACTAGGACTGTACGTGCGGATATCCTGGACCTTTCCAGACTTTTGGCGCATTGCGCTGTTCAGCTGCTGAAGAACAGACTCAAACTGATATAAGAGCCGTTGTACGTGCCATTCAGATATCACGCGGGAGTCGTGATGGGCTTCAATCTCCACATGCTTGTCGTCGGCCCGGGCTTCGATCACCAGAGGATAGGTGAAGAAGTTGGCACCTACGCCATTGTTGTGAACTTCCCAGAAGCTCTTCGCGTCGCTCTCTTGGGCCATCTGTATGACAAGCAGGTTTTGAAAGTCACACGCAAGACTTGTGTCGGAGTCGAGGCGGCGAATGTGTTGAAGACCAAGATGTTGATGAGGGATTGTATCAGTGTTCATGCGGCCGATCTCTTCCAGAAAGTTCATGACCGGCTTGGTCCGGTGAATCTGTATACGTGTCGGCACAGTCGTTAATGTAGGTCCAAGCACGTCTGTAATGCCTTGCACTGGAACGTCTCTACCAGTCATGGTCTCTCCGTATACCACATCATCTGAGCCTGAGTAGGCAGCTACCATGATGGCCCAGGCAGCTCGAATCAACGTGGGCATCGTTATTCCCATGCCTGCGAATGCTTCCCCTAGCTGAGCGGTATGAGTAAGAGTCTGAGTGCTGCTCTCCATCTTTGAAGCAGACGCCAAAGGCTGTGGAAATGAAAGTGGTGTGGATCCAGCGAGTCTCGACTTCCAGAATTCTTCCGAGATTTGAAGATCACTGTCCGTGAGATATTTGATGAATTTGGCATAGGGAGTCTTGGGAAGTTTGGTCTCGCCTTCGAAGTAGAACTGTTCCACCCTCTTCAAAACCAGAGGGAGACTCCAGCCATCATAGAGGGCGTGATGGATGCTGAATGCTAAGAATCGTTCTTTTGATGCCTCCATGTCGATGATGGTATACTTGGTCAGGTTGCCACCATTATGTGCAGGTAAACGAGGAGCCTCAGAGGTGACTAGTTCGAGATCCGTCGCATGTTCCCAACGGATTGGGTCAGACTTAAGAACAGTCTGTACAAATGCAGAAGATCTCATATGGACCAGCCTTGTACGAAGGATATCGACTTCGTCGACAGTCTTCTGCCAAGCAGCCTTGAACCGATCCAGGTCGAGAGTGCGTGGAAGCTTGAACACGTTGTTTGCGACGTATGCGCCAGGTTGCTTGATAGAAAGGGTGAAAAGACCTTCTTGGAGCGAACTACACGGGTATGCATCGCTGATACTGTCTTTCGGCACCCGGCACTGACCTGACAATTCGTCTACGGCTTCGTCGACCGTATCGTCCCCGTTCAGCAGGGAGAAAGGTCGTAGCTCACCGAGGATCTCTTCTTCGACAATCGTACAAACTTTGGCCATGTCAGAAAGCTTTGGCTTTCTAAAAATATTGATCACGGTGATCGCAATGGATTGGGCTGTCGCTGCCGAGACAAGCCGCATTGCAGCAAGAGAGTCGCCTCCTACGCGGAAAAAGTTGTCTTCAACACCAACGGAGCCTTTCGCAAGCCCTAGAACGCTCTCCCAGAGCCGCAACAGCTTAGTTTCCATGTCTGAAGTTGGTGCCTTCTTGCTCGTTGAGGCAGCCAATCTGTATGGTGCAACCATCTCCTTAGGAAGAGCCTGCACGACGTTGCGCAATCGTTGACGATCCAACTTGCCCGCTGTTGTAAAAGGTAACCGCTTAACTGGAATATAAAGAGCTGGAATCATGTAAGAAGGCAACGCGTTCCCAAGCGCCGATTCCAGCGATTTGGCGATTGTTTGAGCTTGTCCTAACATAGGAAGCAGGATCTCATCAACGGTGGAATGTTCAGCCGCAGACAATGTGGCATCACTAGAGCTTGCTGTAGCATGTTCAAAGCAGTAGAAAGCGGCCAGGGCCTTGGTGGCCGTTTTTGCTGCAGGTGTAACAAGCTCAACTGCAGCCTGGGAGTGCTCCGGCAGATTGTTCCTGACGTGATGCTCGATCTCACCCAGTTCGATTCTCTGGCCATTGAGCTTGATCTGTGTATCTTTACGAGCGACAAAGCTGAAGGAGCCATTCGCGTTGTAGCGGACGAGATCACCTAGTTCTTTCATCAGCGATCCTGTTTATGACGACAGATTTTATGTGAATATTTGCCACTCACCCGTCCTATACATGCGGTCACCCTTGCCGCTAGCACCACCAAAGCCATGCTTTTTCATCCATGCGGCTTCGTTCACGAAGGCGGACGCAGTTTTTGCGGCGTTGTTGAGATATTCACGAGCCACGATACGTCCTTCCACGACAAGCTCTCCCACACATCCTATCGGTACAAGTCTATTATAGTCCTTTGGATCGACAATCCAGCAGCGTCCGCCGACAGCATGACCAATATTCGAAGGCTCGTTGTCGAGTTTATTTCCTTCAAGATCAACCTTCATACTGATGGTCGCAATAACAGACGTCTCCGAGGGTCCATAGGCATTGACCAGACATTTGCTGTCGCCCCAACGATCAATGTGACCTGGAGACATGGCTTCACCTCCAGTGACGAGCACACGGAGGGACGGAATGCTATCCGGCTTGATCGTGTTGGCAACAGAGGGTGTTAGAAGAGTCCAGTTCACTTCCATTTTTTCCATGGCAGCTGGTAGGTCGTTCATTCTTTCTTGATCACTCGGTATACAGACACAGCCTCCGACAAGAAGAGTACTGAGTATCTCCATGATGGAGGCGTCGAAAGTGTGACTAGCGAATTGGAGTACACGGGATACATTAGTCATGTTCATCGCTCTGCTATGAGCAAGTGCGCCGGTACAGAACGCGCCATGTTCGATGACGGTACCCTTGGGCATACCGGTGGTCCCTGATTGGAATGACATTAGTACTTTTATTCCACAAATGATGAGGATTGCGATTTACCTGATGTAAAGATGATATATGCGGCATTGTCAGGCTTTGCTGGGCGAGTTGTAACAACAATAGCTTCTTCTACTTGAGTCACGAATGTTTCGTCAATGACCAGAGCGATCTTCGCCGCTTCGGCAGCCTTGCTTTGATACTGTGCCGAACACAGGATCAACTTGCCACCAACATTGTCGACAAGACTTTTGATACGACTAGCAGGGTGCGCAGGATCTAAGGGTACGAAAGCGCCTGTGAGACTTTTTAGCAACTAATAACAAATAGGCCCCATTTTTTGCAAGGGAGAATGAGAATCACTTACCTCCTGCTTTCATGACTGAGAGAGCAGATACGAGATAGTAGGCGCTCTTCTCGAAACAGAGTGGCACGAATACTTCTGGTCCAACGCCTAACTTCACAAGATGCGCAGCAACTTTATTAGTGATCAGATCCAGCTCTGTGTATGTATATTGGGCATTCCACGCGCAGACTGCGGGTGTAGATTTAGGGCGCAGTGCAGCTTGGTCGGAAATGAGCTCATGAACACATTTATTCGTTTGTGGTGGAACACGGCCATTCCATAGCGCTACCTGCTCTCTATCCTCGACGTTGAAGAAGTCGAGATCGGCAACGGTGCATTCGTCGAATCCAGGTTGAATGATCTGGGTCATGAGATTCTCAAAAGTTCTCGCAATGCTCTTCGCTTGAGTATCAGAGAGAACATGGGACCAGTATGTGAAGCTTAAGTTTATATCGTCATCAGTAGCTTCGACATTGATCGTTATGCTGTACTCGCTTGGGTCCTCGGCCTTGAGAACATCTAGTACTAGAGATGACGCGTTGTCGTCCTTGCTCTTTGAGCGTTTCTGATACGTGAACGCAGTATTGAACATGGGGGCCCCGGACAGCTTGAGCTCATGTTGTACTTGGCCTAGTGAGCAAGTCTGATGAGCCATACTCCCCACGAAATCAGCCTGGATCTTGTGAAGGGCCTCCACAATCTTAATCTCATCCGACAGGTTGATTTTGCAGATCAGCATGTTTATGAATGCTCCGACAGCAGAATGTATACCTTCTACAGGAATATCGCGACCAGAGGCAACGTAGCCGAAACAGACGTCTGAGTTTCCAGTGTAGCATTTGATGATGAGTGCCCAAATAAGCTGCAACGTGTTGGAAAGCGTAATGCCGTGTTTTGTACAGAAGGCCATGAGAGCTCGAACGCGTGGTATCTGGCTGTCAAAAGACCGAACGGTGTTGGTGACTTTCGATGTCTCATTGAGTGAAGGAAAGTAGCAGGGCTCGATATCCACTAGGTATGTCTTCCAGTAATCAATGTCAGCGTCGTGCGAGGAGGCTTGTAGATAATGGATATAATCGCTGAATAACGTAGGAGGCTCAGTCCACAGATGGCCCGAATAAGCGGCGACAAGGTCGTTGAGAATTATGGGGATCGAAGTGCCATCCTATCAGAGCGTCAGTTCCGATGTAGAACATTTGTCAAAACGAGTGAAACTTACACAGATCGCGTGGCTCATCTCTAGTTTGCAGTACACTTTACCTTGCGGAGCGATGCATAATGTAAAACGATGCGGTGGCTGAGTTTCTCGGCAATTGATCGAATGTTGACCCTGTAACGTTTGGAGGGCATCGGTCTCGCCGCTCTGCAGCCACGAGATCTTCGCAGTTGAGCTCCTTAGAACTACTTGATCCATGGCGCCTTTTTTGCACGAACTATCGATAAAGGCAGTCCTCAGTACGGCGTGTCGATTGACGACCATTTGCCATGCTTCAGCAAGTCTCCTGGCGTCTGGGGTGCCAACATGACCTACTCGGGCCTCGAAAATGCAGGAGAAGGCATAGTGTTGCGGATTTTTCAGTTGACTAAGCAGAAGGCCCTCCTGCATTGGGGAACATGGATAAATGTCTTCGACATCATTGAAAGATTCTGCGCCAGCCTTAGGAAGAGATCGCTGGATTTCTTCAATTCCGTTGTATGCTAGTGGTAGCAATGGGAAATCGGTCAGAGACAGTTGCAGCTGCGTAGTGCTAAGTTGATCTGCAGCATATTCGAGAGACGTCCTACATTCTTGTACCCATTTGCGTATAGCGTCTTGTCGGGACATTTGTCTGTTATAAGTGAGGGAGAACGTGAGGCCATCTTGGGCCACAGCAACGGATATCTCGAACAAAGCAAACCTAGGAACGGACGTTCCGATATCCGAAACTGACATTTCTGGGAAGCTGGTCGATCCCGTGACAGCCTGTAATACAGCGTCTTTTCTCTCGAGCTGCTGGAGCTGACCGAGATAGTTGAACATAATTTCCATAGGCCAGTGACTCGCGAAGTGTTCAGTTCCTTCCTCGGTGAGAAGTCTACTCGCAAAGTATGGGCGGCCCTTTCCGGGTATGCGCGACCGTAGATCTTTGATCCATCGCGCAATCTTGTAGAAGTCTCCATCAGCTTCGGTGGGAAGACTAATCGGCGCCATTGTAGTGAACCATCCAACTGTATGCGATAAGTCTAGGTTAGGGTCCCATGGTTCCCTTCCGTGACCTTCGTTGAAGATGGCTGGAATGCGAGGCCGGTCAGAGAATGTTTTATTGAATGAGTAAGCAACAGCAGCGAGAAACAGATCTACGGGTTCTGTGTTCAAGATGTCATTGCTCTTCCCCAACAGGTTTAGTGTTCTGGACATATCCAGCGTGAATACGTCTGTGGCCGCATCCCCCTGAACGTTAACTTTGTCTTCCATACCCCAGTAGGCAAGGTCAGCAACGGGGACTTCGGAGAAAGGCAGAAGAGCACTCGGACTAGTCTTCTGGCATTCCTCCCGTTGAAGCCTGCACCACGTCTGGAATGGCAGCGACTGGTGTGAGCTGATGGTTCCGGAGCAAAGAATGTCCTCGAAATCTTGCATGATAACCCGCCAGGACACGATATCGACGACAAGATGGTGTGCGACCAACGACAGATACACATGTCCATCAGTGGACAATGAAAATGCATCAACCCCAAAGAGAGGTCCATTAACGATGTTTAGGCTCTGCTGAGTCTCCTGCACCTGCTGAGTCATGACTTTGGAATCAAACTCCTGATGACAATGCGATCGGAAAGAATAAGATCCTTGAATATCATCTGTTACACGTTGCATCCAGGTATTGCTGGTGTCTTTGAAAAATCGAGCACGCAACATGTGGTGTGAACCTACAATGGTCTCCACCGCGGACCTGAGTGTAGTATCATCGTAGCGCTTCACTAAGCGGAGAAGTACGCTCTGATTGAATGGCTCAGAGCATTCCCCTACGCAGTGGAAGTACAGTTGCTGGATTGGCGATAGTGTGAAGCTCTGGTTGATGGGTTCGTCTGTGTAAACAACGTGTTTTGGAACGCTGATCCGCGCAGCCAATTGACTGATTGACTTGCAGCGAATGATATCTTGTACGGTGATCCCGTAGCCCTCTGCACGGCAACGCGACATGACTTGCATAGCGGAAATGCTGTCTCCACCTAGGTGAATGAAAGATAAGTTGAGGCTTACTTCTTCGGCGGGGAGATTCAGCTCCTTCCCGAGTATCGCTTGGAGCTTTCGTTCGCGGTCGTTAGAAGGCTGTCTTCGCGAAGAGACCCCGGAGTCAATGGCACTGATCATATGATACACTTCTTCGCTCATACCCTCCAGCCACTGGACAATACGTTTGCGATCAAGTTTGCTGGAGGCTAAGAACGGCAGTTCTCGGAAGACGACCCATTTGGATGGTATCATATAGGCAGGGAGACGCTCCGTGAGTCGATCTCTGACATTCGATAGAGTGTATCCTGAGATTTCAGGGTTGACAAGATCGAAATCATTACCGCTGCGCGTAGGCCCAGACAGCTCTTGCAAAGACAAAACGGCCACCAGGCGCTTGGAACACGGACCTTTGGCGGGTATGGCGACCAACGCGTGTTGAATCATTTGATCCGTTTTGAGATGATGTTCAACCTCACCGAGTTCCATCCGTTGTCCATGGAGTTTCACTTGTTCATCCTTTCGACCAACGTAAACGAGAGAGCCGTAGGAATCATACTTCACTAGGTCGCCTGTGCGATAGAATCTGTGGGCTGCTGACTTTTGGAACAGAAAAGATCCACTCTTTGCCCAGCGTGGCAGTCCAAGGAAGGACTCATCAGTCTTCTCCGGGTTTTTCAGGTAGCCTTTAGCAAGTGTGCCTTCGAGCAGAAGCTCCCCGACTGACCCAATTGGCGCTAATCGGTCGGAATTGTGAGGATCGACCAGCCATGTTCGCCCAGCAATCGCCTTCCCTATGGTAGCTGCTTCAGAATTACCAGCACTGTAGTGGTGAACGGTTGCAACGACTGCAGCCTCTGTGGGACCGTACGCGTTCAGCAATTGAACTTTGTCTGACCAAACGGCGATGTTGTGTTGCGATGCCGCTTCTCCGCCAAGAACGATCGTGCGTAGAGTGGGAACTTCGGACGGGTTGAGTAGTTGAATGAATGTAGGCGTCAGGAGTGTCCAATTCGCTCGCGTGTTATTGATGAAGGCAGCGACATCATTTAAGCGCTGTTCATCACTAGGAACACATACACAGCCACCGGCATACAATGTAGTTATGATTTCTATGATGCAGGCATCGAAAGTAAAGGATGCGAATTGTAGTGCCCGCGTGTCGGCATTGATGCGAAGTGATTTTGCTTGAGCCACAACGCAAGTCGATAATGCCATGTGCTGGATGATCGTTCCTTTGGGGCGACCAGTCGTGCCAGATGTGAAAAGAACATATGCAGCTGTGTCTGCTGCTGGGTTCGGAAGTGGCGTAAGGCTTGGTTGCAATCGGGATATGATCGTTTGGTCTAGCACAAGGATTTTCGGAGCTATTTGTGCTGCAAGTGGGCTTTGTTTGGAAGAGGTAACAACCAGCTGGGACTCTATGTCTGCAAGAATCTCTTTAAGTCGCGTGACTGGATGATTTGGATCAAGTGGAACGAAGGCAGCTCCGGCTTTCAGTATCCCGAGCATCGCCACAATGGCCCAGGTTGATTTCTCAAAAAGAAAAGGCACCATCGAGCCCGTCGAAACGCCTTCTGTGGCGAGGTAGTGGGCCACAAGGCTTGCTTGTACGTCTAACTGTGAGTAAGTAAGGTCGCCATCCCATCCGGCGACGGCAGGTCTGGAGGGCCGAGACCGGTTCATCTCGTGAATCATATCATGGATACAGCTGCTGTTGGTCCTAAGGAGATGTCCATTCCACTCTTTGACAGTCTCTCGGTCCAACGTGCTCATCATTTCGATATCGCCAACTTTTCGCCCGATCGAGGAAGCATCTCGGCTGTTCAAACTTTCAATCATGAATGCAAACTGGTGAAGAAGCCTCTCAGCTTGGGTTTCTGGGAGTATCTGTTGGTCGTAGTCAGCTTCTATTACCACTTCTGCTGCACTTACCGTGCATTGGACCATCAAGGGGTAAGTGAAAAAACTAGTTCCAATGGTGTCGCTGCTTTGTAGGTTCCAGAGGTCATCTGTCGCATCATCCGCGCCCTGATTTATAGCGATCAAGTTCTGGAACTGACACGAAGTGGCGCAGTCCTGATCAAGACGTTTTATGTTTTGAAGACCGGTGTGTTGAAAGGCAATTGCTTCAACGGATCGAGCTTGAACTTCTTGGAGGTACTCGTTTACTGTAGTATCCCGTTTGACGCAGACTCGAGTAGGCACCGTCGCCAGTGTGGGTCCTACCATATCTTCAATTCCAAGGACGTGTGAGTCTCGCCCGGTCAGCGTTTCGCCGAAGATCACATCATCGGAACCAGAATATACAGACAGAGTCAAGGCCCAAGCGGCTCTAATGGTGGACGCCATGGTGATCTCAGACCCAGAGACCCGTGATGTGACAGCGGCATGTCTAATGTGGCTCTTCGCCTGTATCTGATATGTGGGATTAGGTAGCGCAGGAAATGGTTGCGCATTCGGTTCGGCGAGTCGAGCCCTCCAGAATTCATACTCAGCCTCGTGATCGATAGCGGCCAAATACTTGATGAACCTCGGGTAAGAAGACATAGCTCGTGTACTAGGAAGCCTTGAATGGCGGTAGTAGTCACCGACGCGATCAAGGATTGTAGGTATACACCAGCCTATATGAACTAGCATTAGCCCTCTGTCTTCTGTGAGACTCTCCGAACGCTTACCATCATATGTAGCGTGGTGTAGTGTCCACGAAAAGTAGCAGCTATTGGTACCTTCTCCTAAGATTGCAAAACGCATTAGCTCACCGCCGTTGTGTGGGGGAAGGATCCGGTCTTCTTCTGTGATCTCCAGAAGGTCCATTCCCGCATACCAAAACACGGGCTGTCTGATTATAACTTGAAGGAACCCGTGGTGCTTGGTAAAAACGATTCTGGTACGAAGTACAACTTCTGTCTCAACCACGGCATCCCATGCAGCCTTAAAGCGAGGGATATCAATGTTCGACGGGAGTCGATACGTATTCTGTGCAACATATGCGCCTGGCTGCTTCATAGATAATGCTATCAGTCCTTCTTGTAGCTGGGTGCAAGGATAGATATCTTCCACGGCATCTGAGCTTATGCCACATTCCGCAGTGACCTCAGACAATATTTCGTCAAGGTCGATGTTTCTACTTAGTAAAGAGAACGGCTCAACATCGAATCCTTGCTCAGGGTCAGATTCGGTTGATTCGGTGCATCTCATTTCTTGCGCCATGTCGACCAATTTTGGCTTCTGAAAAATCGTGGCAATAGACAGCACCAGCCCCTTGGCTCGTGTAGCGTTGACAAGTTTCATGGCTCCAATTGAGTCACCGCCTTTCCGAAAAAAACTGTCATCCACACCTATTGACGAGGAGTCTATTCCAAGGATATTGCTCCACAGAAGTTGAAGGCATATTTCAACATCTGACTCAGGTGCCCTTCCACTCTTGCCCGCAAGTCTGTATGTCGCAACTTGTGCTTCTGAAAATGATTGTGGGAGCTGCCGCAGTCGTTTTCTATCAAGCTTCCCCGAGGAGGTTAGGGGCATCCTTGACACAGGTAGATACATTGTGGGAACCATGAACGATGGAAGCAGGCCTGCAAGTCGTTGCTGAAGGTCAGTGGCTGTGGTACTAAATTCGTGAGACATTTCCAGCAGAAAGTCTGCTTCGCTAGAATTAGGCACAGATCCATCGCCTGTGACAGAAATGAAGGCCGCCAGTTGCTTTCTACCACTAGTGATCACCAGCTCAACAGCGGACTGCATGTCGGACATACTGCTACTCTGAATGTAGTGCTCAATATCTGCAAGCTCTAGTCTCTGGCCATTGAGCTTGACCTGCGTATCCTTACGTCCGAGATACGTGATTGACGAGTCTGAATTGTACCTGCAAAGATCTCCTGTTTTGTACAGCCTACGAAACCTTGTCCCCGAGGACATTGCCCACGGCGGCGGTTCGATGAAAGCTGCAGCTGTCTTTTCTGGGTCGTTGAGGTAACCCCTACCAACAATTGGGCCATCGACGATGAGTTCACCACTGCAACCAATAGGCAATAGTCTATTGTGATCCTCTGGATCGACTATCCATAGAAGACAGCCTATACCATGACCGATATTGGTCACCTCGCCAGCGAAGGCGACTTCGCCATTCCAGGATGAATTGATTGAGCATTCCGAGGGGCCATAAACACAATGAATTTGCACCGGGGCATCCCTCCACAGGTCAAGCACAGCCTTCGTCACTGCTTCACCTCCGAGTCCGAGGTTGCGTAATGTCGGTACATCTCTGGGATTGAGGAAACTAGCAACTGTAGGAGTGAGGTCTGTCCAATTGACCTGAAATCGTTGAATCACTCCAGCCAGGTCATTGAGCCGATCGTGATCTGTGGGTACGCAGACGCAACCGCCAAGCATAAGCGTAGTAAGAATTTCCTCGAGAGTATTGTCGAAAGTGTATGCAGCAAATTGCAGGGCTCTAGTAGTCGAGCTGATGTTCATAGCTGGACCGTGCGCGGCACCGCTAGTAGCTAAACCGTCGTGGGTCAACATAACACCCTTAGGTTTCCCCGTAGAGCCAGATGTGTAAATCACCACGGCAATATTGTCTGGCTTGACACGAGACTCTAATCTGTCGATGGGACTTGGTAACTGCTCTAGAAGAGAAGAGTTGATTGGTATGACAAGAGGAACGATATCCTCAAGCATCTCGGAGCGAGCATCCGAAGTGAGGACAATTTTGGCACCGGCATCGCGGATGCGGACTTCCAAGGCATGCTTCGGATGAGTTGCGTCCAGCGGCACAAAACCACCACCGGCCTTCAAAACTCCAAGCATAGCGACAATCGTAAATGCACTCTTTTCGAAGCAAAGTGGAACCAGGGTCTCAGGGATGACCCCAAGTTTCTTCAGATAGTGACCAAGTCTATCAGATAGATCATCCAGCTCCTCATAAGTGAAGTTTGCGTCCCAGCCACAGACTGCAGAGGCTTCTGGTCGTCGAGCAGCTTGCTGAGAGAAAATTTCATGCACGCAGAGAGCCGACGAGGCAGGCATCTGATGATTCCAAGACATGACCTTTTCGCGGCTCAGATCTGTGAAATGTTGAAGGTCCGCTAGCTTACTGTTTGAGTGGAAAGTTATATTACGTAGCGAATTGACGAACAGGCTGGCGACATGATCAGCTTGCCCGGTGGATAAGACATCCGTCCAATGGTCGAGGTCTATAAAAACGTCCTGGTCAGAAACCTCAATGTTGAGTGACACATTGTACTCTGTAGGATCGTATATTGGCGAGGCCTCTATGAAAGATACTGTGCGCTCGGTAGGTTTCGCACTCTTGGGTAGACGTCTATACGAAAGAGCGGTATTGAACAGTGACGTCCCCGACAGGCTGAGAGCATGTTGGATCTCTGCCAGTGGAGAGTACTTGAACGGTAGACTGGCGACATAGTCCTCCTGAACTTTATCAAGGGTATCCCTGAGGCGGTCTTCCGGCTCCATGCGCACTCGACAAACAAGGGTGTTGATCATAGGGCCGACAGCATCATCGATCCCATCAATGGGAGCATCTCGGCCTGACACCAGGTATCCAAAGCAGACATCATTTTGGCCGGTGTAACATTTGAGAGTAAGTGCCCACGCCGTATGGATAGCATTGGACAGGGTAATTCCAGATTGTTCGCATGACTTCTGTAACTTTGCAAGCTCGGCGAAGTTGATTCGAAGAGAGCCCAATCGACGTTCTTTGTAGTGGCCGTCATGCAGGACTGGGAACAGACTAGGTTCCGCATCACTCAAGTAACTTTTCCAATATTCTATTCCACTCTCCTTGGGCTGATTGGCAACAAACTCGATATAATCACTGAAAAGCGGTGCTGGATTTTGATGCTGGCCTTCGATTGCCATCGCGAGGTCTCGGAAGATCACAGACATTGATGCCCCATCCATAATCTGATGGCCGATTTCGAGCTTGCAAAAGACTCTGCCGATAGACGTAGAACTAATTGTTAGTCGATGAGGAGGTATGGTGCCATTGTCGTATGCACTGGGTATCTTCTGGTTTAACGCTTCGAGGCATTCTCGATCATCGACGAAATGCGAAGTAATAATGTTGCCCGTATAGCGGCTGAGGACAATCTGATTGTACATATCGTTGCCTGAACCGACGTTCTCAACGAAAATTGTCCGAAGCATAGCGTGTCGAGTGACGACTTGTCGCCAGGCCGCCGCGATTTCACTCGATGTCAGATCTAGTCCACTTTTACGCGACACCTCATAAATCACTTGAACGGCATAAAAATCCGGACTCTTGCTCTGGCTGAGTAGCAGACCTTCTTGGATGGCAGAGCACGGGTAAATGTCTTCAATTTCACGTATATCATGGATCCCTAGTGAAGGTAGCGTCTGTCGGGCCAATGCTCTGAGATGGCCATATGACATCTGTAAGCGAGGGAAATCGGCAAGTGTAAGCTCTGGTGACATGGTAGATAGTCGAGTTGCAATCTCAATCAAAACGTCTCGACATCGAGAGATCCAGTGGCGGATGAGACTTTGATGTTGAACGCTTCGATTGAATGTAAATGAGAAGCGAAGTTTACCGGCAACTACTACCGCCGATATTTCGAACAGGCCAAATCTTGGGGTAGCGTCGCCGTAATCAGCACTTCCCCCGGCAGAACGAGCTTCGCCAGACATTTCTGCCGCGGGTTTGAGCAGCGAATCTTCCCGTTCCAACTGTTGATATTGGCCCAGGTAATTGAAGGTCACTTCCAACGGCCAGTGATGACTGAAGGCATTGCGACCTTTCGAGCTAAGGACACGACTTGCGAAATAAGGTCTGCCGTTGGCAGGTACGCGCCTGCGAAAATCTTTTACAGCGCGTATCGTATCTACAGCTTCTTGTTCCGGTGAAACGTGAATGGGATACATGGTTGTGAACCAGCCGACTGTTCTACTGAGGTCGATAGACGTATTCCAGGGCTCACGACCGTGGCCTTCAACATACAAAGCTGGTGCATCTCTATCGTTGAAGACGTCTTTGAATGAATGCAGAAGTGCTGAAGCAAGTATGTCCATGACATCAGTGCGCATAGCATCATGGCATGACGTGAGCAGTTGAGAAGTGATGGTAGATTCAATCTCGAAGCCTTCGCAGACCGCTCCACCATAAGTATTCGGCTGGTTTTCCATTGCCCAGTATGAAAGGTTACCCTGGGGGATGTCCGCTGGAGGCAAGACTTCTTCAGGCAGCAGATCTTTACAGTGCTGAACTTGGAGATTGCACCATGTTTGGAAAGGGATGGTCGATTTCGGGTCTGAATTGCCACCAGCACCGGTAAGGATATCTTCGAGCTCCTCCAAGATCACCCGCCACGATACAAGATCGATCACAAGATGATGTCCAACCAAGAATAGATACTGGCCCTCCCCAGGGGCAGCCTGGAATAATTCAGCTGCAAAAATTGGACCATTCATTGGATCTAAAGCGCGTTGTGCGTCCGCGTTGTACGGTGTCGCGTCATCTTGAGTCAAGATATTGTGGACACGGAACCTGTACGACCCATGGATATTGTCTGTCACTCGCTGCTGCCACCCTCCCCCGAAGGGATTGTGACTGAACCGTGCGCGGAGCATGGAGTGTCGCTTGACAATCGTTTGTACAGCGGTCCTGATTTGTTGGGCCGGTTTCTGGCGTGTCAGGCGCAGGAAGAAGCTTTGATTGAAATGACTTCGCCCCTGACCAGGAAGGGCGAAGAACATCTGTTGTATCGGAGATAATGCGAAGTCAAGCTCCATTTCCTCACTGTACTCGATTTGGGTTTCGGATGAGCGCACTAACTTGGCTAATTCAACAATAGATTTCGCTTTAAGGACCTCTTGCACAGTAATCTTGAAGTCTTTCTTTTGGAAGTTTGAAACGGCTTGCATTGCAGTGATCGAATCACCACCTAAGCTCAGGAAGGAGCGCTGACATCCGATCTGTTCAGGTTTGATGTTGAGTACGCGGCTCCAGACGTCTCTAACATCGGCCTCTGTCTGTGACAACGTATGATCCTGATCGGATAGTTCACCTTCGCTTGGTGACATGATTTGAGACCATATATCATCGGTCATATGGTCAATCCATGTGGCAATGTGCTTGCGATCCAGTTTACCCGATGGAAGGAAAGGTAGGGAACTAACGGCTAGCCACAGCGTGGGCGTCATATGAGATGGTAGTATTTCTGCAATGCGTTGCCGAATTTCCGCGGTGATGTTGTTGGTAGACTGCTGATCTGGGGGATCGAAGAGTTTTAGTGGCTCTTCACCTTGCTTGATCAGTGTAGCATATGCCTTCAGTGTCAATATGGATACTAGACGACCTGTACAATGGCCAACTTTTGGAAAGAACACTGTTGCGGCCTCAACAGCTGGATCAGCAGACAAGTGATATTCTATTTCTCCAAGTTCGACTCGCTGTCCATGCACCTTGACTTGGTTGTCTTTCCGGCCCAAAAAGGACAAAGAGCCATCTTTTATATCCCATCGTACAAGATCGCCAGTTTTATAAAACCTCCGGTCGAAGCCTGACGACGACCAGACGGGGTTCGTAATGAAAGCACGAGATGTCTTCTCGTCGTCATCAAAATATTCACGGGCCAAAGTTGGACCCTCGATAAGAAGTTCGCCCACACAGCCAATTGGAAGCAGCAAGTCATGGTTCTCGGAATCCACGACCCAGCACTTTACACCAACAGGATGACCAATATTGTTAGGACGAGTATTCCGGTCAACGTGCGAATTTACGACAGAAGCTACAGAAGCCTCTGAAGGTCCGTACCCGTTGACTAGATTAACCCCAGACCATATCTCAACATGGTTCGGCGACATCGCTTCTCCGGCTAACACTAGTGTCTTCAGTCCAGGTACATCAGACGGTGCCAAGAAGTTGATGAAAGATGGAGTCAATACTGCCCAATTCACATTCATGTCGAGCATCGACTTTGAGATGTGGTTCAATCGGTCATCATCGCTCGGTATACAAATACAGCCACCTACAAGAAGAGTCGTGAGAATTTCGACAAGACTTGCATCGAAAGTATGCGCGGCAAATTGTAAGACACGTGACTGGTCAGTCATAAGCATGGCCGGGCCGTGGAGTTTCGCGCTGGCAACGAATGCGCGATGCTCGATAACAGTAGGCTTCGGTTGACCAGTCGATCCGGAGGTGAAGATTATGTATGCTGCGTTCGAGGGTGTGACCGAGATTGCGATGGGGCTCGGACCAGACGAGAAAGGACTTAGAATATGTTCGGCATTGCGTTCATCAATGGGAATGACGACTGCTGCCGTAGATACCAGCTTTTCAGCCAGTCTTTGCGAACAAAGTAAGACCCGAGATTTGACCTTGCGAACCAGTGTTTGCAAACGAGGGATTGGATACGCAGGGTCGAGTGGAACAAACGAGCCTCCAGCTTTCAACACCGCTAGCATAGCAATAACATTCCACGCCGTCTTGTCGAAGACGAGGGCAACATGACTTTCAGGGCCAACACCATGCGACATCAGGAGTGCGGCAAGCTTGGATGAAATGTGATCCAATTCTTGATAGGAATATGAGCCATCCCAGGCGCATATTGCCTGTTTGTTTGGGGTTGATATTGATCTCCGCCTGATGAGCTCGTGGATCATCTCACTTGAGGGCTCCATGGAAATACTGTTCCAAACAAGGAACTGATTCATGTCGAACTGACTCAAACAGTCCAGGCTATCCGTGGTCGTATCTGGTTGTGTAAGGACAGCACGGAGAATTCTTTCGAAGGTCTCTGCGATGCTCTTAGCTTGCTTTGAAGTCATACCAGCACTCCACCATTCGAGAAATATACTCAGTCCTCCACTGAGATATTTCACGTTGAGTCTGACATGGTTCTATGATCATGGTCAGTGCAGTTTGTCGAGAATGGAATTAGGAGAACGTACTTCGGATACGCCAGCAAGCGTGGTGGTCAACTTCTCGATTTCGCGAGCTGTCCCAGAAGGTCCATAGTGTCGAATCACCAGCTCTGAATTAAATAATCTTTGGATATCTTCTTGTGCCAGAAAGCTCGAATCGTCTAGACTATGACTCTGATACGGGCGCCACTTCAGGAAAGCCTCTTTTGAGGATTCCAAAGTCTGTGATAATGTATCGGAGCCACGCAGACGCATTCGCATTATGGGCATTGGTGAATTTGAATCGGTACTGTTGCTTTGTCTTCGAGTTTCCAAGAATCCAAAACAAACGTCGTCCATACCAGTATAGAGTCTTAACAAAAGCGCCCAGGTAACACGTAGAGCGCTCGACATCATATCAACGTCTCTTGCTGCCATATGGAGCAACTCATTCGTGGTACTTGAGGCTAAGTTAATGAGCAGAGGGAGGTTCGCGCCATCCGTCTCGCCCTCGAAGCGAGGGAAATGACATGAATCCGCGCCGGAGAGGTAATGTTTCCAGAACAATTGAGCGCTTGAGCGGCTCGAACTCGATCGACGTGCCATAACGTTCGTACTGGGTATGTTTCCGTGAGTAGGGTAGTTGCTCGAATGTCGGTGATAGGCGAATGAGTGGAAGTGATGGGTCACGGAAGTTCAATGCGACGTAACGAGAGAGCAATAACAGGTGTGGTAAGCTTCAGTAGAGTGATATCTGCAAGTGTACAGGTCAGTGTAGGGTGTGGTAGATCGAGTAGCTACAGCGCTGGCACGTGGCTGTATCTCCGTGGTTCCCAGGATGGATTAGTTCATAATCAGATTCTCCTCGAGGTGGAGTGGCCAAACAGCATTGTAACGATAGTTTACGATACATCGGTACTTACGCTGTAACGTAGACGCCCGATCCAGGGGTACATGACGGGGCTGGACTGCACAAGCAACTCCGGGCGCAGGACGCCATACACAACGGACGATCGAACACTTGGCCATAGTATATTTTGTGTATCCTGGGAAAAAGAAGTCTACCACCCAACGGCTCGACTGATGGGAAGGCCCAAAAGAGAGCACGGTAAGCTGCGAGGATCTGACGCCACAAAATAGACGTTCCGGCCGACCTCCTAATTCAGATCCCGGTAGCTGGATCACTAGTGAGGATATAGCCTCCCGAGGGCCCGGAACGCCACACCCTGTAAGCCCACTTACCACGTAGAGACAGCCACCTTGTGAACGGATGCTTGACAGCTGCCAGCATTCCCAGCCTTCTAGTGTTGCGACTTTAAGACCATGGCGCCGCTGTAAGGCTGTGCCAGTCGCCCGCCGTGCGGCACGGGCCAGCGACTTTTGTCCAACTTATGCAAGCCTCCTATGTTACCAGTCACTGACGTCGCAAGTCAGCACGAAGTTGGGCTTGCGGCTGATGTGGTAATCCTGCATGGGGCAATCGATGGAAGAGCGACAAACAAGAAAGTCGAACCAGGATTGGAACTGGACAGGGAAGGGCGAGTGGAGTCCAGGACTCGGGTGTGGTCATTACGAATGGACTACTATGACGAGTGAAAGCCAGGGTGAGCAGACAGACGGGGTCACGTTTCCCCTGAACGATGGAAACTGGTGAATAAGGGACGAGAATTGACTTTGTGCGAAGATTCGATACTGTAATGATGACTCAGTTAGTAATGCTCCACTTCCCCATCCTGTCAGCAAGTGTACTCAAAGATACGCAAAGTGCTAGTAGTTCGACACGCTATGGATCACTGCTTGGTCCGGGTGTTTCAATAAGACAACGGCAGGGCACAGACCTTTTGAGTGAATTCCAACCTCACCACATGCTGCAAAGTCTAGTACGGCTGCCTGCTATGTACAGTGATAGTTCACAAGGCAGCAACTCCCGGGATCAACTCTGATCCACTCTTAAGCTACTGCTGCTGGACATTACAAAGCGACCATCTTACAAATTTATGCTAGAAACACCCTTAGTGCAAGTTGATTCTCACGAGCGGGTATGGAACGGCGACGCGTCGACGTGCCGACGCGCCTGGAGATTGTAACCCAGGGTATAGTGACCCGAAAAACATGAATAAGGAACAGCTCACAGTGGTCACTATGAACTCGATCCCATCAGAGAGCCCAATGGGAAACAGCTTTTACACTCGCTTGAGCGTATGATCACAAGGTCCTACAAGCTTGGCACTTCACTTCTTGACGCAGAGAGCGCAACATCTGAACAATTCGCCACCACATGTTCTTGCACACGAAATACTCAAGTCGGGTACGTAGAGGCAGGCCAGAGAAAAAGAAAACAGAATCAGGCCAAGAAACGACCAGACGTGGCGGGGTCAGTTGAGGACCTTCTGATTACTATGGAGTGAGATGATCAGCCTGATCATTACGGGAATAGTCCGCAGTGTGGGCATTTGACGAGCATCATTCCATTGAGCCCCTATGGTCAAGGTTGCGATTGCACCTAACCTAGATCCCAGTTACCATATATCAAGGAATACAAAGAATACCTGGTCACAGTAATCAAGGTTAGCGGCAGCAGGCGGGCACGGAGTCAAAAGATCAGAGGGAATTTCCATGACGGGATAAGAGGCGCCGTGGCGGTTGGAATAACATGGGGGCGTCGAAACTACACAAGTGGTCAGGCTGGCTCAAAGTGTCAGCATCCAGGGCGGGATGGACAAGTGTCTGGTCTATAAGGTTCGTGAACTACCAATGCGCGCATGACGCTAGGCCAGTGGGGTCCGGAGGAGTTGCCAGCTGCGGCTTCATCTAGGAACTAATCAATATACAACTAATTTCGCCGATCACAGTCTCTTCCTTGACCGCTGCAAATTCTAGATGAACTTATGCAGGTGCCAAACATCTCCATATTTAGCAATGCTATGCATTGACCCACGCGTTTCTGCCATGTTGTCCATACTGTAGCATATACGGGCGCCCCTTACGACATGGTAGCTGTAGCTGTAAGCCCGGGATTAATGCACCTGATGCCTACCAACTGGAGGAAATTGGACTTATAGAGATGCGTCGATCTCCGGGGAAACCTGAAGCGTGCATTAAGGCCTGCATCGACAGAATCATTTCTTGAATCTGGTCGTTCAAAGTGAACTCTCGGTGATCCTCAACCTCAGAGCAACTGACTGGACACCTTCAGTATGGACAATTCTTCGACTGAAAGATGCTTGGAAATTGATAATACCTTCGGTCCTTACGCTGGGTCATGTCGTGGTGGCTTTGATTTCACATTGTACTTCGAAGACACTATCTTGACCATTCTACCAGTCGTAGTGCTCCTCATCCTTGCTCCAGCACGCCTACTATACCTGCGCACAACACGTCCGAAGGTTGTACGCAGCAGATGGAGATTCGTTAAGCTGGTGAGTACAGAGCTCATGCTACCGATTTGCCTTGTCTCAATTACTAAATTGTTCGTAGACAGGATATGCATCGCTAGCCGCGCTCAATTTTGCAGCGTTGATACTATGGATACAGCCGATGAGTATAGCATCAAAAGCCTCTGTGGCCGCCGCGGGTCTCAGCTTTGTGGGAGCCATACTATTAGGACTTCTTTCCTACGTTGAACATAATCGATCTGTCAAACCATCACTTATACTGGAACTGTATCTCCTGTTTACACTTCTCTTCGACATTGCTCACGCGAGAACCCTGTGGTTACAGCAATATAATCGAAGCCATGCTGTACTTTTCATTCTGATCTGTGGGATCAAGGGAGTCTCGCTGCTGCTAGAGTCCCAGCAGAAAAGACATCTTCTAAGACCAGCTTATGAAACGTGTCCGCCGGAGGCACTCGCAGGGACCTTCAACAGATGGACATTTTGGTGGTTGAATTCATTGTTCAAGGTCGGTTTCAAAGCCAATCTCGATGTTGATGATCTATATCCGCTGGACAAGTCATTGCAATCGGAACATCTCGATTATATTATGCAGACAAGTTGGCACCGAGGTTCGTCAACACATAGAACCTTTCTTCCCACTTTGTGCGGATATCAGTACATGAAGACGATTTTAACATCTTATAGTTACTCGACAAGCAGCAGATCAGTCATCTTCCTCTGCGGTATCCAAGGAGCAGACCACAGAAATGGCGTTGGAGAGTAAAATACCGGAGCAGACTACATTAGTGAAGAAGACCGCTATTCCGGCGAATGCGTTATTCGGTGTAGCATTCAAGACTCTGATATGGCCCATTGTTGCGGCTGTCCCTTATCGAGTCGCCTTGATCGCATTCACATTCTGCCAACCGCTACTGATAGATAGAGCAATCACTTTGTCCAACGAATTTCTTGACAAACAAAGCAGACAGATAGGATATGGCTTGATTGGCGCGTATGTCATTGTGTACTCGGGTATTGCGGTAAGGCACTATTGATTTACCTCGGAATAAGTTGTTAAAATTGACACACTTCAGGTCACCACCGGACAAAGCCAACACTTGTCATATAGAACCATCACAATGGCCCGCGGAGGTTTGATCTCAATGATCTACAGAAAAGCCACAAATCTACAGTCGACATCAACAGATCCTGCCTCGGCGCTGACATTGATGAGTGCGGACATCGAGAGAATAACTACTGGTTGGCAAATGATGCATGACTTATGGGCGTGCATCATCGAGATTGTGTTGGCTATATACCTGTTACAACGCCAATTAGGGGCTGCTTGCGCGATACCAATCGGTGTCTCTATCTGTACGCTCATTCTGCGCAAAACTTTGACTTAGTGACTAACGAGTGTAGTTGCTATGTTCGGCGCCGCAGCCACTACATCGCTCGTCCTTGCGCGGCAGACAGCGTGGCTACAAGCCATCGAAAAACGTATCTCAGCCACGACCGCTATGCTTGGAGCCATGAAAGGGGTTAAAATGTGTGGTCTCAAGGACACCCTTCAACGACGCCTGCAGGAGCTCCGCAAGGAAGAAATGGAGATCTCGAAAGGTTTCAGAAAGTTGCAGATCTATACCATGGCATTCTGTATGTGCACATATCAACAGTTGAACGTTTTGGACTGATATATTTAGCGTATATCACCCCCGTCGGCGCCCCTATTCTGACATTTGCTGTCTTCTCCGTCACAGCCCGAAACGCCGGTGGCAATACTACGTTAGACACGGCTCGAGTTTTCACGTCTCTGTCTCTTTTCACACTGTTATCAGAGCCCATCCAATCCTTCATGCAAGCGCTAGTCACATTTATGGGTGCTGTTGGGTCTTTCCAGCGTATTCAACAGTTTCTCGAGGCAGAAGAGCACAAAGACTACCGAGAGAAGCCTGGGGAGACATTTGACGCAGGCAGCATCCATAGCGTCAGGAAGAAGAGTATCTCCGAGCAGAGTGAAATCAGCGCAGCAAAGACAATGAGCACGGAGAAACTTGACTTTGGGCTAATGCTCCAAGAAGATCGGTGCTACTATAACATGCCCGAGGCGATTATCATTCAGGAAGGCAACTTCGGTTGGACGGAGGAGTCGACTCCAGTATTGAAACATGTCAATCTCAGTGTTCCTCGAGAGAAAGTGACCATGTTGATTGGTCCTGTGGGTTGTGGCAAGTCCACCTTGCTGAAAGCAATACTTGGAGAACTGCCTACGGTATCAGGCCGAGTAGGCATTTCATCATCTAGCATAGCATACTGCAACCAGACTCCGTGGCACATGAACAGTACCGTTCAAGAGAGTATTGTTGGTATAACGTGTCGGTATGACGAGAAGTGGTATCACGATGTTGTCGAAGCCTGTGCTTTAGACGAGGATTTCGCACATTTACCACAAGGTGATCAAACTGTCATCGGGAGCAACGGTGTTGCCCTCAGTGGAGGCCAAAGCCAACGAATCGTAAGTTTAATGTGACCTTTTCTGGAAATGGATGCGTACTGACAACGAAACAGGCATTAGCGAGAGCTGTATACGGGCAGAGAGATATTGTCCTCCTCGATGATGTCTTCTGTAGTCTAGATCAAGATACTGAGAACAAAGTTTTCCACAACCTCCTTGGTAAAAACGGAATCCTTCGCCGGAAGCGGGCTACGATCGTACTTGCTTCATCATCAGGTTAGTACAGTACTATTCCTGTATGTGTAAAAGCTAACCAGCTCTAAGCTCAACGTGTTCCGTACGCCGATCACATCGTTGCTATCAATCAGAGTGGGTTTATAGGGGAGCAAGGATCATTCCATACTCTCAACCGGAGCGGTGGCTATGTTTCGAGTTTTAACCTTCAACCTACTGACTGGGCTCACGCTTCTGTGCGACGATCATTTACGGAGAAAACAGCGGGACTATTTCCGCCGATCACGCACGCGAAGGAAGAGTTGCCAAACGTAGTGAGTGTTGATGCCGAAAATGCTCGACGAACGAGTGACATAGCCGTGTATGGCTACTATATACGAGCCATTGGATGGATGCCCGCCATAATATTCGTTCTCGGTATCATGAGCTTTGTCTTCTGTTACACTTTCCCTAGTACGTTGAATCCTATATCACATCATTGTTCGTAGTTAACATCGTCCAGGTATATGGGTTAAATGGTGGGCTGCGGCTAACATAGAAACCCCGAACGGCAACTTAGGATACTGGCTGGGAATATACGCTGTACTTGGGCTATCAGCAATCGTGAGCCTTCTCATAGCCACATGGTGAGGAGCCTGCAACTCTATCTTTAACACGACTCTAATGACATGTAGGCAAATTATCATCACTGCAGTCCCTAGATCTGGTGTTGCTTTCCACGAGAAGATACTCAAGACTGTCCTGAAGTACGTATACGTCACCAGAAACTGATCACGTTGGGATGACTGCTAACTGTGACATAATCAGCGCTCCCATGCGTTTCTTCAGTACTACCGATACTGGTGTAACAATCAACAGGTTCAGCCAGGATTTGCAATTAATCGATATGGACTTGCCCGTCAATGCCCTACAGACCTTTACAGGTAAGGCAGCACGAATACAGTTGGAATCCGCTAACGTGCACAGTCGTCGTGATGTGTATTGCACAAATGGTTCTCATTGGTGTAGCATCTGCTTACGCTGCGATTTCCTTTCCTATATGCGTAATCGTTCTTTACTTAGTGCAAAAGTTCTATCTCCGGACATCTCGCCAACTTCGGTTCCTTGATCTCGAAGCAAAGTCGCCACTTATGTCCGAGCTTGTAGAATGCCTCGGTGGTCTAGCAACTATTCGAGCATTTTGTTGGCAGGACGCCCTTCAAGTGCGTGTTCGGGGCCTTCTTGATCGGTCTCAGCGTCCATTCTATCTGCTCTTCGCTGTCCAAAGATGGATCACTCTCGTTCTTGATCTTATGGTGGCCGCAGTCGCGGTCCTGCTCATCTCTCTGGTGGTCAACCTGCGAGGTCAATTGAGTGCCGGATACGTAGGAGTGGCTATGCTCAATGTGATCATGTTCAGCCAATATATAAAACAACTTGTTGTTTTCTGGACGATGCTTGAGACAAACATAGGTGCAATAGCTCGCATCAAGTCTTTCACCGAGGATACTGCCGATGAGCATCAGCAGCATGAGTCTCAACAGCCACCTGCGGTTTGGCCATCAAAGGGATCAATCGAATTCAAGAATGTATCGGCCTCTTACAAGTAAGCGTGTCTCGTCTCCAGAACGTACTGGTCACTAACAGCATCAAGGCCCCCATCGAATGTCCTTGAGAATCTAGACTTGTCAATACAGCCAGGACAGAAGGTTGCCATATGTGGCAGAACTGGTAGTGGCAAATCATCACTTATGCTGACCCTGTTCCGCATGCTTGACCAGACCTCAGGGTCACTTATCATCGACGGTATCGATATCGCGACCATACCCCGCCAGACTGTTCGGTCAAGAATAATAGGGGTTCCACAAGATGCGTATCTCTTTCCTGGGACCGTTCAGGAAAATGCGTCGCCTACTGGCACTGCTGCAGAAAGCGATATCATCGAAGCCTTGGAAAGCGTCCAATTGTGGAACATCATCAGTGAGAAGGGTGGTCTAAGTACGCTGGTGGAAGATTGTCATTTTAGTCAGGGGCAGAAACAGCTGTTTTGTTTGGCTCGAGCCATGCTTCGTCCTGGGAGGATATTGGTACTTGACGAAGCGACGTCGAGGTATGCCAATTTACCATCTATCATTGCACCTTGCTAACATATCTCCAGCGTCGACGCACAAACAGAGGTCGTCATTCAAGATGTTTTGCGGACAAAGTTTGCATACCACACTGTCATCACAGTGGCACATAAGCTCGACTCCATCCTCGACTTCGACCGCGTTGCCATGATGGAAGGCGGCCGAATCGTCGAGTACGATGCTCCATATTCCCTTCTCAGCCAGCCCGAATCGAAATTTGCCCAACTCTACCATTCTGCAGAAGAGAGTGAGAGCACATGACCGCATCGGCTTATTGTCAGTTTTACAAAGCACAGCATCCGGCGTACTGGAATCATTATTCACGGCGCAAACGACTTGGCGTCAATAAATATAGGCATACACACAAGACTTATTTTCCTAATGTCTTCATGAGAACCTCGTCACTCGCTTCAATCCATTCATCTCTTTTGTTGGTCTTGCACTGGCCGGTCCGGTGAAAACACATCGGTAAATTTAGGGGCACCTTACACTCGGTACTATTTTCTTACTCATCACCCTATTTACGAAATTGATACATATATACATTTACATGAATACTGAGCTAGCTTGTGCAGTTCCCCACAATAAGCCCGAGCCGCGTGATCGACCACTAGTGAATATGAGGCGCACAACTCTCCAGACTCCTGGGACGGCCGGCTTTTTCGGACTCCGCGTTCCCGCCATGGTAATTTGCTTCTTGCCACTCATATTCATGCCGCACGCCTGACAGCGTGGCGTGAAACGTACAACGCACAATTGCAGCCCACGCCGTACAATAAATGAGAACGGATCAGGCGTTCGACGCACACGCCACCAACATTTCATAACAACTGCTGGCACGGCTGCTGGATACGTTTACGTAAGTCCGATCTTCTCGATTCGAACTCCTGCATGCCCGCATCTGGTCTCACTTCCGGGATCTCTTCACCGATTGAGATGAACAAGGATGCAAAATGTAGATTGCTACAGGGGTAGGCGAGCGGGGCTCGTAACTTCACGGCGTCCAGGATGTTTGCCTTCAGGGCTGCATGTTCCATATACATTTTACATGGATCCCGCCCCCACCTGTGAGTAAGCTGGAATGAGCGCCTGCAGGATATATACAGTGGCAACAGGATGCAGCGAGAGAGGTGTGTCATAATGCATTCATGATAGCCACTTTTCATCCCTTCAACGCCCAGTTCAAGGTATACAAACAAGGAAAATTGTCAGCCTTGGAAGACTACGCGTGGCCGTTAACTCCGTTCAGGGCCCTTCGCTTGCGAATGGCGGTGGCCAGCTCCTCCAGTACAAGTTCGGTATCATCCCAACCGATGCAGGCATCAGTGATGCTTACGCCATATTTGAGATCTTTTTTTCCATTCATGGGTGACTTTTGGGCGCCTAAGAGAATTTTAGCAAACAGGGGATCAGCCAGACTGGTGACTACCCACCTTCATTGATATTACTTTCAATCATCACACCCATGATCCCAGTCTCACCGGCAGAGATTTGTGTTGCTAGATCGTGTACCACCTTGGGCTGGTTTTTGTGATTTTTCAGAGAGTTACCATGGCTGCAGTCGACCATTAGGCGGGCGTTCAGGCCCTTCTTAGCCAGGCTCTCCTTTGCCTCAGCAATACTCTTTGCGTCATAATTCGTGCCTTTAGTTCCCCCTCTCAAGATCACGAAGCAGTCTTCGTTACCCTCCGTCTGTACAATGGCAACAACACCGGGCTTAGTGACAGAGAGGAAGTGATGTCCGTTCTTCACAGCGCCAATAGCGTCTACGGCAACACCTAACGACCCATCTGTGCCGTTCTTGAAGCCGACTGGAAAAGACAAACCCGATGCCAGTTCTCGGTGAAGTTGAGATTCGGTAGTCCTCGCACCCACAGCACCAACACTAAGTAAGTCCGCAAGGAATTGTGGCGAGATGGTATCTAGCATTTCGCTGGCCAGCGGCATGCCTCTCTCGGTCAAGTCGAGGAAGAGCTTCCGCGATATCTTGAGACCATCGTTAATCTTGAACGAGTTATCAATATCCGGGTCGTTGATTAAGCCTTTCCATCCAATTGTAGTTCGGGGCTTTTCCAGATAACTCCTCATGACTATCAAGAGCGCGTCTTGATATTTCTCTTTCAATTTCAGCAGGCGATCGCAGTATTCTAAGGCAGCTTGTGGATCGTGAATCGAGCAGGGACCCACGACGACCAGCAGACGCTGCTGCTTGTCTGTGCCATGTACAATGCATACTGACTCATTACGAGCTTGAATTACGACTTCTTTCGACCTTTCTGATTGTTCAATTTCGTGTTGCAGGAGATTCGGGGGTGTAAGAGGCGTGTAGCCTTTGATCCTCGAATCCTCGCTGTTATTCATCGTTTTCACGCCGTTCTGCATGTCATGAGCAGCAGTCAAGGACCGCATTCCAGCAGACTTACGGTAGCCATAGTGTGCGCTTGTCGTGGATGTGCGTATCAATTGTGGATAGTCTTCTACAGCTGAAGTAATACAAGGGCGATCGTGAACCGCGAGGGGCTCGTGCTGGAGACGGTCTATAACTAGGTTGTACTGCTGCTTTCTATAGTCAGTTTTCATGGCCGGACTATGACACACACAAGCGTGGGCCTCGGCGTCGAGTGGGACTTTTCTCGACGAACTTACCGTGAAATGATTGGTATAGGAACAAAATACCGTGCAGTTCAGGTGTTGAGTGTCTGTCGAACAATTGCGCATATATCTTGAGTTTAAAGTCTGTATATATAGTTTACGCAAAGTGTGCAGCCCACGCCTCGAAGGCGGTCAGAGCGGGCAATATGATGTTCACATGCGGCTACCGACTGGTCCCTCGCTGACCGATAGACGCCTCGCCGACGCCGACCGACTCCTCGCGAGGGTTTACCCAATGTATACGCGATTTTTATATACGTATTCAGGGCCACACAACAATCATATGAAGTCAGCTCCAGCTATTGTATGAGGTGGCCGGAGCCTAGACTTGACGTCATCGTTTTTATGATGCTCAAGTCCCCTCCAATGCCAAAATACTGTACATAGCGGCTTCGGGTAGTTGCTCTTCCAATTGATAGCCACATGTTAAAATGTCTCTCTGTCGCGCATCTTAGAGACTAGACCGATATCGTTTGCCAACATCTCCACTGGTTATAAGCAGTGACATACGCTACCAGAGAATCTGAGCCGGCTTCGAGGCAATTTAACTTGAATACCCCGACCTACGAGTGCTAGCAAGTGCGTGCCGTTATAAAGATGTTTAAGCGCATGCTTATGACGACCCATGCACTATTGGGACTGTCCTGGAGATTCAGCTTGATACCAAGGAATGAAAGTGATGATGCCTCAACCGCTTGCCAAATTTGAGTGGTGGATAAAGAGCCCCTGTAGAAAGGACAAACACGTTCAATTGCGCTCGTGACTAAGATGATGGGCTCAATCGCCACAGACCTGCTTCAGGTATGAGCACAAATGGATTCCATCGCGTCGAGCGTACTAAACTCTCTCTATAGTCTGGTTCATCACATACATCAGCTGAGATGATTGGGACTGACCGCCAACGATAATTCAATGGTCTTTGCGAGCTCTGTGATTTACCCGCCAAACATGGGCTTCACTTTGCTTATGCGAATTGGCGCTGGTCTACGCATGCCCCATATTGGAAAAATGTATGGGCTATCGTAGAGCAAGTTGAAAGGCCGAGTCTGGACACTTTCCAGTCGGCTGAAGGAAAGTGGGTAGATCCAACATCTCAGTCTGGACCGCACGAAGACATTGGAAACGTCCAAGCCACGTGGAAGACGAGGTGTGAGGATCTCAGTAAGACATTTTCCAAAAACAGGATCTATCCGATTCTGATCTCGAATACGTACAAGCAAGCCAAAGGAGCCGTTCAGCAAAGATTCAGGTCCAAGTAAGACTCGTCCAAGGTGTAGATGGGGCCATGACTCTCGCCCTCTAACATTTGAATGCGGTTGCGTACTGATAGTAGGTTTCGTGAAAGCGGTACTGTAGACAGGTTTCAGAGATGGTTTCTTTATGAGATCTTCGACAGTGGCCCAAATGGTACCAGGAGAGATCATGGACTGCTGGACGGACTATGTGAACAATGGCTCCGCGTGCCAGAAACTTATGGATGCGTGCGCTATTTGAGTCTGATAGTACACACACTCTTGCTCGACATAACGCATGCAGAACACTGGTTCTGACTGCAGTTGAAAGTATTCAAGACAAAGGAATGTCAGCCGAAAGATGCTGTCATTCGCAGATCCGTGTATATTAGTGATATGTAGTAAAACCATTCGTAGTACGCTTATGAAACCGATGAAACAAGTACATAAGTGCCAGGCAATATACGGTTGATTGGATCTTGAAAATGACTATTTGCGTTCGTATCGCATTCCAACATCGAAGAGGTCACCGAGGAAAGTTGCGGCCAATCAGAAGGCGCTTAATCAGATCAGGATGCCAAGCCCCGGTTGACGAGAGAGAGCTCTTTCCCTACCAAGATTCCTCCAAAACCTCCTTCGACATCAATTGCCCACAGCATCCGCCCAATTTCGTCCCCCGGGCATCATCAGGTCAGACCTCACCATGCTGGCGAGATCGTGTCTTCGCTCAGCGCGTGTTGTGCGCCCTGTCGCACGCAATGTGGCCGGAAAGCCAGCTTCAGTATGTACCGAAACTTCATGCTTGACTACGCATCACCTCTTTCGCCGATGTTATCTTCACGAAGTTGCGTACTGATTGATTTTACCCCAGCGCGCTGCCTCCTCTTCTAGCTCTTCTACCGAACAAGCCTCTGATGCCTGGAGAGCCACCGCCACCGCATCGGCTGCCACCGCGTTCGCCATTGGATCCGTCGCCTGGTACTGGCATCTCTACGGCAAAGAGTTGAATGCGGCCACGATGGCCGAAGAAGGGTTAGTAAATCCTTCAGCAACATATGTCCTACTTCATTTGATCGCCATACTTGAAAAATGGAGAACTCGCTGACCACAAGCCCTTAGTCTTCATGCCACACACTATCCTTGGGAACACGCCAAATGGCACAAGACATTTGATCATCAAGCGTACGTTTTGTAATGGCACAGTGTTCGTCTGGCCAAATCTGACACTTCCAGGCTACGACGAGGATTTCAAGTCTACCGCGAGGTTTGCGCATCCTGCCATTCACTTGCTCGAGTTCCATACAGAACTCTTGTCGGAACCATCATGACCGTCGACGAAGCCAAAGCACTAGCTGAAGAGAACGAATATGATACCGAACCAAACGATGAGGGAGAAATTGAAAAGCGACCCGGAAAATTATCTGACTACCTCCCAAGCCCATATAAGAATGACGAAGCCGCTCGCGCTGCCAATCAAGGTGCTCTGCCTCCAGATTTAAGCTTGATGGTCAAGGCGCGTCATGGAGGCTGCGATTACATCTTCAGCCTATTGACTGGGTACCCAGAGGAGCCACCACCAGGTGCTCAAGTCGCCGATGGCCTGAACTTCAACCCTTATTTTCCCGGAACTGGCATTGCCATGGCACGAGTCCTCTACGATGGTCTCGTTGAATACGAAGACGGAACCCCAGCTACCACGTCTCAGATGGCCAAAGACGTCGTCGAATTTTTGAACTGGTCTGCCGAACCCGAGATGGATGAACGGAAGAAAATGGGTTGGAAGGTGCTCGCAGTGACTAGCGTACTTTTCGCAGTCAGCATATGGGTCAAGAGGTAAGCGCTGCGCGTGCCTTTCTCGAGACTTCAGTCTTGAAAGTACAAGTACAAGACTACTGACAAATATATAGGTATAAGTGGGCTCCAATCAAGACACGGAAGCTGGTATACAACCCTCCTTACCAGCAGCGCAAGCCAGGACAGTGAAACTGTATATGGTAAGAATCAGATCAGCAAAAGAGCGGAAGTGATAGACAGTTGGGGGTGGGAATGGCCTCCCAACCACTTGTACAGCATTGTGAGAATAGCTAAGAATTATTTCATTTCTTATGTTATAGATGCTCTTATAGTCTTTCATGATATGAGATCACCGATATTGCCCGCATCTATCTCGACTCCATGGTGACCATAGCTCCCAGGCTATAGATTTCTCTTAATGTTATGCAGAACCAACTCCGCAGCTTACCGAGCCATGCTTTACGACATGGAGCGACTGGGCTGTCCTACATAAGCATTAACATGATCGTGAGACATAGGCTGCGCAATACAAAGGGATTACAAAATATTACTCGAAACTGCGTTCTGGCTGATCCGATGTACTCAAGCCTGAACCTCAAGTCGCGCACCAATGTAGGCTGAACGTCACCTTTTTGCACCTCTTCCATTCATTTTCCTTGATGGCGCAAGCAAAGGAGACACCGAATGTGTCTGTGATAACCATCAATGACCCATTTGAAGGTCCTTCAGTTCATCATACAATAGTATTACCAAAGTGCTGTTCACAGAATGCATTGCAGGGACCGTCTACGAGGGCTCTGGTACTCTCACCAGATCATGTCCCGTCTCATGGGCCTCGCACGATCCTCACAACCCTTGGCTCTTCTCTAGAGCTCTGAAGTGGTCCGTTTGGCTTCACGATTGGTCCGCTCATCTGGAGTCCACTCTCAGAACTGTATCGTCGACAGCTGCTTTTTGTTGTCACATTTCCAGCTGCAACGAGCTTCAATGCAGCTGCTTCGCCGAACTTCCCATCTCTGGTCGTGCTCCGGTTCCTTACTGGTGCTTGTGGCTCTTCAGCTCTTACGGCTCTAGCTAGTGTAATACCAGACCTTTATCCTGCAGGCCAGCGTAGTCTTCCGATGTGCGTTTTGGGAACTGTCATCATGTTGGGAAAATCACTCGACCCAGTCATTGGAGAATTTCTCTCCAATCCAGCTGGCTGGAGATGGGTTCAAGGGTCAAGCGCAGCACTGATTGGCCTTACATAGTTGATTGGTATACTCATACTATCGGAGACATGCGCACCCATGATATTAGAAAAAAAAGGCGGATGCCTTGTCAGTCATGAGTGGTAAAATCTATGGAGTCAGAGCAAGAGCTGGTTCGGAGAGTACATCCATACTCAAACTCTACAAGACGGCACTGACAAGACCATAGGCCATACTATTTCAAGGACTGATCATGCTGCTTATGAGCAGGGACCTCGCGCTCATATCTGGTATCTTCTATCTGTCCATAGACGCCTTACCAATCGTAAAGGGCATGGCAAGGGCTGGGGCCAAAGCATCGGTGGGCTCGCTTTCTTAGAAATTGTTTTTGGCACGATATTAGGGTCTCTTTTCTTGTCCTTTGACGAGAGACGTTACCAAATCATCTCGAAGCACGGTCAAGGCGTGCCTCCAGAATCGCGCATTCCACCATTGATGACTGCCGCCATAGTCCTTCCACTTGGTCTATTATTCGGCTTCGCATGGACCAACCATCTAAGAGTACATTGGATCATCTCACTGGTCCGAATGGCATCTTCGACGATAATTAGTGTCTCGACCTATCTGATCGACGCGTAAGCTTGCGATCTCTTAATCTTCATGCTCGGAAGCACGCAGACTTCGGCATATACAATCGGATACAATCCGAGTGCCTAGATTAGGATTGTACGATTAGTTACCTTAAAAGTACGGATTAAGCTTGGAATCTATGCTAAGAGATTGAGATTGCTTATATTAAATTAAATCGCTTATATCATATAAGATTACCCGATTAGGAAGGAGATAGGGAGACTAAGTGGCTAAGTCATGACATTATTAGGTATATATTCGACTAATATAAGTATATATAGGGCCTTAAATTACACGTCTCCTCGTAAATAACCTCCTTTAGACTATAGAGTCACGTATATATAAGAAACTTACTACTAGAACCTTACTAAAATCGACTAATAAATATACACCCTATATATTTAATCTAACATAAGCAATCTAACTAATCGGATTAGAATTATACCGTCTTGGCAATCATTTTTGAGGCGTGGATTGAGCTTGTATTCTCTATTAGAATATTTGAGCAGATTGAGCTTGCATGGATTCGGATTTTATGTGCCGAAGTCTGGAAGCACGTTTCCACCCCACGGATCTAACAAGTGTTTTGACACACTATCTGGGTGAATAAAGTTAGAATTGATCTATCACTCATGTGTCACCCTGATTCCTTCACGATCAGGATTCAGAGCTTCAGCAGATATAGGCGAGACATTGAACAAGCTACGCTCTAAAAGGGGCTACCCTGGTAGCGTACCCTCAATTTCCAAAGAGCGGTATCACCACCGTTCTTGTTAGCATTACGTTCATGGAACTTTTCCTTGAAGCCACGGATCTTGTCCACGATTCTTCTTATTGAAGCCTTCATTCTGTGTTTCGACGGCGTCTTGTCTATCCTTCGTCTCGTAGCCGGCGCCGGAAAGGGAACCGTCTGGCTCTCTGATCTTACTTTTTCTATCTCATTATGCGTGGACTCCTCGAATTTAATCCTGTTACTTCTCCGGCACCCCGCCTCATCATGCTGTCGAGCAGGTGCGTTGCTGCCGATCATGAGAGACAACCCATCGGTAGAGGCAAAAAACCCATGTTCTTGGCAGAGTATTGGTGAACAAGGTCGAAAAAATACACGGGAGCACGATTTGCATCCAACGTAGTCATGATCGCATCTAGGACAGAGGGACACTGGGTTGTTGATCTGGGAACACATATGGCAGCGCCAGTGCCATGTAATGTTGAATGATGGCGGTTGCTTGTCGTAGTATTCGCAGAGCGAAGAAGCTGTTTCCGTTGCGGTGAAAGCTGATAAAGGTACGAGTTGTGGGTCATGGAACTTTGGAAATGCGTTCTTGATAGCACTCGGATCATGCAGAGGGCTGTACCGGCTACTCATCGACGTTCTTGGTCGTCCTGAAACTTGTGTGACTCCATGCATTTCTTCGAAATGTTTTAGATGCTTGTCGCTGCTATCGAGGGTCAGACCATAGCACGTGAAGTCGTCAATTGGTATTGATGGCACAATGTTCGACAGGTATAATGAGGGTGTAGAGTTGCGATGTAAATGGATTATAGATAGACTTTGAGAGAAGTGATGGTGACAGTTGGAGCCTGAGAAGATCGTGGGAATGGTAGGCTGGGCATTGATATACCAAAGAGGAGAGTCTTAAAGTACTAGCTCGAGTAATGCGTAAGGAACCGTGTTTCACATATCACCTTCCCATAATACGCTCCAGGCTGAAGTATCATTGCACTACAACACACCTTCTGTGTCCACAGCATGCGGCTGTACGTGTCGTTCCTTCTGTAAAGACATATCATGTTAGACACAATCTATTTCACTGGTATGTTTTTTGGCATGAAGGTCATGTTGTCTGCTCGTTTGTTTTATGACAAGACCAGTGGTTTGCCTAGCCAAACGTAGTCACAATCTGACCGGATAGCGAAGTCCACTCGATTACTAACCGAATAACAAGCATTATATGAGACCAGACGTGTTCTGCTCATTAAGTAACGCAAGGTCTGGGCGGAACTAATCCATAGTGATGGTGCTTCTAAAGGTGGGCCCAAACTATACAGCTTTGCCTTCTTGTATGTCGACAATCTATCTATGCTACTTCTAAACGTCGAGAATAGAACCGGGCAATGGGTCGCGGCTGCTTTCGACTCCATGCTTTGTAGATCGGTACGATCAGATGCGCTATTAATACTTCTATGAAATGCACCAGGACTCCGCAAGGTCGAAGCCAGCGACGTATATTTCAGATACGTGAGTACAAATCCGGGATCAGCAGACAAGTGCATACACAAAGATTGTGGTGTTGAGTGCTGCTTCGAGTGCAATATGCCAGCAGGTAACGACGACCCCTTAAAAAGTCCGATATATGACTTGAACACGTAAAGCTTGAACACAATCTACCCGGGAAGCGACTGAATTGACAGGCTTTCAGATGACCGGACACCTCTTGACATATGCATGTCTTCCATATCTCAATGATGACGTCTCCTTTCTTCCGGTTCTTTTCGCTTAATAACATCAGGCCGAAAAATGGCAGATGTCCCTTGTAATTTGTTGCGTCTCCCATGATGAGGTGGCATATATATATATATTTCTATTCAGGCCAAGTAAATGGAGTGAGAAGTACCGACGTCAGGGGTGGAACTAATGACCATATGTGAGAAAGGGTTTCAGCATCCTTTCTTTCAACACGGATGATGTCGATCCCTACTGTATGCATCCTGGAGTGGATCGCGAATAGGTTGACGTTGGACCCTGTCTCATCCCATTTTGTCATCACATGACTTATAGGGCATGCCTCTTGGTGATAATATCAATGATTGTGTCATGAAAGCTACAATGGACATCGTGGAAGGGCGGTCCAGGTCATTCAATTGACAGTGGTCGTGCCCCCCGCCCACAGCCGAGGTTTTGCCTAGACAGCGGCCGCACGCCTCAAAGCGTTGCGACGCCGCCCGCGCGACGAGTGAATGATTGAATGCTGCCTTGTCGTTACACGACGCTGGTCCTCTGAGGATACAATTCGTACATGAGGCTTGATGCTTCATTGGACTGGCACATTCTAATTTGTCTCCTGCGCTACCTCTCTTCACTGCATCTTTATATATCCGCCTCGCTGCACCTCTACGAAACTTACTACACAGTCCCACTACTACTATGTCCTTCCATCCTTTCGGCGGCCGCGTCTCGAACCGATTGCGCGATACGGTGAGCTCTTTCACATCGCGTAATGTTAAAGTCACACACCTAACAATGACCAGCTGTCTGATAAAGAGCTATCCGAAGCATATCTCATCTATAATGACGTCAAATGTATGCCAACCCTCTCCCAAGTATCATTCGACACGAGATTCCCGTGTGGTCCACTGATACGATCCAGTGACTCGAAGAGATTACAATAGCATAAAAGATGACTGGCTTACGGATGAGGTTCGTACATTCTGCCCGCACGGAGATCAGGAAAATAGTAACAATGTCGAAGGTCATCTCCTTCTGGGAGGAATACTTGGAGAGAGAAGAGCTGTCAAAATACCCACAAGCCACGATATCACTCTTACGGCCCTCCATGGCACAATTACTTCGAAAGACCCCGGACCCGCTTACGCTCAAATCAAATCTGCCTGATTTCACCAGGACGACCCATGTGTTTCTCCCAGTAAATAACAGCGAGGACGTTACTGAGGCAGAATCGGGCTCGCACTGGTCTTTGCTCTTGGTCTCCACTATCGATCAAGTTGCTTTCCACTATGATTCGCTGGGTACCGAAAACATTGTGCAAGCAGGAAAAGTTACCCAAAACTTGGGTCGCCTTATCAACAAGCACATCAAATTCATCAACATGGAGGACGCGCCGATACAGAACAACGGCAGTGACTGCGGTGTGTTCGTGTGCTTGATTATGAAGCACCTGTTGCTTAACAGGCTTTTGACGGTGCCCTCAAAGAAGAAAATCAGTATGAGTATGGTCGGGCGTGATATAGATGCCGATAAGGGACGCCATGAGATGAGGCGTCTTATCAACAAGTACAGGGATCAGGCTTCGAAATCGTGAGTGCTGAGCTATGTCCTGCGATATCTGGGCTAAGCAGCCGTAGACGAAGCGCATCTCGAAGCAAGGACAGGTCGAGATCACCACCGAGGTTTAGCGGCGCATGAAGTTCTGCTTATTACTGTGCTCACTGTGGTCTACATATCCCCTTGAGTGGCGTTCTATGGTTGCATATTGGACGTAGGCGTAGAGCAAAAGAGTTGGAGGAATGGATCTTGCATGGTTCCAATCGCGTTCATTGCAGGAGCGGTTATACAGAGGTACTAAGGCTCAGTTGCCCAAACGTTCCCATCGATTTCGGTCTACTATGGGTCTTGTTCGTGGTCAATAGTATCCAAGTCACAGTTCACCAGGATTCAGCGTCTTCGAGATGACACAAACAGCCAGCGCCTGCAGGACCATATGCATTGACATGCATGTGTCGACAACTTTCTCAGACTCAAGGCTCGACATGTACAGGCCCACTTGACCCTGTTCCACCCCTCACGACTCTCGCATTCACCGCACCTTAGTTTGCCATCACAAATAATGCCCTAAGCGACCGAAGAAACCGCAACCTTAAGACAACCTATGCACGCAATCTCACCTTGAACATGTCAGGACTGTTCGTATATGCCAACGAAATGCCTCGTCTCATCTCGCAAACATATATTTTTCTTCCCCAGCTAGCATCAAGGCAGAGGTTCGCACAAGTGGTGAATTTTCCATACTTTCCTACTAGGCCGCTGTTTCATTTCGCTGTCGCTTACTTATATGCTAAGACAAACTACAACGAACAACATCATTTCACGTACTCGAAAATAAATACATAGCATGGATAGGCGTATTATACTCCATAAATCATGCTTTCCATGGGGATGGAACACTCGCACCACTGATTGTGTTAGTGCTAGTCCATCTATAGCAAGTGCAGACACAATAATGCTTATTCCTTGTTGTTCAGTGACGATAGTGTCATGGAAAGCTCTCAGGGGGACTAATTGGTGCAGCTTTTGCTAAAAGTAAAAGATCTTTAAAAGATCAGAGGTCGTTGCTAAATTGTATCATCGATGGTGGCACAGAAACTCCCCGAAGCGAAAGGCCTTTGATGGCTGTAGACATCATATGCAATCCATCGAGTCAGATGCTGTCATGTTAAACTTGCTTTTGAGGTTGCTTTTGCTGCGACGAGTCATGCCAGAGACGTTGTGTGTAGCTATACCGCATTCCCAAGTCTTCGCTACAATGACATGCTGGTCCTATCCCTGATATATGCCAGACTTCTCGTCGTATGTTTTGTGCCGGCATATCCCACTTACTCCACAGAGAAAAACAAAGATTAAATGTTATGGAGCCCCTTGCACCCCTTGAAACAATATAAATCTGCCTTTCCTTCCTCCCGTCTACATAAGTCAAGACGGCCTCTTGAATGATTCCTTCATCATCTAACTTCTATGTTTATGTCATATCAAGTTTCTTCCCAGCACACGATTAAACACATGCCACACTTGCGTCCATTTAAGATCGTCGCTCCCGCACCGCATTTCTGTACACCTTGAGCACAGAGTAGCATCTAGCGCTCCTTGTGCTTCGGTGCTGCTGTCCTCGCACGTGCAGAAACCAGCCATCTTGAGAGATAGCCAGATGGACTAGCTCTACGAACGAGAGAGTATAGGGCAAGTGAGACACCACAGCCTCAACACAGCACCCCATCAAGTCTACGTCACACCAAGGTAACACTACGATGCCAGGACTCGCATGGTGAGCACGTGAGGACGCGTCGGTTTCGCGCCCAAAAGACAGTCTGTCTGACAGTCTGACAGTCTGACAGGTACATCGAGGTACATCCGTACTGAAAACCCAGTCTCCGTACGATACACCGAACGATACATGAAATGTACATTCCGTACGATTGATCCCCCACCCCCAGGCCATTCCCCTCCGCAGCAGCGAAAGTGTCTCCCCTGTCCTTGACGGTCCACCATGCATACTCCCCAAAAACTCGTCAACCTCGGCCAGCAAACTCACTCGAACGCCTCGTCTCGCGAACGTATGTATACCAGGACGAAATGCATCCTTGTCGCCGCCCCCAGCATGCATCCCTGGGCATAGCTCGGATCGGCCCCGGCATGGATCTCAACAACAGGATCTGGACATGGGGGCTAAGCGCGACGCTGGGATACCCTGATCCTTGCGCACAAATACGAAAGGAGGCTGGCCCGGGGTGTGAAAAGGTGTACATGCTCTCCAGCCGGTCAGATTTGAGTGGCAGGCGTGCATATACGAGGTGGGGTAGGACGAATTGGGGGTAATGATGGAAATGGTAGGAACAGGATAGGCGAAGTGGATCGTCATTAGTATCGCTATTCCAGTAGCCGATGATGATGGTGACGTTGGCGGCTGGATCTGTCGCGCCATGAGGGAGGGATGTCTGCGCAAGTTCGCCGCATCACATGCTGTGGCAGGATGCAACCTGCGGCTTGCAAGCTCGGATCAGGCGACAAAGCGAGCACGAGCAAGGATGGCGAGGATGTATTAGGCAGCTGGGGAAGAATCGGAGAAGACGGGAAGGGTGGAGTGACTGACATGCATGGACAGTCATGGATACCCGATGAAGGGTAGCGAAGTTTGTATGACAAGTGATGCATGGGCGTCGGGAATAACGTCGCGATTGCGCTTCTTCGAGCATATTGACGTGCTTGACTATCGGGGAGACGAAGGAAACATTCTCTAGCTTCGAGATGGGTACAGTCTGGCGACTGTTCTTGGATGCCCTAGTTCGTGTGGCGCTGTCGTTTACGGGCTGCGTGGCAAAGCATGATGGCAGTGGCCAAAAGTGCAGACTGCACCGTCGTGGTTGTTTGCAACTCTGTTGTTTCCTTGGAGGTTACCTTCCACAAGTATGTGTGTTGGTGTATAACGACGTTGGATATTGCCCGGGTCTTTACGTAGCAGTATGATGTCGACTCCTGTCCCACATTTAGCTTCCAAGTTTTTGCGCGATGTGCAACATCGGCAGGTCATTCTGTAGTCAACGGGCCTGGCATGCCTGGTGAGAACATAACTTCGATCCACTGCCAACGTAAACAATAATATGGCATAGCCGCATCCCGTTCACACCCATCTCACATGCGATAGTAGGGTTGACGGTGAAGCAAACAGTTCTATATACATAAGAAGTATATGTGTGGATACAAGCTTGGTCCATGAATTGACTTAGACTAAGGACTCTTATACACTTAAATAAACGATGATACTGAGCAGAACTCCTAGTCCGACAAGAGAAGGAAACTCTTGCATCCCGGCGCACACAAGGAGGCTCTCGTTTTCTCTAGGCGTTGATTGTGATGAAACCTTGATAAGTCGCCGCGTCAGAAAAGCCTTTGATGTCAAGATATCATGGTGTAATAGCGATATTACTCCAAGTCGTCGTGGCCTCCAGATCCGATATTGACTTCAAAAGACTCTAAAGTAATGGTGTTACAGCGGAAGGGGTTTAGACGTCGAGAAGTAGGTGCTGAAGGGCTGTGATATTTAGGTATACCTATGGTGATCATACCGGATTGACGGCTAAATAGGCATTGAACCTTCTTAGTGTGATCGTGGTCATCGATATCTCAGATACAAATAGTCTAGAAGTCAGGGAGAGTCACGGCTACCTTGAGTTACTATACAAGTCAATCGCACCCGACGTATCATGTGCAGCAAGTTCGCACAGCCCTCAGAGAGGTTCATTATGCGTAAGGAGACCTTGTCTGATAAGTAGAAGATAGCAAGTTGTGAGCCCCTAAGAATGCCCAATGCTACATGTGTGTGTTCAAGAATTGCGACGTTCGAAGAGTCATGAGCTGTTGGCAAGTTACACAAGGAGATAAATACAAGGCGGCACCTTTTTATGCGTAGTCTTTGTCGCTAGCCTCTGTAAAGTATCGTAGCATGGCCCTCATCTCAACCATCTCGATCATCTCTTCGGGGATCCCAAGACGATTCGCGGAGATACAGCTGTGTTGTGGTCAGAAGACGGTTGACGTTGAGTCTTGAGAAGGCGGGGAGATGAACCGATGGTTTAGCGTAACGGCGGGCCGTTGTTGTGCGCTAAGCCAGTTAGCGTCCAATCAGCAGTAGCAGAGGAGGCTTCTTTCCCACAAACCCATTTTGAAGTATTATAAACGATTTGACCGAAGCTCAACGCTCATCAGCCGCCTTGGCTAAGTGGTATAGCGCCTCACTAGTAAACCTAGGGAGATGAGGAGATCATCAGTTCGATTCTGATAGGTGGCATACAATCCATGTATGTCTTTTTTTTACTTTTCTTTGGTCATTCATTAATATACATCATATATATGATGACCATGCCTCTTCATTCTATCACCGGTTACCATGCATGTCACAAGTGTCGTCTTAAAAGCTCTGTTGCCGCACTTCGTCATTAATTAGAACTCTGGTATGTTCTTCTAAAACATGCTCAATTACTTGAAACTTTCAGCATGTCCCGAAGGGGTAAATGGCATGCAAGCCGGTGCAGGTTCAAGAAAGGACCGACTCCGACAGCACCCAGCCTCGCAAGCCCCGCAATAGAGATTGGGATACCTGAATAGGAGCTCCAAGCGAGCTTCGGATTCGGACGAAGCGCAACTTGTTACCGGTCGAACGTGAACACCAGTAGTCGCATACAAAAGCATAGACATACATATATAATCACAGAGATTCCCATGGACGGATTTCATTTGGTTGATCTTGATTTCTGTTGTTCTCCAAGAACGAAGCGGGTCGGCCGAGCTCTGAGCTAGAAAGGGCGACCATCCATGTGAAGATATATTAAGCAGCAAAATGGATGCTTGACTCAGAAAGGTAGCACGTACATCTTTCTGGTAAAACAGCCCTTGATAGGCCAGGTTTTCGCTGCCTTGTTTGCTTGCAGCGTCGAGTCGTTTAAACTGTCGTGAAGGCGAACGCGAACGTTTCGCTTCCAAATTCAGCCAGACTGGATTGACACTTTAGGAGAGAGTACAGACGCGCTTGACTGAATGACTGGATACTCACAGTACATACTGTTCTGGGAATGAGAGGTCGTATCTGACGAGTTCCGATAGCGATGAGCGAGGTCGAAACACGAGAACTTCCGCGAGCCGGAGAGGAAGATGTAACAACTTCAGAAGATACTGCTGCATCGCCTCCGACTGAGCTGACGGGATGGAGACTTGGACTGGTGATGACCGGGTGAGCAGAAGTCTTGCCTCTGACAACGTCCCTTGATCTTGTACCATGGCTAACGGTCGACCATAACTATAGACTATGGCTAGCTCTATTTCTGTCTGCTCTGGACGGAACCATAGTCTCGACGGCATTGATAGAGATATCCAATGATCTCAAGTCGCTCAGCCAGGCCAACTGGCTTGTCATAGCTTACTTTCTGACATACAACGGTGAGTCCTCAGGTACATCACAGGACGCATATTCTGATATGATATATAGCATTCCTCCTGCTAGTCGCAAAGCTCAGTGACACATTCGGCACGAAAAACCTCCTGATCCTTTCGAACATTATATTTTTCGTCTTCTCCGCTGCGTGCGCCGCGTCCAAGACGATGACCCAGCTGTCCGTACCTCATCTTTGATACCTCTCATCTTCTCCTCCTTCTAACCTCCTCCTCACAGCATAGTCTTCCGCGCGCTTCAGGGCATGGGCGGCTCGGGGCTCTACACGCTCGTCTTCGTCGTCATCCTCAAACTCATCTCCCCGTCCAAAATCGGCTTCTACTCCGGCATCATCAGCTCTGTCTTCGCCATTGCGAACCTCCTCGGACCCATCCTCGGCGGCAGCATCACCTCCCACACCACCTGGCGCTGGATCTTCTGGATCAACCTGCCCATCACCGCAATCTCGACCGTCCTCCTCGCCCTCGCCATGCCCACGATCCCATCCGAAACTCCGACTCTCGCCAAACTCCGCGCCGTCGACTGGCTCGGCGGCCTCCTCTCCATCGCATGGCCTATCCCCGTCCTCTTCGCCCTCCAACAAGCCGAAGTCGCATACCCCTGGTCCTCGCCCGTCATCATCAGCACCCTCACAACCGGCCTCGTCCTCCTCGTCCTCTTCGCCTGCCACGAAACATCCCTCTACCGCCGTACTCGCCACAACATCTCCAACATCTCCAACACCAAAACCCCCATCCTCCCCATCCCCGTCCTAACAACCCTCCTCCCCGCCCTCCTAACCCTCTCAACCTTCCTAACCGGCTCCTCCTTCCTCTCCGCCACAATACTCCTCCCAGCACGCTTCCAAGCCGTAAACGCAGCCAGCCCCGCCCACGCCGGCATCCAGCTCCTCGCCCTCGTCCTCGCAACCCCACCCTTCGCCCTCCTCGCCGGCCTCGCAACACCCCACCCACGCATCACAGCCTGCCTCCTCCTGCTCGCGCCCTGCGCAATCCTGCTCGGCACCGCCCTGCTCAGCACATTACCCGCTAGTACTACCAGCAACCATTCCCCCGACCCGCGGCAATACGTATACATGGCCCTCCTAGGCGCGGGCTTCGGCACGCTTGCGCCGCTCAGCTACGCGCTTATGAAGGCGATGCTGCACGGGGACGCGCATCTGGCCGCTGCGACGGGGCTGATGAATACGGCGCGCACGCTGGGTGGCACGCTTGCGATTGCGGTGTGTTCGGCGCTGCTGCACGGGCGGCTGCGGCGGGACTTGCCTGGGATTCTGCCTGCGGCTGAGCAGGTCGGGTTGGTGGAGGAGAGTTTGGCGAATCTGCGGCTGCTGCCGGATGAGGAGGCGGTGGGAAGGGTGAGGCGGGTGTTTGGGGAGGCGTATAATTTGCAGTTTCGGGTGCTGATTGCGTTTGCGGGGGCGAATGTGGTGCTGAGTTGTGTTTTGGTGGCGGCGATGGAGTGGAAGAAGAGGACTGGTGAGTATGTTGATCTTGGGGAGAGGATGAGGATGGCTGAGAAGGAACGGGTGCGGGCGAGCCAGACTGTGGCTGTAGAGACTGTGAAGCAGGAATCGTGAACTGGATAGCATGTTTTCATGGGTGTAACACGGTTGAACACTGGGAATTCGTGACATGTTCCATCTCCTCTTGTTTGTCTCTTCAATGCCGTATGTTCGTAACTCGCCATTCTTCGGCTTTGTTTGTCACCGCGTGAGAATCTACAGAGTCTAAGTACCTGAAGCCTCTTCTAGGCCGTTCTACCAATTACTCCATACATTGGACCTCCTGCCTACTCATCTGACACGTGTCGCTTCACAGCGCAACTCGTTGAGGCAGTTCGTTCTGTACGCAACATAAGCAAGAAGTGCTTGCATGTCTTGTGGATCACTTCTTTTCATGCTCTTCAGAGATAACCCTTCGATAGATCCTCCGCGTCTTTGAATAAATCCAGCATGAGAGATGCAGACCACGCTTGAGTTGGTGACTGTAGAGATTTGTCAGTACATTGGCCCAAAACAGGTTTGACCACCGTCGAGATAGATTACTAACCGAATCATGACATATCTCGCCATTTTTGTTCGTCAGTTCCGTCAGACCAGCCCATGGAGAATTCTCCAAGTGTTCCATGACACCCTTCAACCTCTTTGTAACCTGCTGGAACACTTCCAAACGTTGTTCATCGGTGGATGACTTCTTATACCAGAAAAACAGGTAGCTGCGCAGAAAATAGCCCAGAGGAAACACCCACTCAGGGCCTTGATGGTAGTTCCTGCCCTTGCTAGTGTGGAAGTCCGTGCTGTCCTCGGCATTATTGTAGTAGGGTCGATAGTTGAGGTCTGACGGGTCAAGCGTGGCCATACCAACTGGACCGCGAAGATATTTGTCACCAGCGTCAAGTGCTGCAAAGGCATGCGTGTGGTCGAAAAGTGATGGGGCGACGGTCATGGCGATGTATTGGTTGGGACGTAATTGGTAGTCCTCGTATTCTTTACCACTCTTGTATAAATCTTTGAAGATACCACGTCGGTTAATGACCTTTGGATTGACGTCGTGCTGTGAATCGTCGGAAGGCTCAGTTGGTACGTAAAAGCATCGGTCGAAGTTTGCTTTGATCTTGTCTGCCCATTCCTTGTAGGAAACTGTTGTACCGTCATCCGTCGTCACAGAGTCGTATTTGAATTTGCCTGAGGAGTGTAATTCGACAAGCCAGATGAGGGTGCTGTACAGTAGACCGTTGAGCTCGATGGCAGAACCGTCTCGCGGAGTACCAGGAACACCTTTACTTCCAGCCTTCTCGCTCTCACCCATCTTGTCCATCCAGGTACCGCAATTCCATTGGTTTCCACCATGAACAAAGCCAGTGGTCCAGTCGATATAAATGTTGTGATTGAATCCCTCATCGCGCATCTGACTGTCAAGATTGGGCCCAGCGTTGTACTCTCTAAACTTCATGCCAGCAGCATGTCGTTGCAGCACTTCTTGAATGATATCCTCAATAGTTGACTCCTTCGAGTAAGCGCGAGGATCATCGGCAGCAAACCAGGTGTCATCATACGGTAGAAATCGCCGTTTGACAGGTTCCTGCAGTAGACTGAGACCATCCTGGATTGTCTTGGTGTAGTCTTGCACTGCTTGGAGGTAGAACCATATAGAATCGCGAGAGTTATATCGAGGCAGGTTTCCGGATCCATGGAGATTTGGGATCATGCCATGCTTGATAACACTGCCAAATGCAAGAATGTGTTCGCGTGCATTTGCTGCTCTCCCAGTGCAAATGTAAAGACCTCGAAGAGCGATGAAAATGTCGCGACCCCAACATCTCGCCCAATCGGATGAGAAATGAGGTAGACCAGCAGAAAGACTCGGGACAAGCTTATCAGGCCACAGTGACGCATTCTTCATGTAACCGGTGAGCTGTGTGCTGACCAACGATAGACTTTTCAAAAAGTCTTGTCCATTCCGAATGTTGTCAGACATGAGCTCGATGTCACGTTCGGTAGCTGCCTTGTATGCCGTCTGGATGACGATAGCAAAGTATCGAGGATAGAGAAACTTCGGTATCGGCTTTATCGCGTCAAATCGTTCCTTGAGCCATTGGGCTGGAGCTTTCAGTCGTGCGTATCTGGGATCAGCCGCGGCACGCTCAAGGCGACCAACACAATAGTCCATTGCCCAAGCACCATCTCGCAGGTGGTTGCACAGAGGATGCCCGAGATTGTTGTCACGCACAATGTACTTCAAGACACTCCACCAGCCTTGTAGTCCGCTATAATTGAGTGCACCATGACCAGGAATATCGTATATCCCATCTTTACCGTCAGTCGAGACGCGCTCTTCGGGGTCACAACGATAGAGTACCATGTTCAGGTCGATGTGGTCTAATTCCTTGAAAGCTTCTCTCGCTCCACTGGTGACAAATTTGTCGAGGCCGTCAGCGTGCTCGGCACTTTCGACCCATGTCTCAAATAATGCGATGCTACCTGGTGGAAAGTCGTCACCAACTGTGAGGACGGTATCGCCGTCTTTTATTGTGGCATCGACACTCTTGAGATTTCTCACTCTACTCGGCAGGCCTCGCAGCTTCTCTTTGTCTGAGGTTATTTCAGAGACTGTTGAAGGATCGCTGTCCACCTCGAGCTTCCATGCACCTAGAAGCTTGGCTTTGGTGGCAGGAAGGGTTTGAGCAGGAAAGCCTCCGTTCCCGTTCCCATAACCCGGATAGGCAGTGTGAGCAATCAAGAAATACCCTTTTCGAGAATGTGGATGGGCTCGGTGAACCGTGATATACTCATTATCATGATGGATATATGTTTCGTCATACTCATCTTTACCCATTAGAACATGAATTTGGTTCAGAAGCTTCTTAATGGGACCAATCCCCCCCTCACCAGCTTGCACTTTGATAGGTGCTCCGTTGGAGTAAGGTGAGGAGTAGAGACGCGTCTCGTGTACAAGCTCGATGAGCCTTGGATACACTTCATCGTAGCCCATCACGCTGCCAGTTGAACAGGCGCACATCGCCACTAGTGCGGCATTGGGCAGAGTGTCTCGTGCATCGCGCTTTTGAGCAGGTACCTCGTTATCGTGGGAGCAGTCCATGAACATGGCGTGGATGGGGCTTGGGCGGATTCGTCTTATCAACTCTTTACTTATAGGGGCTGATGATCCATTGGTTTGGTCCGTAGAAACGTTGGTGGTGGAGATATCGTCCAGTTCGAAGCTACCGATTGGACGTCCTGCATGTCTGTGTACAAGGCGGCTCATCTCCTGGGTGCTCCAGGCCTGCATAGCTTCTCTTATCAGTGAACTGATACCGAGTCGCTTGCAGAAGACATAGTCCATCTCTTCGCTTCCAGTGAACAGCTCAGCAAAGACGGCCAGGTTTGGTTGCACTTGACGTGCTTGGTCCAAGATATATTCGGCAACATGAATTGGCGTGGAGTGGCAATTGTCAATTCTAAACGCGGTGAAATACTTGGCCAGGAGTCGCGCATATTTCGCCATGAAGTCCCATAGAAATGGATTATCTTTGGGTGATGCTCCGTATCTCAACTTGACACAGTCTCCCCACACGATGACCTCTCGGCGCAGGTACGCGCGAGAGGACGGTCCAGCATTGTCCTTCATTGCATCCGCAGCCCAGATCCAGCCATTATTGGCCAATGCCAACGCGGACTTGTTATGTTGCTTCGTTGTCTCATTAAGCGGTAGCCGGGTGAAATACGGCTCGATAAGAGGATTCTCCTTGGTGATCTGCCCAACTTTTGGGCCATGGTCATCCAAACGCATGTATTTTGTCCGATTAAAGAGCTGCTCCATCATTTCCGAGCAGTCGGCATCGCACTCTCGGTAGAAGTGGAGGTTGCATTCGTCGAGGCACCGAGTGATCTCTGATAATGCAGCTCCCTCATCGGTCCCATTGTGTAGATCATACCGCCCGAACATAGCACTCAGAAGAGCAGCTCCCGTGGTTGCTTCGACATAGCGACGGTATCTCTCACCAAGCCGATCACCCCCGACAAGGGCGTTATCGGTAAGCCAGTCAGCTTTTTTCTTCAACGACCACTCTCTGGCTTTGCCAATGCTTTGTACGCCGTCAGGGCCAAATGAAGTATCGGGGAAAACAGCCTGTCCTTCTTTCCAGGCAGCGACGATAGACTTTGCGTCTCTTTCAACGTTCATCGTATAATATTCCCAAAGACGGAGATCATTCAGTACGGTCTTCTTGAATGTTTCCATGATCTTGACCAGATCATCGACTGAATTCAAGGTCGTAGGAAGACCTAATGATGCGAGATCACTGCTGAATTCGAGCAGTTTTCTGTCAAGAAGTTCTGCTGATTCGAGCCAAGGAGCAGTCTCCACACTGTAGCCAGCTTCTGGGTGTGCTTCAAGCCACTTGCTATTGTTTGCTGTGTGGTTCAGGACAAGGTCACTCATGGCTAAGAGGCCATATTCACTCTCCATCTTCTTTACCATGGTTGCAACATCAGACTCTCCATTCGGGAAGTATTTCTTGTCAAACGTATGCTGATCAAAAATGCTGTATGGCGAATTCGACACACCGCGTTCCATCAGTGGGGTGAAATGGACCATATTGTATCCCCTCTCACTGAGACCTAGAAAGTGCTTATCCCAGTCGTCCGGGTACGCGCCCATGAACTTTGAGAGGATTGAGACGCAGGAAAGCGCGTCGAGTGGGACGGCACCACCTTGCAGTGTAAGTTTTGGACAAACATCGATATAGTATATAGGTGTTTTGGAGGGTTGACTCGCTTTCGATGACCCTAATATGGACTCTGAAGCTGGCGAGAATGTGGCGTAATAGCCGAAGGCCCCAGCCTGGGTGATTGGAATGTCGATCTGTGTGTTCCCGTTAAAGTCTGGAGAAAGCCTATTCATCGTTAGCTACCTGATTTCCAAATACTCATCAGGTTATACTGACTTGTATTCCTTGTAATTGTCCCGCTTGAATTCCTCTCCCTTTGCAGGCATGTTTGCCCATAGACTGCCATTTTGACATATTGACGACGTGCCCTGGACAACGAGACGAAGCTTATAGGGAGGGTTGGTGGGTGGAGGGAGGTAAATGTAAGAGCCCTGTACGTCCGGTGCTCCGCCGTCTGTCAACGGTAGCAGGTATACTGCCTGGGATTGCTGCGGTTTGGAAGCCATTGGAACTGCAGGCGATCTCGAACGCAAGATAGACCGTTGGCTCTGTGCAGCAGAGTGACGAACACTGGGACGCATTGAGTAAGTAGGAGCTATAGGACGATTGAATGCAGTGTATAGAGATATGCTAGGAGCTAGTTTGTAGGGGCAACCGAGTACAGGATATGCTGGGGTCAGAATGATGAGAGGAGGAGAAGACTCACAGCACCTGGCAGAGGACTATACTTGGACAGGCAAGCAAACTTGTTGAGGTTGAGGCTGAACAGTCTCTACTTCCTCATATATACACCTGCGAGCACCGGTAGATTGTTCCAAGTAGGCGGAGGTTGAGCTTAGGCGGAAGCAGCAGCCATGGTGAGAGAGAGGTACCTGAGCTATGGAGGAGGGGGAGAGAAGATCAGCAAGCGGGCGACGGCGAGGGAAAAGCAAGAGGCACGACTCTCTGGGGTATCCAACAAGTGTAATGCACCGAAGGTACCATTCATCCATCAGCATAGAAATGATTCAATTGGTGGCAGAGACAAAAGTGGGTGAATGCACTACGCCCAAAGCTTGGAAAGCTCGCGGGTAGAGCCGCTGCTGAGCATTCATTCATGCGAGATGGTGTACTGGCCGGGGCGCGTCTGCTCACCGCTCCAGCACTACTACGTCATCAGGAGCAGTCATCTCGCGAATTGCCATATGCACGAAATATGGCATTTTCTTTTCTTCATTCTTTAAATCACTCCAGACCTGCTTTCACACTCATCACGCCAGCCCTCCAGCCTCGGCACTAAATTCTGTAATTCGACAAAAAAACATACTCAAGACGCAACGTAAACACTACGACTAAGCAATCCAATGGAATAGTCATAATACTCGTACAATAAGGACAGTCATTCATGCAGTCGCTCTGATCAAAGATGCGAAATCCAGGCTCGCTTGCTTAAAAATACACCACACCCACCAAACTAAGAAAGCAGAGACGCGAACCAACATTTTTTCGTTGCAGGTAAACCTCCGAGCAAACAAAGGGTATCCGCTCCTCATGTAACTTTTGCTTTCTTTTGAAAATTAAACTCCACTTCTCGAGATGTCACCTAAATGAAGAACATCCTCCGACGCGAGCACAGTTTGCCTCTCACGCTTGCTAGCGTCTACGTCGAGAGTCTCGTGCGTTGTGGCATACCTTATGCCTCACTGTGGCGCGCGCCCGGAGTTTTGCCATGGTGGCGAGAGGGGTTTGACGGGCGAAAGGGCTGGTAGTGTAGAGTTGATGCGAAGGTGGTGCCCAGGTTGAGTCGGTGTAGCGTCTTCGCCTTCGTACGGATCAGGCTGAGATGTCTCGACTGTATAAGGGCGACGCCGTTCTGGAGTTGCACTTTCAGCCAACGAAGGCATGCTACTGTTGCCAGCCGATGAATTGGCACGCTCGCTATTCATGATGCTGGTCGCAGAGAGCTTACTGCTTCCAACATTCGAGTATGACGAATTAGCAGTTTGTCGACCATTATTAGATAGCGATGACAAGGATGCCGACTTGGGCATCTTCAAGTCTTCAAGTCTGCTCTGCTTGGCTGCCAACACCTTTTCTTCCCCTTGCTCGTCCATTTCCTTCTCTATCGTTTTGTGCTCGTCTTCTGTCCAACACCCTTGCCAGCAGTTTCTCCAGTCGAGAACGAGGAATTGAAAGCAAAAGGCTTCAATGTTCATGCATGGCTGAAAGCAGATGCAAAGATTCCTATAGTCCATCTTGTTCTTCTCTGCACACGAGTGAAGAAGGCTGATGTGGCATGTGATGGCAAACAGGAGATAGTAGTTATACGGCGGCAGCATCGAGAGCTCGTCCTTCAGCATCTGCGGTGTTGTCTTGGCCCCCACACACGCAGCGGCAATCTTGGCTTGAGTCGATTTTGGAAATATTTCATCCTTCAAATCTCGTAACCATGCCTTGAACATGGAGCTGATGATGTTGATGTCGTAAAGCTCGGTTTCGTTGAAGAGGTCAAGGTCACCTTCGGTGTCGAAGCGCCGCTGCCAGTATCGGATGTCCTTTTCGCTTCCGGGCACGCGATAAATACCTTCCACTTCACAGCCGTTGGCGTTCAAGTAGCTAAGGGAGTTGGTCAGCAACATGTAACTAGTAATAGACCAGCAAGCAGCTTACTCTATACATCGCCAAGGAAGAGCGGGCATCCAGAATTCAGTCTTGTCCCGGGAGTCCTCTAGTCGCTTCGATATTCGAGTTCTTCGGGTTTGCTGCACCAAGGGAAGTTTGAGAATTTTAGGTTCCCATTTGCCATTGATGGGAATGTCCTTCTCGGTACTACTGCCACTCCGGGTCAATTTGCCGAAGAACCCTTTTCTTGCTTTTCCCAAACCATCCGCTGCCTTCGTTCCCTGGTTTTTGATGTTATGCAACAATGACGCTCCCGCGCCACCATCCTTGAATGAAGTTGCGAGCGAGAAGGATTCTTTCTCTTTTCTCTCTTTTGATGGTACAAATGACTCATCCTCGGATTCAACTGCCACATGACGATCGGCAGAGCGATTGCGGATGGAAGAGTTCACCGAGCTCATCATTTCCCGAAATCCCCTGTCCTTTTCCAACGGCGCGCTTCGAGCACTGTGATCAGCGAGATGTCTCCCGAGGTGTTTAGACAGGTCAGTATCTGGCGGGAAACGATTGATGGGTGTGGGCGGTTTCGGCTTTTGTTTGATAGACTCTTCGAAACCCTTCGTGGATGTTGACCGTGTGCGGGACAATATGTTTGGGAATCGTCCTTTTGCGTTGCCTCGTTTACTGGAAGAAGGTAACTCAGTATCGATATGCGGTAGACTGTGGGATTTGACGGTTGTAGCCGGTGGCAGCCGAGAGAGAGTATTGTCTAGGACCGAAGAATTGACTAGAATTGCGACTTATGTTAGCTCACTGGTCCATTTAATGATACTGAAGTCCTACCACTAGCAATACTAGCACTTTCCATAGACTTCCCAAGTTCTGGGCTTGATCCTGGGCTATGCCTGTATGGATATACCTGGGACTTTGTTGACTCTGACCTTGAATCAGATACTTGACGGATGGAAGATTCGGAGGGGTTGATCCGGCTTGATGATTTAGACGCTTTGCTATTTGAAAATATTGATCGCGACGCCTCTTTTTTGTGGCGTGGACTTGCAGGAGAACTTGATGTCGAGAAGAACTCAGTAGCGGTCGGGGTAGGATCTACATAGAACGAGCGATGTTGCTCCTCGCTCTCACCTGATCCCCCGGAAGCCGGCGGAGACCGAGGAGAAGTTGATTGTGGACTGGTGGGCAGTCTACTGTCGCTCTCTTTTTGTTTGGACTGCTGCGACAGTTTGAGAGAGAGAGGGGAGGTTTTTGGCATCTTTTGTGATTTATGAGTTGTGTATCAAGTGTAATATGAAGATTCGTTCAGGGCGATCTGGGAGAGATTGTCTGCAAACAACATGCTCATTAGTCACGTTCAATATCATGACCCTGCGTGTGATCATCAATCATACCTTCATTAAGCTTGAGTCTAGATTCGCGCCTTGTCTATATTAGGAGCAGTGTGCATGAACGGCTCTCGTTGTGTGTTGTGGCTGTTGTCAGGAAGGTTGAAGGAGATGTACCTAGTGGGCACTGAAACATAGTCAGTACGATCGAGATCCACAGTAGGTGTATAGCAGGGCTGATCGTTCAGGGCATCTGAACTTACACACGCCAGTCCGTAAGGAGTGTGAATATTTGGGAGGGGATGTGACAGGCCAGCGTGCCACGGCGATATTACTGTATAGTTTTGGGATGACTTATTATCGAAAGGTACGTCGGACTGAGTAAATGAATGTGTGGCTCAAAGACTTGGACGCTGTAGAAAGACGGACGCTTGGAGTTTGTGGCAGGACGGACCACAAGGGGTTCAAGGTGCTGCGAAGGACTGATGCAGTTTAGAGGCGTATCTGGAGCAGAGCCATAGTCCCAATAGCCCAGACGAGTCCAAAGGAATGCCGTACAATGTCGATAACGCGAGACCTAGTCTGGTGTTGGTTGAGGGCTACGGACAAAGTGAAGTGAACGTAAGCGCGGGTTGAAGCCACGAGGGGCAGGACTAATTAGGAGTAAGCCGCGAGTCTTCTCGGTGATGCGCAGACACAACCAAGAGGAAGGTCGTGTCGGTCTGTCGACAGTGAAGTTCGGGATAGGTGTAGAGAGGTAACTGATCCACGACCTGTCTTTACCGGGTTCGCAAAGAAGTGAGATACGTTTGATGTTGGCGGTGAAAGAGGTGTGTCGTCCGAGCGGCTACGGTGCGGGTCACCTGGTCAGGCCTATTTTTGCCTGGTGCGCTGGGCGGCAATTTCTCAGACGACTCTTAAAGCTGAAACACGAGTCGCATGTTCCTGCGCGTCAACTTCCGACATCGTCAAAAGGTGTGTTGCCAGCCTCCTTATGCCTGCATTTGCAACGCCCTCGATCACCTTACAGACTCATGTCTCTAGCGTCTGGTCCTGGACGTGGCGGGAGCTTTATTGAGCACTTACCACCGGAATTGCGATTGGTCATCGACAAACATGTTACATATGTTCAAAGCCTAGATACCGTCCGTTCCAGCGGCTCTTATACCTGGTCTGCCCTATAAACTAACCTGATGTTCAGCGCAAAGACGAACTCGAATACTGGTTAACGGAACACCTACGCCTTAGTGGACTTTACTGGGGCTTGACCGCTCTGCATCTCCTGAGACGCCCGGACGCCCTCCCAAGAGATGGCATCCTGGAATACGTCATCTCATGCCTGAGCGATAGTGGAGGATTTGGTGCTGCTCCGAACCATGATCCCCATATTCTTTATACTGTTAGTGGTGTGCAAATTCTAGCCATGATCGATGGCTTTGAAGAGCTGGACCGCCGCGTCCAAGGTGGACGAGAGAAGGTTGCAAGATGTGAGCAGCGACAGGCATATCTTAGCATCGGCGACGTACTCACGTCGTAGTAGACATTGCAAATCTCCAAACGGACTCTGGCACCTTCACAGGCGATGAATGGGGTGAGACAGACACTAGGTTCCTGTATGGAGCGCTCAATGCCCTTTCTCTCCTTGGTCGCATGGACCTCGTGGACGTAGACAAAGCTGTGAAACACATCCAGCTCTGTGCTAACTTCGATGGTGGCTATGGTACTAGTCCTGGGGCCGAGTCTCATGCTGGTCAGATCTTCACCTGCGTATCTGCACTGGCTATCGCCGGTCGATTGGACTTGGTAGACCGTGACAAGCTTGGAGAGTGGTTATCAGAGCGTCAGCTCCCGAACGGTGGGCTCAATGGGAGACCTGAAAAACAAGAAGACGTATGCTATAGCTGGTGGGTCCTGAGTAGTCTTGCTACCATAGGCAGATTACACTGGATAGACCGCGACAAGCTTCGTGACTTCATCTTGCAATGTCAAGTGAGTTGGAAAAATGAGCCCATAAATGCAGGCTAATGTGATCAGGACTTTGAACTAGGCGGTATAGCTGATAGGCCTGGAGATATGGTAGACGTCTTTCACACCGTGTTCGGTATCGCTGGACTAAGCTTGCTCGCCTACTCGAGAAGCCATGAGTCCAATGCACTGACACATGATATGCCGACTTTGGCAGAGGTAGACCCTCAATAGTGAGTCTGAACATCTGTCCATATACTCTCTGTGAGTATTACTAATCAATGTTACAAGTTGTATGCCTAAACAAGTGACTGATAGATTTCTCAATCGAGGACGATCATAGTAGACACAGGACTTGAAGGGCAACAGGTTGCTTGAAGCGTCGAGCACGTTTCTGCACTCCGAGCGTTCTTCTGCACCTTGTTCTGTGCTATTGGCATGCTCGTACCTGCATTGCAAGTACTATTGTAATCTAATAATCTATGGCACTAGCAATGTGGACTATGGGCTACAAGTCAAGAGGAGAGTGAACAATGAATGATAAACGTAAGGTGAAGTGCGTAGACACATTTGCTCTATCTTTGCGGGGTCGTTCACCTTTCCACGTCCGAGCTGCTCGCGGTCTTCATCCACACAAAGTTGTCCCTTGCGCGTTCTGTTCACTGACTACACCTCGTAAGACGGAACACTTCTTCGCATGTCCTCATCTTAATTTCCTACCTCCATTCAAAGTCATTTAGCTCTTGCTCTTTCTGGAGGTCATTCTTGCCCATCCACACCTATCAGCTCGCCGAACTACAGTTCACCGATCCGCGGTGGAAGTTACTTAGACCTCCCTCTGCAAGGCAGTAGCTTCACTCAACGATTCTGCAGTCATCAACACCACTGCGAGCTCTCTTCTTCCTTCTTCACGCTCCTCACCCTCCCTTTCTCAATCTTGGAAGACTGTTCTCTCCTTTCGTATATCGAACGCCCGTTCATTGCATTGCAGCACGCAGTTACTTCACCACTCGCTGATCACGATGGCCTCGTCGGCCAGCATTCCTTTGCATTGCAACATCTGTCCTAAAAAGCCCAACTTCAGCGATGTTTCGCATCTTCTCACCCATATAGCTAGCAAAGGACATCTTTCTCACTATTACAAAGTCAAAGTCCGGTCCACTCATGAAGAGCCATCACGACGCCTTATCGAGTCCTACGATAGATGGTACATTGACTGGCGAGTGGAGGATCTCATGTCTGAGCGCATGAACATGAAGGATAAGAAGAAGTCTCGCCCTCGATCAGGTCAGTCTCCGCCCATGCTGTGAATCCCCAGAGAACAGACCTTCGCTACCAACATATCCACAGGGTTCTAACGCGCATCTAGGAGCGAGAAATTCTCACATACAGAACTCAAACTCGGCACCAGATCCCCGCGGCAGACGTACCGGTATCACGGCCTTGGATCCTCGCCTCATCAACCAACGGGTGAAAGAGGAGCCCCGACCTACCCCTCCTCCCTTCTTCGACGGGTTGTCATATGCTAGGCAGTATGACCCAAGAATGGCAAGGTTCTGGGCTGGAATGCCTGACAATCTCTCGACTTCATCCTACGGAACTACAAGCACGGAGTTCGATTATCCAGTACAAGGGCAGGACACCCATAGACGTGTATATCATGCTCCAGATTCGTCAGCCATCCTTGAAGACAATGATAACGATATCGAAGAGCCCGTATCTACAGTGGGTGGTAGCGAGTGTACCAAATTGAAGGGTGTGTACTGGCCTGGTATGAACATTTTTGACTCCGCCACGCCTGAGATGCGGCGAAAGCGGAATCAAAAGAAAGACATATCCGTTTTGGAACAACTAGAATTGAACTCTCACGAAGTCGAACCAACAGAGCTGATCTTCACACCAAACGGTTCTTTCAAGAGGCAGAGGCGCATATCTGGTTCCAGCGAGGAAAGTAGCCCCCTGAAATCGGAGCTATCTCCACGCGAATCTCGATCCAAGCGTCCTGCCCTCACAGAGGTCGACTCGAACATTCCTCGCCGTGCACGACAGGCACCACGAAATGCTCGTCCGAATACAGCTATTGCCAAGCATGACGTCTTTGCAGATGATAGGCTCGACTTTGGCTTAAACTACAATTCTGCGCAGCCTAGAAGGCGAGGTTTCCAAGTTTTCAACGACCAGAATATACATACGGCACAGCCAGCAGATCTCCATTACCTTACCTCCGAGTTTCACTATGGTGGACCGAATGGTACGATCGATGGCAGAAGTCGTGGAAAGGCACACTCCAGGGCGACGTCTTTGTATCATCAGCAAGAAGAAAAAGAGAATTACGATCACCAGCCGTACCATTATACGGCGTTCTACGCACCCCTTCCTGCAGCTACCACTCATCAGTATAACCAATACCCAAGCGCAGGAGCTCATGATCTACCACCAACCAGCTTCTACAGCAACTCAGTCTTTTATCAGGCATATCAAACGACGACTGAAACGCAGGGAGAGCCCCAACAGGATGACCAGCGGACCATCACAGCTCCACCATCACCAGAAATGTAGCCGATTAGTTCTACTCGCTTTGATACGAACACCGCTTTTCACTCAACATCAGTCCCTTTTACAGCACTATATTTTCTTTCTGTATCTCCTTGTTACTACATTTTACAGGCGCAACTGCGAGGCATACTGTTACGACGATTCAAGATAACTCGGTATAATTTCATGGACCCAAGACGAGGTGGCATACTTCTCGTAGCATGTTATGGGGATTATTATAATAGGGTCTAGACTTGAGATTGGCGCATGAAGGGGAGGAGGACCTGGCGAGATACCCGAAAAGGAATGACAATTTTCAGAAAAAGAAAGGGGAAAACCATCACTTGGACGTTTCTTTTGTAAAATTCGCGAGTGTGGACGCATCTCCCATACGGAGACCTCAAGGGTGTCCAGAGATGGAAGGTTGGAAGGCGGCACGGCGTGGTGTATAGCACGTGCTGTAATTAATGTGTGCGAATAGACATGTGTGTGTGTGTGTGTGTCTGCGGGAAGCGTCTCTGAACGTCTCCCATGTCAGATTAGTCCGATGGCTCATCATTTCCAGTGTCATGGCCTATGTATTGCCCGTCACCACGTACGTGTGAAGTAGAATTCATATGGCAAACCGTTGCATTATTAAATGCTTAATGAGGATATAATAGAGGGGAGTGATCGTCCCGCGCGCACATGGGCAACAGAATGGATTCAGGGTGGTGATACATAAGATTGACTACAAGACCTTGTCTGCGTGTCTGCACTTTCGAGCCGCGAAAACAAACAACAAAATACTGCTTCGGGACCATGATGCTGGTTGATTGGAGAGAGTAGTGTAGTGTAGTGTAGTTTAGTGTGTAGAGAGTAGAGTGTAGTAAGTCCGATGCACTCCTTTCGTACGGATGAGCAGAGAGGTATTTGGAAACAGAGATAGAAGAGAGAGAGAGAGAGAGAGAGAGAGAGAGAGAGAGAGAGAGAGAGAGAGAGAGAGAGAGGGAGGGAGAACCATTGTGCGCGTGTGCGGACCTTGTATATACAGAGAAAACGTGACCATCAGAAGAAAAACACACACATGAGTACACTTTGCGCGTTTCCCCCGTTTTGCTTGTCCTCTCCTTCCTCCTTCGTTCTACCGAGACACCGAGACTCGTTATGACTACTCTGCCCCTGTGACCCCCTCCTCTCTCGCGTCGGTTCCGCCATGATGGTTCCAGGTCGTGTTTGTTTTTGATTACTGCTCGTATCCTGCTGCTGCTGCCTTCTGTTGTCGTTTATTGTGGTCCTGTACATTATGACAACGTTCACGGTGAAAACCCTTGTTCTTTTCCACTCACTGTTTCTTTTTTTCTTCTTTTCATATTCTGCTTATGCTGGACTTGACTACCTCCTTCTTCTGACCATCTTGAATCGAATCCCATCCTGAACAGGTTCGTAGCGGAGTCCTGAGTGGAGGTGGTGGGATATGGAGAGAAGGGCCCGACTACGAGGGGACCTCGCCGCGCTTCAGGTTAAAGGCTCGCTGGTCCTTCAGCCATCTGCGGTAGTCTGCCACGCTGCCGATTTTCTCGCCGTAGTAGTCTGGGATCGGGTTCGAGAGAGACGAGTTTGCGGGGTTGGAGCGGTGCTTCTTGATGCGGAGGAAGAATTCGCGTTCTTTCTGTTTGAAGTGTCAACATATGTTAGAAGATAGACTTGTTTTTCTCTGCTAAAGCATTCTTGGGTTGCTCATTGATCGTGAGCATGGTGGTATTATTGGAAGAGGGGTGTATTCTTGGGTGTGCATGAAACTTACAGCATCCATCGCGCTCCGATGCTTGCTATACCGCATCTTGAAGATCCCATTGCCAAACGCTGGGCCCAGCAGCCAGCCCACGGCCACCAGCACCACGCTGCTCAGACCCCACACCAGCATAGGCTCAGTGCCCAGCGCAGCCGCGATCGCGTTGTCGGCGTCCGTGTTGAGCAGCTGCGAGCCGCCAATGCCGAGGGTGAGGACGGCACAGATGATGCTGCTGCCGAGCGAGAAGCGGCGGCGTGTCTTGCGCAGGGCGAGGAAGCGGTTCCATGTCAGGGGTTCGGAGGCGGGCGAAGAGGACGAAGATGCCGACAACGGGGTTTTGGGTTTGGTTTTGGTGGCATATGTGCGCGTCGTCGACGAGGATGTAAATAATTGACGAAGGAGGGTGGCTTGTGTGCTACGGCGGAAGGGGAGGGTGGGTTTCGTCATGGTCTGGATGGCAGTGGTGGTGTTGTTGCTCTTCATGCAGAGGAATCGCGCTGTCCAGGGCTGCTTTGTGGCTGGCATGATTGCGCTCGTTGATGCGACGGTGGAGCTTGCGGCTCGTGTGAGGCGGAGAGGGAAGGTGGAGATGGAATGCATGGTGATGGTGTGTGTATTGGGGGATGTGCACACGCGGATTGTGCCTGGGATGGAGATGTGTTTTTCGTAGAGTGTGTAGCTTTCGTATGAGGTTCAGAGAAGCTTCGATGCTTGGCAAGTTGTTGGTGCCTGGTGCTGCTTTCTGTGGGACCGCGATTTTCCCGGGACGGGACAGCGGGACCGGCGGGTGCGTCATTGGCACTGGGAGTCTGGGGACGACGTACAAAAGAGGCATCGATAATCAACACGCTGCAATTGATTCCTCGATTTTACGATGGCAAGTACTGTGAGTGGGTACTGTGCCTGATGCTGGCATTATGCTCTAGATGCGATGTTGTGTAGAACGTTGCTAGACGAGTTGATACTCGCAATCCTTGCTCGGATTCGTGATGCAAGGTGCATCACGGTGCGACGGCAGTTGTTCTTGCATGGAGCTTATGATTAGTACATACACGGTAGATCTATTCTATGGTTACACCCGACCCACATATCTAATCTCTAGTTTCCCCAAAGTCTTGAAATGTTGTATGCGTTCTAAGGCTTCAGCTATGCGTCCTAAGTCCTGAAGCCTTAATATGTTTACTATAAACAAGGAAGAGTTTCCAGCTGGATCTGTGCTAAGTGGAGTCGGGTTGTCTATCTGATGCCTACTGGCTCTTCTTACTATTATCGAGGTGGCCATTCATCACGCCATACAGCTGACCAAGGAAAGTCCCAGAAAGGGTCATAAGAACGGCGCTGAAGGTGAACAGCCCAATGCGTTGCGAAGTGTCGAGTAGGGCGAAGATGGGATATGGATAAAATCCATTAAACTGGTAGCAGCGCTCGATCCAGAACCAGTAAGTGAAGGCGATTACGAGAGAGAGCAGCAATGAAGGTGCAAGGCGGATTGTGCGTGGGGGAGATAGCAACCAGGTGTCGATAAGGAGGTAGAGTGTGGGGAAGAGATGGAAGCCGAAATCTAGCGCCAGACGATCAGCAACAGCAACGAGGGCATTGGCATACATAAACCGCAAAACGAAAAATTCGATGATGGTGAGAATAAGCATTAGAATGCCGAAGGGGCTGAGACGTATCATGCCGGTAATGTAGAGGCTCAAAACTCAAACATGCTGATGGCGTCACGTGTGGATTAAAAACAAGGACATGGTTGGGCATACCTGCAGAAAGAGCAAGCCGAGGCGCCCAGTCGGGGAGCACCAGACTTGTATCGTAAGCACGAAGGCCCCAGTAGAGAGCGGAGATGAGAACTTCCATTGGGGCGGAGGTGAGAGCGAAAGCGTTCTTGACGGCAAAGATACGTGGAGATAGCGTGATATCGGCAAGTAAAGCAAGAGTCATTGTGATGGTCGCCAGGGATAGACCTGCAAGGTCAAAGGATAGACAATAATCAGCAGGGGTCCCAGTATAGCAGCAAAGGCTACACATGGCCAGATGGTAATGTGGATGTTTGACGTACCCAAGATGGTGAGATACTGCATGTGCCAGCCATAGCTATCATTTCTGGTGGGGATCAGTAAAAAGAATCGAGGTCGAGGTCAAGCGCCAGAGCCGAGAGGCTGGTCGGAAGGATTTGCGTACATGGGGTTTGGATTGACGACGAGGCTGACATGGCGATAGTGTGTGAGCGGGCATACTGACAGCGGGCGGGTCGAGAGCTCTGAATGGGGGACTTACTATCTGAAGGAATAGGCAAAGCTACACAGAGCTACGACCTAGTGTGGGGCCAAGTGTGAATTCGAGGTCTGGACAAGGCGTAGAGGCCGTAATGACTTGACTCTTGGGTAGTACGTACATGAAGCGCGGCAGACCAACCCCTGGAGGGAGACTGGGCTCGCTGCAGAGGATGGCGGTGCAAAATGTCTTTGGCTTTTGCTTTGACGTTGCTCATGATGGTAATTATCCGATGGTAGGACAGTCAAAACGGCGGGCGGAGCAATAACTATACAGGGGAAAGATGTGCAAAGAAAGGCAGAAGAGGCCGATATAAGGACGAGGAAGAAGTGGAAAAGGAGGTCGAGACAGGGGAAAAGAGGATGATGGTGGATGGAAGGATTGATCGATCTGGCGATGATGTGAAGGGCAGGGCGAAGAAAAGACGGAGGTGGGTCGTTGATGATTAATTATTGATGATGATGATGGATATGCAGCGTTGGATTGGCTGGGGTTGAGCAGAAGGTCGAGGAGACGGCTAGTTCGCGTTGGCGCGTGTGGACGAGCCAGGATACTCAGTCACGTTGCGGGGGCGTGCATTGCATGATTGCTTGGGTCATGGCAACAACAATGATATACTAATTACTGTGTGTGTTGGAGAGCAAGATGAGGTGTGGAGATGGATGTGATGGCTGAATGAATGGGATGTTTGGGGGTGTTGTTGGTACGATGGCGTAAGGGGCGATGTTGGAACGGCACGTGGGAGTGGCATGCCGCGTACTACTGAGAGCCGTACCACACAACAAGCAGTACTATGTATAGCGCTTGAGTGTACGTAGTATGTAAAATAGTGATGATAGGGCAATAACACACATCACGAGGCACGATCGTGGATTTTTGGAGGGAGTGGAGTGGAAGTGGAGCTGGTGGGCAGCAGAAGAAGCAAAAGAAGGACGAGAGAGCTGCAGCGAAGACGCGAAGAACGAGCCGCGCCCAGGGTTGGCGGGCGGGTCGGGGGGAACAGGCCACCTAAATTAGCTGGGGTCCCGCCTAAAATTAGCTGGGGTCTAGCCTGAGATTAGCTGGGTTGCTGCCTGTTGTGCGCCAGTGTTTGGCAGCTAATTTAGCTGGGGGTTGGTAGCGGCCCCTTGAGAGAGAGAGAGGGGAGGGGGGGGGTCAGGAGGGGGGGGGATCGTGGTCATGATAATAATGCTGATATATACTACAATAACTGCACGTCCACCACTCACTCGCCTCGCTTCTTCGCATGATATATGTTTAGAATTTCATGCTGATGCCACTAATGCTGATATTGTTTGTCCTCGCAGTTGTCTGTGCTGGACGACTACGACATGCAACTTGTAAACCTTCCCCAGGCCCATCCCAGCAGCCAAGGCCTTGTCGTATTCACTGCCCCCCCCTCCTCGCATTCTTTTGCGACCATACACACTCACTCTGCTCTCAATCATTACATACTGGCACCACCACTACTACCACCACCTCCACCACTATCACTCGTCAACTCTGCCATCCTGGACTTCTGACACTTGCGCATTTTCCGTCTTCTCCCTTTCCCTCTCCATCTCCGCGTCTTCCTTTTGATTTATGCCGAGAGTCTCCTCCTCCGCACTGCACCCCATCATGCGCCACGTCAACTGGCCATCTAGTACTGCCTTGCTCTTCTATCCTCGTCGTCTAGACGTGGCAAGGAACTGTGCCCGCCTGTCTCTCTCCCCCAGTCCGTACTTGAATCCACTATATACTTCCTGATCCTGACCGTCAGCGAGCGTGAGCTTCTCTTCTCTTTATCCTGGCTCAAATCCCGCTTCCGCCCGCGCGCCAGGACCACCGTTTTTCCCTCCTCCAGTTTCTCTGCCATGCCGCGCCCAAAGAAAGACGGCGCTCCGGAACCAAAGAAGAGGAGTCGCAATGGCTGTTGGTATGTCACTCTCTGTATAGTCTTGTCCTGTTTTACTGACTTTGTTATCAAAAAGGCCATGCAAGGCACGAAAAGTGAAATGGTACGTCTGCCTGCTTACCCCTCTGTGGTCCACTAAGCCCTTTGAGTAACATGTTTACAGCGGCGAAGAGAAGCCTATGTGTCTCAACTGCAAACGTCAGGGCGAGACCTGCGACTACAGCATTCGTCTCAATTGGAGCGGTCGTGCAAAGAAGATGTCTCTCGATGCAGATACGTCTGATTTTGGTAGTAGTCATGCGCAAAGTCCACACACCTCGACTTTCTCCGTCTCAACCATGTCTCCGACTGGTCCCACGTTGCAGTTTGCTCAAAGCCAGTACTCTTTTCCCCAGCATCATCAGCAATCTTCGTCTCGCCCAAAGTCCTCGTCTATCGCGCCTCTGGACACGTCTGTTAATCAGTCCTTTTCTTCTCACGCCTCTCCGACATTGGCAAACTCGGCAGTCAGTCCACGCAGCGCTCAGAATGGCAAATTCCAATTCTCTCCAGTGCTGTCTCCTGCTCAGGATTCCCTACAAACCCAGATGAACAAGGCTCTCAAGGCCGTCACTTCGGCTCCCGTCGACTCTCGCCTGAATGCCCACCATCGGAACTCCTCCTTGGATTTCATCTCTCCCACTGACATCAAGGTCGAATCTGACGGGCAGAGCAATGGTACAAACGGGTCACGTAGCAATAGCTCTGGCTCTCCACCCTCCAATATGCCACCTCCAAGTCGAAATGTGCCGATCCCGCAGGATTCTTCAGTCTCTTTCCAGGACCCATTTGAGCCTCCTGATCACCGGACGAAAAGACTGCGACTCAGTCCGACTCAGGACACGCCGTCTCCTTCTATCAGCAGCATGAGGTCTGAGATGCTCAACGACAGACTAGGCCCAAACATGTATGATCATTCTTGCTCGCCACGACCTGGCTCTGTGACCCCATATGGCTTCAGCACGCCCATCACCCCTGGGTCATCTGGAAATTCTGATGAGGGAATCCGGCCGTCGAGAAGAGAGTCTCAGCACCTTACGTCAGATTCAGAAGCACGGCTCTCCGTTCATGCTCTGCTAGCAGGTTCAAACGGCGTCGAAGGACGATTTGACTCGATCCATGGCAAGAGTCGCCACCATTACCCTATGTATACTGCCAAACACACGACCTACGGCTACGATATCGGCGATCCAGACCAAGATACACCCAGAAATGACGACCAGAACGCCATACGTCAATTCAGCCCTCCTACATCGTACCGCTCTGGCTACGACTCGCCTGGCTTCAAGGACAACAGCATCAGGGATAACGCCTTTGAGAAGGGCGGATACTATGCCAAACCAGTGCCAATCAAGATCTCAAAAGAGCTCGAACCACTGCCCGCTAAGCTTCTCGACCATCCGATGAACCTCTTGTATTTCCACCACTTTATCAATCACACCGCCAGAATTCTGGTGCCTCACGACTGCGAGGATAATCCCTTCAGAAACGTCCTACCCAAGCGTGAGTCTCTGCACCATGTGCCCTCTGTCCCAGCATGCTAACTAATCATTCGCCTACCAGTGGCTGTACGCGACGACATCCTGCTCGACCTCCTCTTGGCATTCTCTGCCTCACATCGAGCGCGTCTTCTTGGCCACCGCGAGCCTGCCAATCGCATCGCTCACTGGGTCCAGCACGTCTTCCCCCAGCTCCGCCGCTCCATCGACAACACAAACTCCACCGGCCCGTCCGCCCCTGTATCCGACAGCAGCCTCACCACAGCCATCATGCTCGTCTCCCTCGAAATCATCTCCCCATCCGCCTTCGAGGTCCAGATCCCCTGGCAAAACCACCTCAAGCTCGCCCGCCAAATGATCGTCGCCCGCGGCGGCCTCCAATCCATCCAGCGCCGCGACCAAGTCCCCTACTTCCTCTCCCGCTGGTTCGCCTACCTCGACGTGCTCGGCTCCCTCTCCGGCTCCAAAAACGACCACCACCACCCGCTCACCTCAACCTACTGGGTCGCCGACGGCCTCGACTCCTCCTCCTCCCCCGACGACGACTGGCGCATCGACTGCTTCTTCGGCTTCACCACCCGCTGCGTCGGCTACCTCGCCCGCGTCGCCGCCCTCGCAAAGTCCTGCGAGCCAGCCCGCTTCGACCCCACCGGCGCCATCCGCCCAAACTGGCACCCTCCGCCCGCCATCGCCGCCCAAGCCCACCGCCTCCTCGCCGACCTCCACGCCGGCAAAAACCACGTCTACAAGGGCTGTCGCCACCGGCCCAGCATGCCGCATTCCCACTCCCACACCCCCGACATCGTCCTCGGCCTCGACGACGACGACCACCACGAGGCCGGCTGGGACGCCCTCGAGATCTTCGCTACCAACACCATGTTTCACTGCGCCGGCATCATACACTTGCTGCGTCGGGTGCTGGGCCGCCCGCGCGCCGACGCGCAGGTCCAGGACGCGATTGCGGAGATTATCGAGAAGTTGGGCCGGGTGCGCAAGGGCGGTACGGCGGAGGCGTGTGTCTTGTTTCCGCTGTTTACGGCGGGGTGTGAGGCGTTGGAGGGGGTGCATAGGGAGAGGATTATGGATCGGATGATTAATGGGGAGGGGTTTGGCATGATTCAGGTATGTTGTTGCTGTTGTTGGCCATCTTGCTGAGCTTGGAGAGACTAATGTTTGCGTAGGTGCATAAGGCGCGTACGCTGATGGAGAAGGTCTGGGAAACGGGCGAGCCGTGGGAGACGCTTGTGTCGGGCGAGTTCTTTGGGTGATTCACGGGATGAGTGAATGGATGAATGAATGAATGAATGATTGGCTGAGTGGAAGTCATGAGGCATGTGTGAAAGCGACGTACGTAGTAGGATGTACAAATGCAACACGTCTCTTCATTAATGAGAAATGGAGGAACGACGGACAGAGAGAGTGAAGGTACTTTATACCAATACCAATCCGCTCCAATGTCAACCGTCCCAACACTGCTTGCTCGCCTGCTATCTCATTACAACAGGGGTAAGAACGTATACAGTATCAACAGGCTATGTCTATTTTCGAAACGCATGCCCGCTTCATCTTCCTCCTCCTTTTCTCCCTCCTCCTTTTCTCCCTCCTCCTTTTCTCCCTCCTCCTTTTCTCCCTCCTCCTTTTCTCCCTCCTCCTATCCCCCTCCCCTCCATGAAGGTAAACACACACAAACACACACTCACGTCGCCATTCTGATCTCTCATGCCCTCGTAACACAGACTTTTCCGTTCGAAAATAGAACTGGCTGTCATGAATCTATTCTTTACGTGTATATGTGTGTATAGCTCCCTTTGACTGCTGAACGAAACTTTCTGGATGACAGACAGACAGAGAGGTACGATTCAATCTATCTAATCTCCTACATGACCGTGTATCCAAACCTTATTTCTCGTTGTGTGTTGTGTATAATCTACATGCTACCTCCGAACCCCGCCCTCCAAACATAAACCTCCTACTCCTGGCCGCCATTCACAACCCCGCCGACCGCAGCAAACACACTCGAGCCCTGAGCCTCCGCAAACGGCGCCGTCGGGCTCGAGATGGATCCCGAGCGGCCATTCGGATCGTGCGTCGTGGCGCGCGTGTTGTCAATCTTGGTGATTATAATATCGACCGCGCCCTTGGCTGCAAGATCGTCCATGACGACAGCAATCTTGCTGCGCAGCACCATGGCTTGGATCGCGACCCAGTCCTCGCCGTCGACGGGCTCGAGCGAGGTGACGGTGGGCGAGCGCTTGCCGGGTGTGATGCGCTTGGCGATGGCGAGGTCGCGGCGGGGGATGTTATATGTGCAGAGGACGTACTTTTGGGCGGCTGAGAAATATAGGGGTCAGTTTGTGTGTGAGAAGAAGAGGTTGGTGGTGGAGAGCTTACTTATCACGCCTTCGATGCGCTTGACGATCCGCTCGATGAGCTCGGGGTGTGCGGGTTGTTTGGACTTGACGAGGATTGCAGTAGTTTCTTTGACGGTGGCGATTTCATGGAGGCCAGCTGCGCGCATCGTTTCGCCGGATTCTGCAGTCGTGAGAAGGTGTCAGGAGGCGAGACGAAGATACTCACCAACGAGATCGACAATACCGTCTGCCACACCCAAGGCACACGCAGCTTCGACGCTGCCGCCAACGTACTTGATGTGTGTCCTCAACTTCCTTGCCTCGCTAGTTTTGGTCGTGTCCGCTACGGCTGTTCCCTGCTCTTTTGCGTCTATCTGAGCTTCTATCCGAGCAAAGAATTCTTCGGCAAGATTTGTGAAACTTGTGACTACATTGCGCCCAACCAGCGACTCCACCGTCTGGAACGGTCCATTCTTCGGGACCTGGACTTGAAGTTTACACCTCCCGAACTCGAGATCCAGCACCTCTTCGACACCAGTTGTCGGCGTCGGGGGCTCTGACGCAGCGTGTTCTGCGACCTGGTCCCGCCCTGTAATGCCAAGGTCTACACGACCCTCGCCAACGAATGTAGGGATATCTGCCGCAGGGAGAAAGACGAGCGCAATCGGAAGGTTCTTGACGAGCGCAATGTCGAGCCTTGAGTGGCGGTGAAACTGTATATCGGAGCCCTTCAGGAGCTCAAGGGAGGCTTCATTGAGACGGCCCTCTGCGCAGGTGTGAGTCCATATGTGCGAATCATGATACAAAGCTGGCGGGCATGCTCACTCTTGGGTACGGCGAAGAGCAAGCGCTCGTTCAGACTGCCGATATGGTCATTCAGTGTTGGCAATGAGCGCGACAACCTCCTCTCCGGAACATATTGGTGGAGAGATCCCATTATAGAGTGAGAGGAAGGCGGGGGAGCTCACGAAGAGTGGATCGAGTCCATTTGAGACTGCATTTTAGGGTATATGAAGGTGAATTGTAGGACAAGCCTACTATACACTAGCTGCTGCTGAACGCCTGCAGATTGTTATGCCCTTCAATTGAGTGGCCTGCCGTGGGAGGGTACAACAGCAGTTCAAACACTAGGTGGCAATTGATATGACTGTCCAAGTGCCGCTGTCGCCCTGGTCGCGATGCGGTGACTCTAAGCGACCTGCTATTCGTGGCAGCTGGTTGGACCACGTGTGGACGTAATTGGGCGAAGCAGATAGCGGGGGAGTACAAGCTCGATGTCGCGATTGTCGAGGCGTCCACGTAAGTTGAGTCTGGAGTGAATAGTGAGGCAGATGGAGGAGATCTGGTGATCAGCTGAAGGCTCAATTGATCAAAAGAATCAACGCAATCAGTCGAAGCAGAGACGCGTCAAAGAGAGAAAGATGACTCTGAACATTTCGTAGATTGTGTGGGGCAGATGCAGAGACGGAGATGGATGATTATGTCCGAAATCGGAAACCAGCTTGGGGAAGGTATGGCGCGTGCCCAGCTGTGGCTCAGTGACTGAGCCACTTCAAGTGCGCACTAACCATTTCAGCCAATGAACGTGGCTGTTCTCAAGCTCGCTAAGTTTTCTGGTGCCCACACAGAAATCGACATTCTACACGCCGACGACATCTCTCACTCCGCAGCTCCAACAACCGCCTTTCGCAACAACGACCGCACCGTCTCTCTTCTCACTACAAGTACGCCCCTCCGCACGACTCGAAGATCACAAAACTGTGACACCGTTTCGAACCTCTACTCACGTCCCCCCGCAGAATACAAGATGGATTCCGCAAAGGTCCCCGTAAAGCTCGTCAAGGTCACCCGCGTGTTGGGCCGAACCGGTACGTCGCTCCGACGCTCCTCGCGCTGATGGAAAAGAATTAGAGGAGGGCTGTGAATGAAAGAACCGACTAATGCGAGTCCAGGCTCCCGTGGTGGTGTCACACAAGTGCGCGTCGAGTTCATGGACGACCAAACCCGAAGCATCATCCGCAACGTCAAGGGCCCAGGTACGCCCATATTATTCGGAATCTGTGGAAGAAGAAGATTCGCTGACGTAAAGCCTTAGTCCGTGAGAACGACATCCTCTGCTTGCTCGAGTCCGAACGTGAGGCCAGGAGACTGAGATAAACGTGGCAATGGGTCTGGGGGCAGTATGGACATGAAAGAGGGCATTGTGGCCGCCGTGGTCGGCATGTTGTATGGCATTACATTGGAACATCCATCGGCGTAGCAAGGGGCTTCTCCCAGAAGAAGCAAGGCAAAAATCGAATATTTGACCGTGTCTCTTCATTTCGCTCACACACCTTGCAGAAGTCTTTTCCAGAACTACAGGCATATCAACGCTCGCAAAGTGTCATACGAACCAATTGATGTCCGATATAGAACCTCTGCGTGGATCGACCAGCCGGTATGGGACGTGCTTCTCGAAGTTAAAAACGACTAAACCCGAATGCGAGAACGTCATGTGCGAAATTCATACTTGCAAGAGCATATCATCCATTAATAGTTTGCGCTGTATACAAGACTCCAGGCCATGTTTCAATGTAGGGATCGACATCTAAGGATTAACCAAAGATTGGTAAGCACTAAGGTCCAACTTGAATCCGTGGACGTCAAGCCAAGGTGAATTCCAAAGCACCAAACCACTTCCTCAAAGCAAGCATATCCAAGCCAAACACTCCCTCGAAGAATCACCTTCTCCACGCTCCACCATGGAGACCCTCAAAAATACAATCACCCTATCCCTCCTCCACTCCATCTTCGAGCTCATGATCCCCTGGCCCAAATCCACACCCCCAACCGGCCCCCTCTGGGCCTCAAACAACGCAGCAGCCACAAACCCCATCTGGCACACCCTCTGCTGGCCCTCCCTCCTCGCCCTCTCCACCACCCTCCCCCACAATCCCCCCGCAGACCTCACCCCCCTCCTCCCACCACCCTCCTCCTCTTCCTTCCCCGAAACCGCAACAGGCCTCATCATCCTCCTCGACCAAGCCCCCCGATACCTCTGCACCGGCCCCAACGAGCGCTGGCGCAACGCCTTCTTCGACCCCCTCGCCCTCACCCTCCGCCTCCACCTCGCCGCCCTCCCGCCCACGCATCGTCTCGACACGCCCCAGCGCTGGCTCGACCAAGGCTACTCCTTCGAGCACTGGGTCATCATCGCCACGTTCCTCGCCGCGCCATACGCACACAGCGAGGATCGCGCCGTGCATCATACGTACATGCAGCCCGCCGTCGCCGATCTGCGAGCACGTGTCGAGGCGCGTTTCGGCGTCGAGGACGCGCTTTTCCAGGCGCAGGTTGCGCGTGGGGACTTGTTGCGGGAGTCGGGAGATGTGTATGCGTTTGCGCGGATTGCGAAGGGTGGGTGGCCTGCTGCTGGGGGGTTGGCGGAGAGAGCGTTTCATTTTTGTTGGTTGTTGGATGCGCATGAGCCGATTGTTGAGCGGTTTGGTCGGTATCCGTATCGGAATCGGGCGTTGGGGAGGGGGGATGCGGAGGGGGAGAGGGAGTTTTTGGTGGAGACTGGGGGGTTTGGGACGAGTGTTACGGAGGAGGATGCGGTGGTTATTAAGGAGGATGTGGAGAGGGGGGTTTGGAGGGCGTTGGAGTGGATGGAGTAGGATTAGCTTGGAAGAAGGGTGTGCGGTTGGAGTATGATGTGGTTTGTAGGTATGTTGGCTATTTAGTTCGGAACACGCTGACCTTCAACTGACAACATGCTCGAATTTCCTTGTAATGGCTCCCTCAACCTTTCCCAGTTCCATGAGTAGATCAGCGCCTCCTGTATACTCTCGCTTCTAGAGACTCCTCCCCATGGGACCTAGCTTGCCGACTGACGCTTCTTGATCACGTCCCACTGCGCCTTAGAGAACTCCGGAAATGCCCTTGGTTCATACAACGCAAAAGCTTCCAGCGTGTCTTCAATCAGAAACTCAATATCCGCCATGTTGCATTTCATCGTTCGCGAAGCTTCAAACTTTGATCTCAAGTCGCTTTCCAAGCCCGTACACGAATCGGAGATATTCATGTTCCAGCCTGGGGAACGAGTCAAGTAGTCTCCGTTTGTCTGTACTAGCAAAGCCGCAGAGTCTGGCACCTTTGCACGCGTGCGATCTAACAGTGCCATACGGATTTGATAGATGAGTGGTTCGAAACGGTCTGCGCAGGTAGGGAAGAGTGCCTTCAGCTCTTGTGAGTTCTCACGAAGGAGGCCGAGTACAAGCAGGCCATTGAGACGCCAATCGACATCGGGGAATAAACGTGGGTGCCTTCGAACGTACAGCTCAAGCATACGCTCAAGACTTTCCACGACTGCATTGTGCCTATCTTGCTGATTAACGTATGCACTGATGTACGAGTTCAAGTTCAAATCTTCGATCATTGCCATCATGTCGGGGATTGCATCGTTTATTATGAGTTTTGTGCAACATGACTGACTGAAGTTTCGTCGTGAAACGTTCTAGCTTTAACGTGAGCTCCTGTACGGTTCGTCATATCTCAGGCGTCAAGACTCACAAACATTGTCAGCCTCTTCCTTATGGCAGAGAGTAGATGCGAGTAAACTGGAGGGCGCATATCATGAATGACTTTACCGAAATCTGCATTGGATCGGCAGAGCAAATCGAATAGAGGAGTGACGAGAACTTTTGGACAAGCATCTCGCTTCGTCGCTTCTAGGGAAGGCCTTTTACGTCCCGTGTCAGAGCTCGGTGGAAGCGCTGTTGGTGGACGAGATGATCCGACGGTGATACCAACAGATCCAGGGGCCCCTTCTACTTGCTGCGACTCAGCTTCAACGGATACAGCGCAGCCATCGGACTTGCTGAAGGCCTGTACAGGTCGCGCGGCTTCAACTAGTTGTACATCATCATCGCTTTCGTCCATATCTTCGTCCCCACTCGATATTTCGATGGGCGTAGGACGGAGAGCATCGCGTAGCATGTCTTTGATCTTGTCTCCAAACTTTGTTGAAGCTTTGAGTATAACATGTCCGAGTACTTCTGCGCACAGTGCGGCTTCGGTCGAATTCTTGCAATCTTCAACAACAAACTCTCCCAGCCTTTTCAGCATAGCTGGTTTCAGTTGCTTCTTGAATTCTGCTCGCTTGTCTTTCCTTGCTCCATAGGCTTTATACTCTGCTACTATTTCTTTCAATTTCTGGATTGCTGGCTCGGAGCTTGGAAGGCATATCTCCACAATCCCCTTGACAGCGTCTTTGTACACTGCACTGTTACAGTCCAGCTCATTCAGAGTGAGGAATCGCGACCGGATTTGTTTGTCAGCCTTTGTAGAGTAGTCTTCGATCTTGATGCCTTTCTGGGGGTATTCTTCTTGTTCATCTTCTTGGTGTTGATGACTGCTCAAAGATGTCTGCTTCTTGCGCTTTTTGGGAGGTTCGCTACTTGAACCAGGAGAGTGCTACGATTCTTTGTTAGTAACCAATCATAAGGCCAAAGTGGAAGAGGATATACCTTTTTACTTCGATGCCGTTTTGCTTCACCACCAGAGGCTAAGTCACTCGTACGTTTGCCAGCTTTGGCACGCTGTATTGCTAAATCAATGCTGAGTCCATGGTAATCCACTGTACGCGGATCTCACCTCCATCTTCTTAGAGATTCTCTAAGCAGTGTCGTGGCTTGGTCTCCAGGTGGGACTTGTTCGTCGTTCGTGAACAGAGGTATTGAAGGAGAAGATACAACGCAGTCAAGGCGGAACACCTTCTCAATCGCGCAATCACGTGCTGACGTGGGAACGAATTATTACAAGATGTGTGCTAATCTTATGAGCGTAAATGTTCATTGTGAGTCGGAATATATATATGCTACGTTCATGCCACAGAGCATGAGATACTACAAGATAAAAGACCTCTCATAAGTTTTGACTGAGATCTCATTGAGTATAAACATAGTCGCATATTCCTTCACTCCCTATGTGTTTTCAAGTCTTGCTCATATTGCTTGACAAGCTACGATCTTAGGATAGCTAGTTCCTGGCTAGGTACTAACTGGCCCTCCTTATTACATGAGCAATGCTGTGTTAGTAGTGCACATATGACTGATATGCAGGCTTTTCCGGCAACTACGATGAAAGCACTTCGATACTTGAAGTCCCCTTGCAGACCAACGGATATATCGCGTTGTGCTCTTGGTATATGTGAAAGCCTTCATATCGCATCACCAACTGCCGTGCTTGATCATCCCGAATTTCGGTCACTACCACGTTTCTCCTGTCACGAACTCCCAATCCTTCGCCCACTCACTCTTGTGAAGCTGTCTGAAATGAGAACGATTTTTCAGTATGAGCTTCCGAAGATATGGCTCAAAGATACGGGTAGCTCTTAATCGAGACCATCTTGTTTGGCTGATCGCCATAATCTTCCTTTCCCATATCTGAAGTAGTTTAATGTGGTCAACAAAAGGACATCGAATATCCCACGGCGGGTGGCTCTACGGTCTATTAGCTTCGGAGTGAATATCCTCAATTGAACGTACTCTTTTAGCTATATATTCCAGTAAGTTTGAGACCAGAATCGATGAGATGTTCTTGCGATCGTCCCATGAAAAAGAAAATTCAGGTCCAACAAGGACATCACAAACTGGTGAGATATCCTATCAAAAGTCAGAGAGAGCTGACGTACCAAACTCGCGGCGCACCGTGACTTACCGGCTGAAGATATTTCACAAGGGAGACATGCCCTCTCACCTCAGGAAAGACGTCTAAGTTTCGAATGATCCATGGTCTAACCTGCCCCACAATCTTGGACCCATTGTGACCGAGACTGCCTTTCAGCGTCTGTTTGACATTCTCTGGGATATCCTTCACAAATGTCTCAACACCATTTCCGAAATGCCATGAGCTTACCTTGAAAGACTACACACTTAGTGCTAGACGAGGAAACTTTGGAGGCATTGCTTACCGGTGAACGCGCGACGATGATACGTACTAGTTCGTCTCCTAGCCGTACCCAATCGCTTGCAGCGATGTTTTTGGGACTATTGGCCAAGACAGGGTCATTTATCAATGCTCGAAATATAGATGTTGGGGGATTTCGGTGCGCAACTGCGATGGTCTTCGTACTAGCTTCATCACTGCCCTCATCATTTGAGCTCGAATGATCGCTCCAGAAGTGAGGCGTAGTGTCCACAGGCTCAGGTTTGATCTGCATTTCAGGCGAAGGCTGATCCTCACTGGCATCTTTGGGTACTTTGCTTCGCACCCTTTCTTCTGCGCGAGGACTCAGGCTCCCTGTATCATCCGAACCAGAGGATGACGCGGCATCTTCTTTGACCCTTCTCTTTTCCTCTTTCTTCTCAGCCTCAGCCTCAGTCTCACTTTCGGTCTCAGAATCAGTCTCAGAATCAGTCTCAGTCTCAGCATCAGAATCAGAATCAGAATCATCAGAATCAGAAACGACATCTCCCACTGGTTCCACCTTATCAGCCACATCCACACAGCACGAGCGAAGCACCTCAATCGCACCCACCACCCGCCCCTCATCATCCCCACAAAGCCTCCCCAGCAGACGCGCCACAACACTCACCAACTCCCCCTTCGCAACGGCAGCCGCACGGCTAAGTTTCTTCTCTCCTGCGCCACGGGCCCGCAGATCGCGAACCAGGCGGTCGATCGTGATGTCATGCAGCGTCTCGAGGGGCAGGTTGAGGGCTAGCAGTTCGTGGACTGTGTCCTTGAAGAGCTTGGTCGTGGAGCTGCTGGCGCAGAGGTATTTCATGCGGAAGTCGATGTCGACGATTGCGGTGGGATTAGGTTCGGTGGTGGATTTGGAGGGGTGGGGAGGTCGAGTGGTTGGTGAGGTGGTGGTGGTAGAAGCGGGCGAATGCGTGGTCTTGTGCTTTTTGCGTGCTGTCTTTGTCTCGTCGTGGTCGCGCTGCGTGGGTCAGTGGGTGAGTTGAGGTTTTCGTCTCATGTGATGTGTGTGACTTACAAGCTTATGCTTCTTCTTGGAGGGTGACATTTTGATAGGAGGGCCTAGAGAAACTGTCGCAAGTTATGGTTGACAGAAGATGGAAAGTAGATGCGCATCTGAAGAGAAGAAGTGCTATTGTAGGAAGGGCGAAATGATGCGGTCGTCTTGTGCTAACGGACGCTAAGACCAGAGCGCAAGTGAATCAGCTCAGTGCCGGAGAGTAGTGCTGGGAAATTGAGACAGGGATTCTGAACTACCAGTCACGCAGTGTCTTGAACATTACAAGGCTTAAATAAGATTCATTCGGTACTGCCTACAAGTAAGCTAATGGTAATCACCATATGTACCACCCCCTACGCAGGATCTGATAATCAAAGTTTACTACATCCAACAAGCGAACAGGTAAATTTGACCGCCATGCCATGACGTCGTAAACCTCTGACACTAAGGTAGACCATATACATTATCATCGTTGGCTGTGACGTGGAGGTGAAATCCGTGAAGTGCTATGATACCTTCTATTCGCAGGCCCACTTGACTTTGAGGCTTGACTAGCCCTCGGCTTATTTGGAGATATTCGAGCCTTCTTTCTCGATGGTGCCGGTGTTGTGCGTCCATTCGCTGATGGCGCCGGTTGCGAAGCGGGGAGCTTGTTGGCAGGGTGAGACGCCTTACTCGTTGGCTTGCGAACTGGAGAAGAATGTGAAGCCCGGAATATACTCGCAGGTGAAGGTCGTATGACTGATGCACTAGGACTCCGCGCCGTGGGAGCCTTCAATGGCGTTTTTTGCGATGCTTTGGATGTCTTGTCTGGTATCAGCATCCTCTGAGATGTCTTGGATGTCTTGTCTGGTATCGAAGGCATGGATTGCTGGGGTTTGGCCCTAGATACCGGACTTACGAGGGTCGCCGCGCCGGACAGACTACTGTGCTTGCTTTGTTCCTTCTCCTCGTCTGTCTCCTCATCCTCCTCCTCATCTTCCTCCTCATCTTCCTCCTCGCTCTCGCTCTCGTCAGAGTCAGAGTCTTCAGTCGAGTCGTCAGAGTCTGACTTTGCCATCATTGGCGCTGGAGGCCCTGGAGACGGACTTTTCAGTCCAATTGCCAATTCTCGTAGTGATGAAGGTCCGTCTGATCTCACGACGTTCCCGGCAGGCATTGGTTGTGAGTTTGGAAGCCGGTTCGATGTCGAAGGTGAGCGTCCCATCAATGGACTGCGCCTCTGCACACTGGCTGGCTGACTGGCCGAAACAGCAACAGGCCGTGGTCGGGGTGGGATGATGTCGTCTGAGTCTGAGTCCGAGTCCGAGTCTGAGGAGCTCGAGCTTGATGCGCTAGGGCTGGATGAAGCAGAGTCCGAGTCGGATTGTTCTTTTGCGCCCTTCAGATCATCACCTCTTGTTAGGCTAGGCTGAGCGGTATCTCCGCTCTGGCGCGGCTGACTGTCTTTCACGATAGTGTGAGACGAATGTAAAGAGATTGGTAGTATCTTCGTGTCCTGCGAATGGCTTGACCTTCTCGCCATCGGTGATTCGGGGATAATTACGGTATGTTCTTTTCTAGCGGTGCTCGAAGCGAACTCTTCCGGCCTGGAAATATCCTCAGCTCGCTCAACGACAATTTTGTTGGCCTGATCTTGTTGTGCGACAGCCTTTTCAAGCCCAGAAGGCTGTTGACTTTGGCCAATGACTTCAGCAGCTTCCTGGTCTCCATCCCCATTGGTGCCGACACCGTTCACTGCGACCCAGGTGGATGCTTTGGGATCTTTGGCAGAGTCATAGTCCTCGTCGTTCTTGCTCTCATCGTCACTATCCTCATCGGAGCTGATGACAACCTCGCGATCAGCAACAGTTCCTTGACCAAGGCCGGCTACAGGTTCGGCTGGAACAAAATCACCAAGTTCAGGCGATAGTGATCTTGGACGTGTTGGTCGAGATGTGTCTTCATCAGATTCGGACGAACTTCCAGAGGACATTGAACTTCCTCCATGGTTTCGGGTAGGACTCGAGGCTTGAGCCGTAGGCTCTGCTGCGCTCTGCATGTCGACATCCATCGGAGAAGCAAGTCTTTCTTTGACATCATTCGAACCACCAGTTTGTTCATCTTCCTGAACATTGCCCGTTCCTCCGGCTTCGACCATGTCTGGGTCATCCTTGACACTAACATGATCACTTGCATATCCATTCGACTGGTAAGACCTGGTTTCAGTAGCATCAAGCATTTCTATGGCGTCGGTGTCATAGTCGTGCCTAGCACTACCGATACTCATGCTATCATCTTGTTTGTCTAGCGAGGCTTGTTCTTCCAACAGCAGTTGCTGAGTCGCTGCATCATCTAAGACGCTTGTACTGTCCGTCTGCTCGAAAGAGGTTGCACGTTCACCTTTGCTGTTATGGCTGAGCTTAGCCCGTTCCTGTCGGAGAGATTTTTCTAGGCTTGGGCTTTCCATCGTCTCGTCCGGGTCATTTACGCTACCTTCGTCCACAAGGAGCTGTGTGTTGCCATCGACAGGGCCCGGAGATTCTGCCACTTGGTCCTTTTGAGTATTGACTAGAGCGCCAAAATCGTCCAACATATTGGAACTCTCTGATTCAATGCTGACTGCTCGCTCTGGGGGGAAAGCCTCTTCGTGTATAGCCTTGGATGCTGCAGAACCACGCGCTTTAGTATGTTCGTCGGAAACTTCAGACTCGTCCTCCTCCTCCTCCTCCTCCTCCTCAAAGGGAGACACAAAATTTGCATTAGTATGGGCCCTGGACTCGTCTTCAACAGGACTGAAAGTTTCGTCGTCATGGATCTCAGACGCCTCCTTGTCAGGAGACTCGTGTGGTTCCTCAGCATTTGGATCCGATACGCCTCCTTGAGTCTCATTACTCATGCCCACGGATGCGTCACCAGGCTTTTCGGGAAACACAGCACCGTTGATGAGATCGTGGCTTTTGTTAGCCTTGGAGCTGGGCGACTTATGCGTGCTTTCCTCTGAGTTCGCTTTTCCCTGGATAGGTTTCACACGCGACTTTGGGAGGCGCGGTGTAATCTTGCAGCGCTTGCCAACCACGAAAGGGACTTTTGCAGCCACGGAGCTGGGCCCAGTAGATGCGATTCTCTTTCCATCTGCTTTGCCTGGTGCAGCCTCAGGGCTAGGCTCAGTAAATGCGATTCTCTTTCCATCTACTTTGCCTGGTCTACTTTTCTTCACACTTGACCGTAGTGGTCGTGCTGTGATCCGGACATCAGTGTCTGGAGTCGGGTGCCCGCCAGCCATGGATTCTAGTCTTCTCAGATACCCTGTCGGTGTCAGTACTTTCGTAGCCACACATCTTATGGTTCTTACTTCTTTTCCGACTGATGTTCTTGCTCGAGACTTTCTTCCTCTCAACGCCACGCAAATCCTCAAGTTCGCTCATCGCGGGTGAATCTGGTACCTCATCGCCATTTGCGACCCTGCATGGGTCAGTATTTCGGATGTCCTGAATACCATTCGCGACTTACAGTATCTTGCGTAACGCTGATATTTTCTGATCTAAGCCAGCAGAAGCTGGTGTTGGATATTGGATACCTGGTGACTCGTACCGCTCACTTTCGTGGCGTAAGATCCTGCCACCTACACTGGACATGCGTTGGTCTTCTGGTGACCCAGGTTGTTGCTGTTTTCTGTACTTCTTGGCGTTCAGATCGACTACGCGCGCAGGCGTTTTCGCAAGCTTGCCTGTCGACCGTTGCCTTCCGGCCGGTCGTCCTGCCCCTGCGGGTTTCATGGTCGACCCAGGAATGTCATATACGTCTTCAGGGCCATTAGGATTAGTTGAACGCCTTATCGAGGGTTTCGCTCTTGAAAACTGCCCAAAGGCCTCCTCGTCGATCGTCTGGTCTTGCGGAAAATCGTAGGTTGAGTCTTCAACCCCACTATCCTCAAGAGTGTTGTCTACCTCGACACCCGGTGAGTCTCGCCTGTGGTTATCTCGGTCGGCTGTAGTTTCGTCTATAGGTGACGAATCGAGTCTCCGTATCCGCGTCTGATGAGCGGAGGTGCTCTGTTCAGGGGGTGACTTGAGCTGCACTTTGTCTAAGCCAGAGCGCTTCCGGTTCGGAGATTCGACTTCTTCGATAGGATAGCCGGTATTAACGTCGATGCCTGCTTCAACCGAGCCGTCATCTGGATGGTATCCACTCTCCGCACCAGACTCTACGAATAGCCCGTCGCCGTCGGCGGTCTCTCCCATCCCATGGTCTCCGTCGTCAGCTTCTTGTACATCATCTAGCGCTGCATTGGATCCAAGCCGTCTTCTTTTACTGGAGTTGATTGGGCTGCTTCCAAGACCACGTTTGCGGGATATCCCTGGTCTCGTACCCAATTGTCGTGGACGTAATGTCGACTCTGGCAGGACCGAAGAGTCTCGCGCGGCGCCGAACTGGTGGACCTTGACGACCTTTTCGTGGGGAGATTCGTCAAAAACCTCTCGGACAAGAAGAGACGTCTCAAGATCGGCGTCGAAACCGTCTTGCAATTTCTTGATGCGGAATCCGCTACATCCATGTATGTTAGTCAAGCGGTCCTCCATGCGCTTTTGCGTCGAGCCCCTACCGTGACTTCTGAGGGTATATGCGCCCATATCGCTCTTCAATGCTCTCCCAGACCTGCTCGAACGTGTCGTCTTCACCTGCCAAGAGGACAAACTTGTCGCCCTGGGTGGCAGATTTGTAGGGACTTTCCGTATGTTGCTGCTGCAGTTCTTCGCTTTGGCCGGGATCGCGTATCGCCTCTGTAGCTGTAGCCCAGCGCTTCCCTATGTCTTCGCTGTGCTGAGGTGGTAGGATATGGATGGAGAGGCGCACGTTTCGCGTCCCAGAAGGTCGCGCATACGGGCGCTTACCGGAAGCCATGTGGACTGATACCAATTAAGCAAGGCGCATCCGGCATAACGGAGTAGGGTAGACGATGTAAGGAGTCTGCGGCTGTAGGAGGTGGTTTTATTTGCTCGACATGGAGTTTCAAGTGGTTTGGTCGCGACGCGGATTGTCAGTGGCGCTAATCTTTAATCTTTCACGCGATGGTCCAAGCTCCACGTTGATGGAGAGCTCCGAGCTGTCGCCTGAGCCACTGTGGCGCAAACATCTATTCCAAGGGAGCTGTAAGTCTAGCATGTCGTAAGAGCAAAGTCTTGAACTCTGGATCCGTGCGGGTATATCAACATGTAGAATGGCGTGCTCACCTCTGTAGCCACTCATTACCTGTCTTTCTCTCTTCCTTTCTTTCTGTCAAACGATATTTGAGCTTTCATTGGCGTCACTTGGCGCCATCACCATCATTTTGTTGATGACAAGTCCAGACGAAGAGCTCGGGTTGTCAAAATGCCAGCCAGAAGTATGGTGCTTCAAGACTGGGGGCCACGCACAGCCCTGTCATCGCACGAGGATCTGAGGTTCAAGGTGTCTATCCTGACTTCGCCAATCAAACGGACGAGCCAGCTCTCCATTGAAGCCACCAACGACGTTGTCAACGTATTCGACAGCGGCGCCGTAGACGAGGTTCTCACGGCCTTTGAGCAAGTCCTGACGAACCGGGTTGAGAGATTCAAGCTCTTCGACGACATCCTCAGGGAGACCAGTGTGCAGATTGACGACAAGACGAGACGGAGAATGGGCTTCAAGGTTGTATGTAACTGACTTGATGTGCTTCACATGAAGACTTGGCTAACCTTACGACAAGTTCTCTCCCCAAAGAGCGCGATCAACTACGGCACCAGCAGTTTCAGAACCCAGCAACACGTCTACACGCCCGACACTGCGGCCGTTTATATCACGGCCTCTTGCGCTGCGTACACGATGTCCACGACCACCGCCGGTTCCTGTGCCGGTTCCTGTGTCTATGCCACGGCACTTCTCAGAGTCGAAAGATATCCTACCTGAGACCGAAGCCGTCGAAGTGTCTCGAGCTACGCCTAGCATACCACGACCACAACCACGACCACAACCACGGCCACAACCACGACCACAACCACGACCACACCCAGCACCAACAGCAACACCCACGCCACACCTCACAGACTCCTCCTCATACTCCTCATCCTCCTCCTCATCATCCGACACCGACAACCCCCC